CTCATTATTTTTAATCTTTATACATTCTCAAATTAGGTAAAGGAAAAAATAATACATACATACCAGGGAGAATAAGGTTGCTGCAGCATACCGAAACTTGCCCAGTATTCTATCAATAATTGTAATGCGTACTCAAAGAAGCAGAAAGGAATACACGAAGAAATAAATGCTCAAACATTGTAATGCGTGCTTCTATTAAGCTGGAGGGAATACACGTAACAATATGAGCTTAATACACATGTTAAGACCAGTACACTCACACGAGGAGCAATATACAGTTATGTACATTGCAATGTGTAGGAGCGCCGGCCTTGGTCACAAGTTTCGTAGACTGTCAGCGTCATGTGTCCAAAGCATTCAATCTTAATAGCACCACAGAGTAGATAGACGTGAGCACTGCAGCGGCGCTGCCCTACTTCGTACCACCCAGTAACAGCTTTACTTACTTAGCATTCTGTATTCTGTTCATCAGAAATATCTAATGTGTACTTCTGATATTAGGAAACCCTTGACTTTCAGCAGTTCACAAATTTGTTACTGAGCAAGTAATCAGCAGAACTGAATCCTGCTCTGAATGGAGGATACTTAATCAAAATTAATCACACCAGACTGCATTTTTAGACCACATGATGATCCATTACAGCGTGTCATGATTCAAGTTTTGTTACGTCAAGAGCCGAACCAACAGCCACACAAACAGTCACGGAAATACTGTATGCCTCTCTATAATATTATACATAAATACTAATGTCTCAACGCACATTTAATGCTTTATATAGGGGAAATGCAGCCTTAAATTCATTGCGCGAAAGCATAAGCGACATGCAACAATAGTAGCAACTAGCAATAGCGACAGCTCTAATATCAATAGTATCATCATCAGCAGCACCAGCACCAGCAGCAGCACCAGCAGCAGCACCAGCTCAGCAACTCCCACAGCATCACCAGCAGCACCAGAACAAGCACCAGCACCGGTGATACAAGCAGAACAAAAGAAGCAGTACATGCAGCAGCAACAGCAACAGCAGCTGCACCAGCAGCGGCACCAGCAGCAGCACTAGCAGTACAAGCAGCACCAGCCGAGCAAGCAGATCTCAAGCAGCAGCACCAGCAGCAGCAGCACTAGCAGTACAAGCAGCACCAGCCGAGCAAGCAGATCACAAGCAGCAGCACTAGCAGTACAAGCAGCAGCACTAGCAGTACAAGTAGCAGTACAAGCAGCACCAGCCGAGCAAGCAGATCACAAGCAGCAGCACCAGCAGTATCACAAGCAGCACCAGCAGTACAAGCAGCACCAGCCGAGCAAGCAGATCACAAGCATCAGCACCAGCAGTATCACAAGCAGCAGAGGCATCCCTTAAAGCTGACCAAACACGAACCAGGCAAAGAAACGGCGTCCGCTAAAAGAGTACCCGCGTCAGGGCAACGGGAACGAAACTATACAGACGCACGCAATAAAATTTAAGAGATTAATCTGCAGGTAATCCGTCCATGTCAAAACCTTCACATTCTTGTAAGCACAGACGCCACACCGTAAGATAACATCTTTTGTTTTTGTGTGTGTTTTTGATTTGGTAAAACGAATAAATTTAGGCCGTCTAAAATTGAAATGATCGTAGAGCTGAGTCCAAGACAACGCAGAGCGAGTTGAACTTGAAGGTAAGTCTGAATGAAGTCAACATGTAGATCAGGTGTGCAGCGCTTAGCTCAGAAAAATGCGTCTGCTAATGAGAGTCCCTCAGATACACGGCTTATCTCTGCACTCGTCCTTCATAAAACTCGGTGAGAAGGTCCATTCAGATCACACTTCATTTGCTGTTTTTTCTGCGAGAACAATTGCGATACTTGGAAACAAATAATTTGGTCCAATTGAAGGAGAAAACTAAAAGAAACAATAGAAGCAAATCAGATGTTTACCCGAGCGTGAGTACACGAATCATTTGACGATTCCAATGATTGTTGAAACGTGTATTTGTGACTACGAATTTTAGTGAAGCAAAACCGCGCAAAAATGTAGAGACGAAGACATGCTCGGGTACAACGACGAAGGTTGTGATGGCTGCAGNGTGATGAACACAATGAAGACTGTCATCAAAGACGTGCTGGTGATGAACACGACGAAGTTGATGATCGTTGCAGCACGACGATGATGAGTGCTATCAAAGCCTGGTGCTGCAAAGCCTGGTGCTGCTGCTTGTGACGGGCACAACGAAGGATGTGATTAATGCAGTGCGACGATGATGCTTCACAGGAATACCCGTTGACTGCTCTGACGATTTGTACCGAAGTCGCCAGAAGAAAATTCATTCATTTTTCGTGAAGCAAACGAGTATTAGAATTCAGACTGACTAAATGGAATGCAAGAAGCAAAATATGAGCCGCTAAGCGTGTCATCAGAAATGCCCAGCGCAGCGGCCAGGACTCCCCACACGAGAGCGATCATGTCGCACAGGATATCCTGCCCTGTTTAATAATACGACAGGCGGTTTATAGGAGGCCGCCGAATGACCGGCGCTGGCTTGGCCCTCCTTGCCAATAGAGCACTGATGGCTCAAGAGACTTTGCCAGGGCTGAGCAGATAGGCAAGCGCAGCATCCTCTGTCCTTCACAACACAAAAACATAACCAAATAGGCAAAAACAACATAAGTTAATGCCAAACATGCGCCTCCTTTGAACGAACATTTCAAATTCTACATGACTCGCGATTCTGAAGGTTCCTCAGTCTGATATCATGTTTTTCTATACATTTTACTGGATAATAGCTCAGACAATGTAAAATGGTGAACAGAATAGCTTTTGTTTAATAGAACATACAAACTTTTGAGACCAGTGCATTCTAGAGCAAATGTCCCTAGGAAATTTGAAGTGAATGATGGAGAACATGTGATAGCAAAACCACCAAACTTTTAGTTTGATCTCCTGTCTATTCAAATGAGATAGATCAGTAATGTGTTCTGTTTAATCAGAATGCTAAAAGAGTACAAAAATACACAAAAATATGCAAAAAATGTATGAATATACCTACACAAAATGCCCTGCATTTAGTGTATAATAAAGTACTGGTATTGGGGAAAAATCACAACTTTTCAAAAGGCACAGGAAATGTGTGCTTGATGAGTACTTTAATAATTTTGAAAAAAAATTATATATAGGTATTTAATCAAAATTAAATAATAATAATTTTGATATCAATTTTGCCACTGCACTTTCAGAATAATTCAGAATTAACTCAGAAAAAAGAAAACTTCCTGGCAGAACACAACAAGAGAAGCATAATGCAAGTTAAGAGGAGAAGGAAGATAAATAATATATCTTATCTAGGTAAATGTATACAATAAATAACTGAAACATGGATGCATTATTGTGAAATTAAACACATAATTCATACAATTATATTATTATTATATTATTTATAACAAATAGACAATTATAGCAGAGTCCAAACTAATTTTAAACATGAAAGTAAAGACAATAAATAAGTATTTTAAAACTATTAAAGTTTAAGGATATAGGAAGTCATCCAAGCTATTTTGGACAAATTAAAAATTGGAAACTTGGCAACATTGTCATATTCTGAGAAGCTAATCAGCAAATCTCTTATCTTGGTTGTTAGCAGGAACACAATCGATACATCCATGATTGTCGATTGATCTATTCAATATTTTAAGCTAAAAAATTAGGAAAGTACAACAATGTTACTTGACTTTCATAAATGCTTTTCATCTTTCTCCATTACATCAAGAGACACTCTAATCTGGACATACTTGTGGCACCTACAGAAATACACTGAAATGCAGTTATGCAGGATATAGGTAAATATAATTCTTTCACTTAATTGATAGATATGTTATATTAAAGCATTGGTATTGCTCATTATGATAGAAATTCATTATTAGTAAAGTCTTACCAAATATCTTGATATTGCCTAAATACATAAAGAACAGGCATAAGGCAATAGCTATGTGATAAGAAGCTTGACTACCTTATTATGATTTTGTCCTTGATAATAAAAAATCTAATTATGACAACCAACAAATTTCAAACTCAAAATAATTCATTATGTGCCAGACTGTTAAGGCACTTCAATGGTCAACTGTCAACAGGCACCAGCAATTCATGAAACTCTCACACACTCAAGCTTTGGGAATAAAACTATGAATAAAGTTTTCAAAATTATGTTAAATTATCCTGATCTCTATTTTTTACTCACATATGTCTAGGAGAGAATAATTAGATTCAAGATTAATTCAGTAAATTAAAAATGTGATATCAAATTAAACTAGGTACTTTGTGACTTGTGTATACAGTAACACTAACAGTAATACAGCAAGCACAGTTTAGCATGCTAAGTTTATTATAGAAGAATAATACTGAATAGGCTTAACAAGGGAGTCAAGTTGACACTTGTCTAGCCACATGTCCCACTGTAGTGACAGTACTACAACACATTGGTGATTGGTCTAATAAAAGTGTCCTTAGATTAGTGTAATTATTCATTTCTAGAATACTAGCCAGGCATAAGCCATCTCCCAATAGATTCGATCTATTAATCTATTTAATATACCGAATTGTACCAAAACGTTCCACTATAATCGAAACAGCTTGGAAATATAAATTCATGTTGCGCTAGAACAATTGAAATTGTATTTACGAAATTGCGACCAAAATTAGCTTTATTGTCGACTAATGTCGAGTATTTCTTCATTGTTTCAAGCCATACCAAATGAATTCCGGCATGTTCCACTTCCAAGATTGGTACAAATTTTTAGTAAATACAGGGTAAAAAATCCAACAGTTAAGCAAAACTTTCAGAAAATAAGTAATATTTTCACTTTCCCGAGATAACGTAACAGGTTTGGGGCAAGGACAATAAAAACAAGTTACATGGCAGAACGACAGTAGCGGCGTTCGCGTCGAGGGCGTGCACCCGAAGCATCGGCGAGAATCATCTGCTAGGTTCTCAGCAACAACAAACTTAGGTTATGAAGTATATTCTTACCTCATGGTGACAAAGTCTGTAACTTCACGTCATAAATAGATGCATCCAACCACTGCACATTGGTATAATTCCATAAAAGCACGAAAACATAAAACAGGCTCACTACGGCGAGCGGCACAACCTCACTCTAGCACCGATTCATGCAAACTGTTCCAAAGTTGCGGAACTTTTCTTTAGAAAGATTTCAACAGGAACTGAAGTAATTAATTTAGGAAGATTTCAACAGAAACTGAAGGCTGGGATTGAGAAACGCGAAGCCTCGGACAGGTTTCCTATGGAGTTCTTCACCTATTACTATTAGACTTGACTTTACTTCACTCATAAATGAGATAACGATCAGAAATTTTCCATGCTTATCTAGTTATTTATTTACAATCCGTGGACTGGAACAAAAATAAAGAAACTTTGCACATCAGTTATTATAGATGAAAATACTGCACTTTCATGTTCATTAAACCGGGCGATTTAGTGCATTTTTTTTAGACTTCTTCTGCCTAATAATGAATGGAAGTTTTGCTTCTGTTCTTCGAGTTCAGTGTGGTACCAAAGGTTAGATGGTCAAAAAATATGACCAAACAATATTTATAAATTAGAAAAATTGAAGAATCATTTCCACGGATTGATATTAGCTTCAGCATCATTTTTGTAAGAAAGAATAGTATTCAACAGTGGGAGATAATCTAATAATTTTATCGATAAATGTACTAGAACAAACAATATGAAAGCGATTGTAATATCAGGCCTTCAATTAATATTAGATGAGCAAATAAAAAATGCATCCACCGGGCCTTAAATAAATCCATTTGCAATTTGAAATCGGACTCGAAAAACATGGGCTGCACGCGCTAATAATAGCACGCGCTGTGTTAGCAACAGATTTTCCATTAGAAACCTCCATCACACATCGCCGCACTGACATCAACACTCGTAATTATAGTGGTGTTGCTTCTGCGACAGGCACTGGCTTATTCATGTTGTGAAAACAAATTAACAACTTAACAAGACCTACATTACCAAACAACCAATGGATTGCTTTATTTTATCGACGAATCCAACAATAATCAGCAGTCTTACCACGTTGAACGTGTGCGACCGAGTGATACAAATTAATAATAATAATATAAATTGCCCGAATGCTTAAAGACTCCACGGCCCATTCAATCGAAATCTTGGCAGGATAATAAAATAATAAAACGGTTTGGGACGCATTTAATCAAATCAAAATAGACAACCACTGGGAAATTAATATAAAGAAAACGAGGCAGTGCAGGATTAGTGCATGCTTTGTCGTACACAAATATTAATCAAATATTGCGTTTTAAACAATTTTTGGAACCACTCAACCCGACAGCAATATGGCCCATTAATACACACCTAGCATCTTACAAATCCACGAAGCAAACGAAAATGCATCTAATAACCGAGCGGACAAACTAATGAACAAATTCGTGTAAAAACCGAAAACAACATTGGGCTTCGGCAAACAATAACTAATACAGTGAGAAATAAATTCGCGAGAATGCTATGCCTATGGTTAGTAAGAATCAAGAGCAGATGCGATGCCAAATAGGTAACTCATCTCAGCGCCGTGAACTCTCTGGCACGAATGTGAAGATGACAACCAAGTGGCTGGGCAAGTGGACTATTTATTAGTCCAAATCTCTACACGTCGAATACAGAATAGACGAATTTCCCAACGTGATATGAAAAGAAATTGTAATCACTAGAATAATAATAGAGTATTGCTAGAACGCAAAAAATTAAATCCTATAACAGATATAAAAAACACCTGGTTCCAAGATGGTAGCCTGAAATTTGAAAAGGCGTTCAAAACCAAAACCAAAAAGGCAAAGTATGCGCACGCGCTTTTAAAGTCATGGCTTAATATCCCAACAGCGTGAGAAAATAGCTTTGATCACAATAGTTGAAATGACTTCAGAAAACATAATGGTGCCCAAAAAATCACAATATTGTCCCATTTTTTTTTCTTTTGACATTTAGAATGAAAAATTGCAAGTAATCACGTCCGACCAATCATGGAATTCCATAGCCATGTGTAAAAGTAGTTCGATTCTCGAATGTTAACACTAGCCACGCAAGCCAGTAATTCAGGGACAGCGGCAATTCGCTTCCAGGTGTGATGGATTCAATTTAGGCAAATTTCGGTAAGAGGCCGCGACATTGCCCCTGAGATACTACAACACTGCAATGACAATGAAGTAAATTTCTCACGGGAGAAACACGTAGGTGCAGAATAAACGTCTCAAATTTCGAATAAACTCATACCGATATAAATACCTAATTGTAACTATGGCTACCAGCATAGTTTTCATTAGCTTATTCAGCTAATAGAACAAACCATGATCACCGAACTATTGTTAAAGTATAAATAATACAGAATGATGGTAATCTAACAGGAGACTATTTTATGACCGTGTGGATCGTACACGCACGCGCGTAACACAAGGAACAGCTAAAGCCGGTTGCTCCTATTAATTGCCATCGCCCCACTGTTGACTGTAGCCTCCTCTTCCGCCACGCCCTCGCCCTCTGCAAAATACAAACGAGGTAATTAAAATTCCCGAAAGAAAATTATACTAAAAAGTTGAACTCTATTCAGGGCCTGTGGTATCAAAAAGAGTAACAAGTACATAATGCCATCAAATAATCACTGACGTCTTATCAAGCTAAACCTGCCAAGCGACGACGTGAAATCGGTCGCTATGTGTACTTAGACGAGTTTAAAAATACGGCCCCAGAAGTTTGAAGCGATAAGCGACTACGTATAAGTTCAATAGCTGAGAGGCTCTGCCGAAAACGAAAGAAAAAAATAGCGGGACAGAGGGTAAAATTTGTCCCGAAATAAACTTATCAATCGCGACAAAACTTGTCTCCAGGACTTTAAAACTTATTTTCAGGTAATTAAGAAACAATACGAAACAAATAGATACAAAACGAGACGTGACGTTACGAGACAAGGCGTGTCTTAAATATTCAAGGCAAAACAATACCTACCGGTATATTGCTTACTATACGCAACAAAACGCAACATTCCGTACGCGTGGTTAATGAATGCCAAGTTAGCCTATGATTGTCAATAGGCAGTTGCCAGTCATGAGCAGATTCAGGGACATTTGACTGCAACTAATTTGGCAGTTAAATTCGTGGGTAAACTTGGCGATGTATGGCTGAATATTTAGTAAATGATGTTGCTGTTGAGCTTTTAATCGTACATGACGAGAAACATACGAGTTCAGTTCGCTTAATGGCATCATCGCGAGTCGTTGACGTTGTGTCGATTGTTCAGCCGCTTAAAAGAGTGTGGAAGGGCTTTCTCAGGCCCAGGAAGATGTCACCGGAGTAAGCAGTGGTAACCGGAAACATTTTAAGGAGCAAAGAACAGGCGAGACCCGTGATAACCGAGGTACTGACCAGGCCAATAGTCGTTGCAAACTTCGTGGCAATATTTACAAGTTCAATGATGGCATAACACCAGGCATATGTTGACACCTTCTCCGTGCCTACCCTGGTTAGCTCAAAAGCCTGGAGAAATGTAATGCCGGCCTAAACGAACTATGATGTGGCATTAGATGAACTGGAGAATGTCTGCAATTAATATGAGGCTTCACTGAATTTTAAAAGTCCATACTTACATAAGAATAGTTGACGTCTTGTCTCCGTTTTGTCCCGGAATTCCCACAGGGTGATGAAAATTTTCCCGGTTTTTATTTCTAACCTGGACAAAACGTGTTGTCTCGTTTCTTCTCGAAAAAGTACCAAATGCAGAAGTCTAGTTAAATTGATGGCAAACACGATAAATTGGCTGAGGACTAAAAATCTCACCTGAAAGTGCGGTTCTGGTAAGGTCCTGCTGAAGGCCTGGTAGCGCCTCGCCCTCGAAATCCGCCCCTGCCTCGCACGCCTCCTGTCGTCATGTACACAAGCTTCAGCGACCACATAGTCAAGAAATGTTTTTCTAAAACGTGAAAATTCCATTAAATCGATCTATAAAATGATAACATCGAAACATAGGAAAAAACACGAATCAATCACTACATTACCCCCACTTTAAAAATTTTCATACATACCACCAAGATTACCTAGTTTAATTCCAGCCTTTTGTTGTTATTCAGCCTAGTGGCCCCAAAATTATTAAGCCACCTTTTTAAAAGCATTATGCTCTAATATGCAAGAAAAATTAGAAGCAAACTCTAGATTATGATAGAAGCTATCTCTAAGCTGCAGCTACCTAGCTAGAAGTTGAGTAGCTACGTTCTTGCTACCTCAAACTTCATTGTTTTTTTAAGCTTAGAAGTAACTCATAAGAAATTCAGTCAAGGAAGATAAGAAGTTCCCGCCTGAAATTACCTCTAGTTGAGGCACCTCTGACGAAGGAGGTCTGGACAGGCCGGAAGGACCCACGCGTGTATGCCGCTGTGCCGCGACGAGTGAAAGCAGGCTGTGATAAACGCCCCTGCACGGCAAGTCGTTTCTTGATAGGCAGGGAGGTGGCAGGTGAAGCTGCGTCATTACGTGCTCCAGTTGCTCCTATCCGGCTGGTGAGTGGAGCTCCCGTTCTGTTGAAGTTAGAAAAAGTTAGTATAGTTAATTTGTTGAGTGATGAAACATAGTATCCTGAAGCCCTTCTTAGTTTCAGATAATTTCATGACATGAAAGTAGACCTAGACATTGCCAATAATAATTACCTGAAGTTGATGCCTCTGACACTTCCTCGGATGCTTCCACCCCTCAAAATCCTGCCTGTTCCTCGTGTTGTGAAAGTATTTCTGTTGGTAACAGCCTGCATCATCGGCACGGTGTTAACGGCTCCTTGGGCGCCTTGCAGCAGGCCTCTACCGCGGCCACCACGGCCACGACCACGGCCTCGACCGCGCTGCTGCACAAGAAGAAAAATGTCAAAACATGCCAAGCATTAATGTGTTTATTGTTAATTCCGTGGTCTTAGATTTTCTTCAAACATTTTTGATGATCTGCATACCTAAGAACCTTAGTCGAGTAACTTGTATAAAATCATTAAAAAATGTTTTGAATTAGATGACACAAATCCTAAGTCTTAAAACTTCCTTGTACCTTGGTGGTATCAGAATTTTTCATTCCTCTAAATGATATTTTTTGCTTACAGCAAGATAACTTGCCAGGATACTAGATAATTCAGGCATGGACTGATTAACATAAAGCTTACAAATGAAGAATAACCACTTGCAATATGTTAAAAAATTTGGGACTATAAAATTTATTTGCAAAATTATTAGGTCTCCTTACAATATTCTGTAATTCCAAATGAAACTTCAGGTAGAAGCAAGTCATTTATAAACCCTACAGTGGTCACATGTGAAAATTGACCAGATTTCATGCTTTTTTGGTAGGTTTTGTTATGGTCAAATTTTGCAGGCATAGATTAGATGTGTAATCCATGCCATATATGATAAAGGCCATATATAATCCACACATTGACTGTAGGGTTAAGGAAACCAAGTAATGAAACAAATTCTCCGTACACATAAACATACCGTACTGCCAAGAGCAGCTATGACTGCTGGTCTGTGCTCCATCTGTTGAGCTAATCGCATATTCTTGCGAGATGCCTGCACTATTTGCCTCCGCTGATCAACCCCATCAGTTGTGTCCGAAATCTCCCGTAGGCTGGTGAACCTAGAAATACATGGTTGCTAGACATTGGACAAAATTACAACCAAAGGCATCAATATTGTAATTAGTGACAATTTTCATACATAATGATTACATTAGAACTAAAAAAGTTATTCTGAACCAGAATAATTAGATCTTTATAAATGGTTATTTTCTAGCATAAATACAATAGAGAAATTATTCATAAATCATTAAAAAATGCCATAATAATTTTCAAACACCATTAAATGCTTACCTTTACTTACACAATGTTGAATGAAATACCAATAAAACTGTAAACAATCAACAAGAGACAGCTAAATGTTTATGGAAAAATGATACAACTAGGAGCTCAGCCCAACAATCTGCACACAGATGGGATGAAGCTCACCTGTCATTGAGAGACATCCGTGAAGTGGACTTCAAGGTTATCCTGTTGAGCGGCATCTGAAAATCATACAAATTTGATTTTTGTAAAGAAAAATTAGAATGACCAAATAAAAATAATATTTTGTGACTCAAACTAGTATTCTGCTCAATGATTTCTATACCACATCAAACCATATATATGCGTTAACATGATAATTTTTCTACATTTTCTTCTCTAGGTTTCAGTAAGATTCAGTGAAACAATGCAGTTATAACATCACTTTGTGGATTTGTAAGGTATCCCTACAACTATACAATCTTCAACTAAACAGTTTGAGAGCAGTCAATGTGTGGGACATTTTGGCAGGAGTGTGGTACTCAACTAAGGAAGTTAGAATTTTCATGAAGTGGTGCATCCATGAACTGTGATATTCAAGATCAAACCCAAATACAAAATTCTGGAGCCTTGAAATTTCATACCAAGCAAAACAATGTGATATTAGAGTCTAAATATATCAGGAAAAAGTAACATTTTTCAAATCCTGCATGTATCATATTAGATCCAGCAATAAAGAACAAAAAATTTTAATAAAAATTAGGAAAAATTTTGGAATTGAGCAAGTTTTCAGGCTGGCTTAGTTATGAATATGAAAAATATGGTTTATGAATATTTGTAACAAAAAAAAATAATTCTGAATATATGAAAAAAAATATATGGCCAATGCATGATAATTTGACCCATTCTGGAGAATTGGTAGCAAGGATTGGATTTTTCCTTCTTATGAGTACAATCTCACAGCTTCAAAGTGACAAATTTTCAATTCATTTAAAATTTGCAGCCCAATTGTGAATTGTGTACTTTTATCAACAGTTAGACAGGAGCAAATTCATCTAGCAGGAATTTCATGGCTCCTAAAAATGGTGAGAAAGCTCTGGTTGCTGCTCAAATGGTAGATAACTATGGATAAATTGATTATCACTGCTGTCACTGTGTGTAACACCAGCTTGTTTTGATTGCTTGTATCTGTCACCTACAGTGACAGTGCAGCAAACATAATGCGCATATGTCTGCGCCAGTCTTTGTGCATTGGCCATTTTAATTTTAATGCACATTCATCTGTGCCAGCTACATAGTGGAAACCCGAATTTTTAGAATCACTTTATTTTTAATTTTCTCATCTACTCAAGACTAACACAAAATCTTATGCATGATAATGCTGGTATCCATAATACTATTCTGGTCCACTTATAGGAATAAAAGTCTTGAGGAAGAGTTTAAAAGTCTCTGCTTTGCTACTATTGCCAGTCACAGGGTGCGTATTGGTATTTAGAAAAAAATTCCATGACTTTTCCATGGCCTGGTTGTAGTAATCTTTGATTGTTAAATGAAAAGAGAATAGTTGACACAGCAGAACCAAACTTTGCCAGAACATGTAAAAGATGTGTATCAAACCTACGCACCCACTTGTATATTTAGCTGATCTTATAATTTTATAATGAATCCATTTTTCTCCGCTGTTTCAAATGGAACCGCTCGGCATTAATGGGGTTAACATGCGCAGCACAGAAAAATACTTCATTTTTTCTTAATTTAGTTGCAAATTCCATGACTTTCCATAACCTGAAATGAAATCCCATGACTTTCCAGGCCTGGTAAATGAACCATCAAATTCCATGACTTTCTAGGTCTTCCATGACCGGTACACACCCTCCAGTCAGCATGCATTGGCCTATCAATCAGAATCGTATTGAGCATACATCCAAGCCAATCAAGTCGCATTGGCTATACCATAAAAGGAGGTTACTAAGACTCTCGTGGTTACTTAGACCATTTTTTGTTTTTTCAACAAAAACCCCCATAACTCAAAAATTATTTGACATAGAAAAATTTTGTCAATGGGCATTAAAGGCCTAATACTGAGGCTGTGTAACACAATAGAAAGATAAAAAAATTATGCATATCTAATAGGTTAAAAAATGAAAAATGTGACCCACGAAAAAGAGCTAATATTTAAAGCCTGTTGTAGAACCGCTTCCAATTTTTTTTATTTTTTGGTAAAATAACTCCAGGTTTTGGTACATTGTAGTAGAACTTTTCTAGTTACATATGCAAATGACAAATTTGAGGAAAGTGTCATAGTTTGCAAATGGGGGGCCCTGGCCCCAAAGGAGGGAACTTAGACCACCTAATGTCAGCACTGACGAGGTAACATGGACCGGCTTAGAAATTAATTTAAAATTACCATATATAACATATTTTATGCTTGATATACCTATTAATGTTTTTCTTTATGTTTTAGGCTCTACAGACTCTAATTATTGCTAGATATTAAGTTCAAACTTATAGGTATTGACCTTAGTTCAAGATGCCTAGGACCTAATACCCATAAACATTAGGTAGTCTAAGTCTCCCCATTTGCAAACTATGACACTTTCCTTAAATTTGTCATTTGCATATGTAACTAGAAGAGTTTTACTACAATGCACCAAATCCTGCAGTTTTTACCAAAAAATAAAATTGATTTTACCACCTAGTCTAAGATACCCCAAGAGTGGGGGGTAACAAAGGCCATCACTATTTTTGAAATTACATCAAAACTATGAGAGGCAGGAGCCAGCAATTTATGGTGAGTGAACCTTGAGTATAGACCTGTATTTTGCATGTTTCAATTTAAGTTTAATTTAGATAGTAAAAAAATTACATTATTTAAAAAAAAGTAGTCTAAGTAACCTCCTTTTACGGTATTAATCATAATGCACGTATGTCTGTGCAGATCATCACTCATTGGCCAATAAGCGTAATGGACATACACCCATGCCAATCATTGAGCATCAGCCATATTGGCAACTACACTATGATCATAGCTTGGCAACTTTGGAGCAATGAATTAAGTGTTCTCAAGCTATGTTGTCCCATCCTTTTCAGTCTGGCAAAAATATGTCATTTTTCTTAGTATCAGAGTAGTTTGTAGATACAAATCCTCATGTGTTACCCGCAAACCTAGTTAGCTATGACTCCAGTGTCACTGAGAGCTTGCCTCAGAAGCTGGGTCTACAGCTTATTCAGCATATGGGTCACATTCACAAGGACAAGAAACCGGTGAATGAGGTACAAAGTCTATAAATGGGCTGGGAATCTTGGCAGGGCCCCAGTAACTAAAAGTCTAAAAATTGCAATAAAACTTGCATTAGACTGATTAGAGCTACTTCAACCTTAGCCTATACCTGCATCATAACTCTTGCGTATTACCACCCCATATCAAGATAAGTTCTCTAGATAGATCTTATCTTAATTATTCCTTACCAACTTAGTCAACAAATCGCGGTCCTTACGTTCAGGTTAAAATATATAATAAGTCCGGAGGTGCATAAATATGCATCCTGACATTAGTTTTTACTAAAAAACATGGCCCAATTGTGATGTTTACTTTCCAAACAGGAGAGAATTAATCTAGCGCTAGTTGCAAAAAGTCCTACTTTTTTCTGAAATATTGTGGCTCTACTATCATATAATTTTAGTGGGTATGAAATTTCATGACTTTATTATCATGTATTTTTGTTTGATTAAAGATATCATGGTTGACAAATGTGACATTTCATTGAATTTTCAACTTCTGCAGTACTTAGTCCCACGCTTTGCAGAAATAACCTGCGTAACGAAGTCAGCTCAAAACATTTTGCTGGAGATTGCATACTTGTGGTCACGTCAGACTGTATTATCACACATTCAATTGCCTCTAAAGTAAATACAGATGTAATCGTTGCTGTTTCTAGGGAAAAATTAGATATTTTTGATACAACATGCACAGGACTTCATAAGTTCATAAATGAGTTTACTCATCAAAAATGGCTCTACATAGCCAGGATTATGAAATTTATGGCTCAAAAAAATGGAATCAAGGCTTGCAAATTCATAATGCCATGGCTCAAAAAAATCCAGTTGCCCTTTAGGGAGTAGATATTTTCCTCACTAGATCTAGCAGAAATCTTGTGGCACCAAAAATGGCAGGAAAACTCCAGTAATCATGTTACAGCTAAAATTGTAGCCTTGTAGCTAGGTATATTTTCTATATTACATATATAACTCAAAAACTGTATAAGCTATGCCAAAAGCTATCCAAGAACTAGAAAAACATCCCCATGAAATGATGAATCAGAAAAAATTCATGATAGGGTAAACGCGGTATATTCCGACACATTAAGGACGCATCGAGAAATGAAAAACTATAAAAAAACGTATGCGTTACGTAAGTTCTGTTGCCTTCACGTGACTCTCAATACACTTCACTATGCGTCAGCAACGATGAAACGTCACAAAATGTTGCCATATTTATTAAAAAGCCTTTAGAATGGAAACCTACAAATCCCTATATTCCGTCACTGTGTTTGGCAATATTCAACAGTGGTGAGTCGTATTGCGTCAGCGCTTCAAATTTAACTGATACGTAATGCCGACATCAACGTATTCGAATTCCGTTCGCTGTATTGGGATACAACACGGCTTTGAATTAGAACACTAACAAATATTGAACACTACTTAATTACGTTTTAATTAACAGCTATTAGGCTTTTAATTAAGCAAATTTCAATTTTTATACAAAGCTTGGAACAATCTGTGTGTGTCCAATTCAAGTTGTGTTGGAATTAGTTTTGATGGGTCTAAATCCATCACTCAACTTAATCATCTATTAATTTATTTACGACTTGAAATCAGCAAATACAAGTTTACTTAAAGGATTCCTAATATATTCACAGACGTATTTAAAAGTCTCAAACTTAAAATGATCTCACCAGGTGGCATGCATTGTCTCTCTTTGGATCTCAATATTTTCCCACTAGATGGCCAAGACCTAGTGTTTTTGCAGTATTTCGACACGCAAATGTGACGTCACCATTTCAACCATCAATGAACGCATGGAACTAAACAAAGCTTAATATAAAGGAAAAACTCGAGAAGTGACGGAATTACCTACGATGTCGGAATATATCGCGTTTACCCTAATTTCAAATATCAGGTATACATTTACAAAAATTGCTTCCTGCAGCCTGCACCCTGCAGTTACTAACAAATAAGTAACATGAGTGAATGATACATGAGGATGAGTAACATGACCATTTTACAAGTGACTATTAGAAACTGCAGGTTTAAATAGGTAGGCTGGTAGGCAGATTTACTCTTTTTTTCTTTCTCACTATGGCCTTTTCCCAATTTCTTCTTTTCAAAAAAAAAACTTATTTTCACTTTTAAATACTACCAGCAATAGCAAAATGATTATTTTAACACAAAATTTTTAAATTTTAGGAAACTTCTGACATAGGTAGGCTACCACACTCAGGATGATGTGTGTTTTCGGTGAATTTTCCCTTGCATTTTCACTTTTTTTAAGCTATTGCTGTGCACAGTTCGCGCAATGTAATGAAAATTGATTATCTTCGCCGCTTCGCGCACGTGTTCGCGCAATCCCGGGATTCCCGGCCATCTTTATTTTAGAAGAAATTTTCTCCAAAGTCATATGGCAACACTGAACACTGTCTGTTTACATTTCGTATGTATAACAGCCGCAGTTAACGATTACCGTACATTCCGTAGCCGACAAGGCGGACAACCGGAAGAGTCTTAGTCAGAAGTAACCCGGACATGTCTTACATTTTATTATTATCGGTTCGACTCGCATAGTCAATATACTCACATATATTGTCGACTAAAATAGTAGAACTATTTTAGACTAAAATAGTAGAACTATTTTAGACTAAAATAGTAGAACTATTTTAGCTTTCTAAAGTACGGCGCACGGCGCATTTTTTTACAAACGTAGTACGGCACACCGCGCAGGTCGTTAAAATGACAAAATAAATTCCCGCGCTTCTGGCACATCTTCCTGACCATGGGTAGGCTAAAAGGAAAGTAGGATTAGCTAGTAAAAAATAGAAATTAAGATTAGATATATCAATGATAGAATAATTTTGAATTATATATATTTACTGGAAGTAGAGATTTTTTCGCATTTTTTTTCTAACTGCACCAATCAAGACTTAAAAAATACTAAAGTAAATAGATTGCTATTCTGTCAATGACACAAATCACACAATAAGCATTGATTTCTTGGTCAAACTAACATAGACAGATCAATAGTACCTATCAATGTTAATTTCAATTTTTATAAATCATATGAATAATGTATGATGCATACCATTTTGAGATGCAATCCTTAATATATTTTCAAACGGCGAGATTCACCAATTTACCTTGGCTTCTAAGCGAGAAAGCTTGTTGGGACTTGAGAGCTTGTTTACATGGGGTATGGGCAATAAAATTTACCCCAAGTACGTCAAACCGACCAAAAAATGTGAGATGTGATGTAATTAATAAAAACTTTATAAAATTCTGTCAAAAGTGATGGAAATGAATTTTTCCAACCCAATAAGGAAAATTTACTGCATATGAAGTAATTAAAGAACTAGTTTGATATTTATATCAGATCACAAAGATTTGCTTACGCGAAAGTTTTGCAATTACACTTTCAATTAAATAAATAGCAATATTTAGCCAATGTTGAAAAATATCAATTTAGTATAAAAGTTTTTATCTAAAAGAGTAGTAGAGTCCTGGAGCTAGAAAATGACCTTGAGTGCTTATTAAATATCCTCAGCAAACAGCAGAAATGGAGTGAGCAACAGCAACCTTATCAGCAGTCCGGTTCAGTGCAAATAACTTCTTCATCGTGGAAGGTTACTTACTCGATTGTAGCTCATCATTAAATTTCATTCAAATACACGAGAACAAAGTCTGTGAAACGAAGAACGCAATGAGTGGTTTCTTTAGCATTCAGTCATTTACTTTACATTCATCAAAGAGTTTGATTACTTTCGAATGATTTATACAATCGTGAGAACGGTGAGATTTGAACATATGGCAACCAATATTCAAAGCTTGTAGAAACATCTCGTATCGCTCTGTCAGTCAGTGTTGAAATAGGAGAATATGAAAGAATTTTTCGAGGCGTGATTATATTACGGATACTTTATCCCAGCATTTCTTTGAAGCCAAGCAAATGTTCCGTCTTTTTAAAGTTAACCCACTAACTGAAAATCTGTTGTACCTACATATTTTATTATATTCGTGTTCTACTTTCAACTTCCCACACGAAGATACTTTGTTTTTCACACGAAGATAATGTCAGGTGTTTACACCTAACCAATATTGCATTGAAACGAAAGAGTATCACTAGAATGTGACAAACGTCGTCATGAATGCTAGCATCGACTAACCTAACTACTTGCTCCGTCCATGTTAAGTTAATTTTGCCACACCTTCTTTCATTAGTAATGTTTGATTAACTTCCCTAAGTGCAGGCTACCATAGAGAAAAAACATGTTCTCTTACTCTGAAAAGATGTTTGATCAAGTGTATGTCGGTGTCGACGTGGGAACTGGAAGCGTGCGCGCTGCGTGTGTGTCTTCAGAGGGAAACATTTTGCACCATCAAACGGTGCCCATCACAGTGCACAACCCGGCGGAGCACTTCTATGAGCAGGCGTCCCAGGAGGTTTGGCAGGCTGTGTGTCATGCTGTACAAGTAAGTTTTCACGCCTTGATAACCTAATCCATTGATCGAGATTCAATAAGAATTGCCGACATCAATTACCTATTCAGATCTTCAACCTACTTCGTTGAGACACTACGAGTACGACAGCTTTAGTTTAACTTTTAAAGATTGTCTGGAATAAGACGAAGCACAATTGATAATCGGCCAGTTAAGAACAAGTTAGACGTTAAAAAATTAACTAACTCTTAAATTATTTGACAGAACGTATGCGGGGAGTTGAAAGAAGATCAGAAAGTCGCTGGTATCGGTTTCGATGCCACCTGCTCGCTGGTGGTTCTGGATGAGCAGGACCAGCCACTCACGATTGACCAACACACAGGTTAGAAACATCCGATTAAACCAGATCAGCCGCTATACATTTTTTTCTTTTTTTTTCTTTTTCTCTCTTCTTTTTTTTTGCCACACAATTCCTACAACACACAGCAATCCCCCAATTGTGGCCTTATCCTGTGTGTGTCATTAGTGTATAAAACAGTCTTACATTAGTTTTACCTAGCCAAAAAACCCTAACCAAACTGAACACAACCTGACATATCCTAACCTAACCTGTCCTAACCTAACCTGTCCTAACCCAACCCAACCTAACATAACTTAACCTAACCTAACTTATCCTATCCAAACCTAACCTAAGCTAGCCTAAACTAACCTTGCCTTACCTATCATTATTAAACCTAACCTAACCACCTTTTGTCATGGTCGCCATAGCAACTTGTTCCTGGCTTGAACCTAACCTCAGCTAATGACGTATATTTTACGACATGTTTTATTTCCTATCTGTTCCATTTCCATACCGTGCATAATTGGCGCCGGAGTTCGCATTTCCAACACTCACTGAACGTGTTGAAAATGCGAACTCCGGGCTAAATACTCCAAACTTCAATAACCTAGGTGTCGGTTTTCCTCTATCAAAGTAAATAGTGCAAAAACTTTGAATACTTAGTCGATGGTTGCAAGAAACACAGCTTCAAGACTTCTTAAGCTACCAGTTTCTCAACTTACTAGTCGCACTTACGAGCGTTGCCATCTCCTGCACGCCGGTGGTCATCATCGTACATCGTAATAACTGCTTGATCGAAATTCTAGTTGAAGTCTTGTTTGACGGCAGATATCGAGGGAACGTCAGGGCCCCGAGCTCAACACTCGGGGCCATTAAGAGGAAACTTTTGTTTTCTTTTCATTGTTATTCGTGTCAATTTTCTTCAATCCTGATCGTTACCGAGTTAAAAGACTTTGAAAGAGCTAAAAATCACAGTTACGGATCGGGCTCATTCGGGCACGGACCAATATTAATGTTTCACGAAAACCGTTTTCTACAGAACATTTGAGCATTTTTCTTTTGCATTATTAATTCTAACGAGCTGAAGCAGGTAACCATATAAGAATGATGCTTCTAAGTTAAAATTAAGATGATCAAATATTCGCTCAAAGAGTGAAAAAAAATCAAATTTTTAGTCTAATTTTATTCATCAAGTTTCTTAAAGAAATAATATTGCGAAAATAAGTAATATACACACTAATTAGCTCAGTTTTATCCTTTGCTGATTGAAACTTTCAGAAAGCTTCCAGGAAATACGCAGCTCGCACAATAATCTTATGAGTAAAGACGTTGAAAACGTTCAGGGAAGCTCTCGAAGTTACGCGATTCCGACGAAAATATGGTCAATTCTTGTCCAACTTGAAAAATCATATCTCAAGTTCTATAGAAGCTAGGATCATGAAACAGGGTCCAAATTAAAGGCAAAGACTTGTGCTTGATGATTAGAGTTGTTGAAAAAATCTAAAAAAATATTCCGTATAGTTGTGAAGAAAAAAGTAAAAAAGTTGGTAAAAATATGATCAAAGTTTCGCTCACAACTTTGTGAGTTTTCATTTTTCGGAAATTTGTATAGAACATAATTTGTGTATCTCGTTGAGACGCGTAAAGGATATGGCGTCAGAATTTCAAAAATCCTTACGGTTTGGCCGTGAGAGTTGAAAAACCACCGAAAAATGGCCGAAAACAATTTTTTCAGGGGCAACTTTGACCCCCAATTTGGGGATGAAGTTTTGACCCGACAAAAAATCGTTCGAAATCCTAAACACACTCCAATCCTTTATCTTTTGTTTGAAATCAAGCGCATTGCTATGAGTTTGCAACTTTTTGAGCTGTGATCGTTTCCGCAACCTCATTATAGGTTATTTTTTGACCAAAATTTCCCCTTTTTTGGGGATTTTTTTTTGGGGGGGGGAAGGAGTGGGAATTTCGGAAATCCGACAAGAAGCTTTGGTAGAAAAAATATGCGTACGTGTCTGTGCCAATTTTCATGAGATTCTACAGGGTGAGCTCCTGGGAAAAATGGCTCGAGTGAAAACTTTGACCTCAAACCCCCCTGTACGTGATTATACAGCAGCATCATATCAAAAGTGGAGAGTATAAGTTTAGCGTCCGCTTCGCTGGCTGTAGGCACACAGAAAGTGAGCCGCTCCTGCCGAATCAAAAGTGGAGAGTATAAGTTTAGCGTCCGCTTCGCTGGCTGTAGGCACACAGAAAGTGAGCCGCTCCTGCCGAACAATTTGGCTTCTCAGCCAGTTAGTTACTATCGTAAATATATATTATGAGAAGAACAGGTTAATTATCTCAGTACCGACCTCTTTTGAACCTCTCATCGCAGTTACAAATGCTGTATATATCTATTAAAATTATTAGAATTAAGTGCACAGTGTAATTTTTGCAGTTAGAAAAAATGCATCTTCACTTATCGCAACTTCCTAACACTGCTAATCGAATCCAAGCAAATGAACTATTTTCACAAATCTTGCACAAGGTTAAGCATCTTAGGACATACGAAACAAACTGTACTCAAATGCTTCGAGCCTTCATGACCCACTAATGAACAAATAAACACGTCTCTTATCGTATGAAATAATTCCAGGAGAAGACAAATGGAATATAGTGATGTGGATGGACCACAGGGCGGCCGAAGAAGCTGAGGTCATAAACCAAAACCCACACAGGTATGGTAATCTATTTCAGTTTGATGCAATACCTACATATTTTTAAATGAAAAAATATCAGTATAAATATTACAATGCTAAATATCGTAGACTTTTTGAACCCATTCAATTAGAGAGATGTTCCCGCCCCGAAAAACTTTAGTGGGTAGGGTTACATGACGCGTGAATAAGAGGCAGTGATTAAAGTAAATTATTTTTATTGAAAATACGTACAAATTTTAAGATCTTCGATACGTTTAGATGAAATGTTGTTCAACAGTTGAAATTTTGTTTGAAATGAAATGTTGTGTCTGCCTCATGTTGTTCTTCATCATGGTTTCATGCTTAGGTTATGGACAAATAAGTTAATGCACCTATAAGCCTTCGTTTTCCTCTACATTACCTTTTATTCTAAATATATTCTCTCCAAATACCACATTCTACTGTCATGCTGACCGCTATGCATTCCAAAGGAAGTCTCAAAGGATATGAAATGTTTGTCGTAACACAGGAACATTTTTCGGTGACATTACATTACGGGCTGTTAATATATCAAAATAAAAGAAAGCTACTCACTGGCTAAATTTTACTCTATGTCAGCGGCTTTGTTTTCCACCAGTGTACTGCAATACGTGGGAGGAAAAGTGTCTCTAGAAATGCAAACCCCAAAACTCTTGTGGCTTAAGCGTCATCTTCCTGACACTTGGACCAAAGCGGGACACTTCTTAGACTTGCCCGACTTTCTGACCTTCAGGGCAACCGGCAACGCTACCAGGTGGGTGTAGAGCTTAAACCACCTGCCTCACATGATACCACCTGTCATACATGATACCACCTGTGATACATGATACCGCCTGTCATTAACCCTTAACCCACGAGCTTAACCCTTGTCCCTTAACCCATAATTTTGCAATGTTATGATCATTTGGAGTGTAGGCACAGTTTTACATTTGCAGTCCAACATGGGTTTAATAAAAATTTTGTGTAGAACATGAAGTAGAAATATCACGTGCAATTAACGCATACCCAGCATATATTATTTATTTTAGACCCCATTCATGTGTGCAGAGAAAACCAAAAAAGTTGTATATTCACATTTAGTTTTTGGTCCCTATGCAGTAGAGAAGGCCCGTTTCCTGACTGACCCTAACCTCAGCTTTTCAATTTGAATCACAAGTTACTTTGGCGTTCATTATGAAGACATTTTTAAATTTAGGGCTCGAACTGCAAAAGTTTCAGTGAAAGTTTCAATATTCTAAGACTTTAAATGATTAATGGCATGATCCAAATGATCATTGATTATGTTGCATTTTTCAAATATTTTAACTAAGTAATTAAATTAAACACGCTTAGGCTCCCAGTTCTAAGAATTTATGAAAGCCTTATTTCAGAATCATAGAAAATGGTGATAATGCCTACGCCCACAAACTGATCCGGTTGGTTAAAACTGCGTTCAAAGTTCTCTTCGATAACAGCCTACGATTGTGAGTTATGGTTTTATATTCACATTTGACGCTCTGTGCCGACAGATCTTTGTGCTCGCTGGTGTGCAAATGGACCTACGACGGCAAAAAACACTCCTGGGACTCAAAGTTTCTCTCCGACATTGGACTGGAAGACTTGACGCGAGATGACTTCAGAAAAATAGGTAACGTGCTGCATGGCTGCAGAAAAAACGGCGTCCGAATTTAAAAAAAATATATGTAAAACAATGTATCTTCAATCAAAATTTAGTTCCTTCCATTCGCTGCACTTTTAATTGTTCACCATTAACATGTTCAACTTCGTATTAGAAAATATATGACACATTCATTTTTTAGAGTGAAAATAGATAGATATCAAAGTAATATTTATCCTATTTTATTCGATCAGATAGAATTTTCTTGTTCTTAAACACCTGAAGACTATATACATCGCATCAAAACCAATTTCAAATGATTCAAAGGGTCATGTAAATCTTTATCGAACTAACAACATGTTTATAACTCAAGTCCAGTCGCCTGAAATTGTGTAAGAAATATCGTGGAGTTGATCACATTTGAACGACCAGCTACTCATAATTCTTATTTGCATAATTCATTTTCAAAACATCGCCTCATAAACTGTATAAATTCGAGGTTCCAGTATTCCCTAGGCAGTATCGTGCTACCGCCCGGCAGTGTGTGTGGTCACGTCACGGCTGAAGCTGCTCAGCAGCTCGGCGTGCCTCAGGGCACTCCTGTGGCATCGTCCCTCATTGACGCCCACGCTGGGGCCCTGTCTCTCCTCACCGCCTCGCGGGAGGGCCCCGCCGGGACTCTCGGTGAGAATCCTGACACAGAAGAACCTGGATCACTCATTTCTTTACATTTATCAAATGACGACTCACTGGATGAAAATAGCTTACATCACGAGGGGCTGTTGCAACGTGTGGTATATTGATTAAAATATAAGTTTTTTATATGATAGCGGTGATCAGCGGCACGTCCTCGTGTCACCTGATATGCAGCGAGTCTCGTCACGACGTGCCCGGTGTGTGGGGTCCCTACTACGGCGCCCTGCTGCCGGGGCAGTGGCTGGCAGAGGCGGGACAGAGTGCCACCGGCGCTCTCTGCGACCACGTCATCAACACGCATCCTGCAGCGAACGCTGCGCTGTGCAACAGCAAGTACAGCGCACACTCTCAGAGAAATGAAGGAGACTTTGTCTAAATAGCGATGCAATTTTATGTACTGTCCCTGTGTGGGTCATCCTGAAACGGTTTGGCCCTGAAAAATGACGTATCAGAGCTATGTGCATAAAGTGCGTCACTATTTGGAAAATATGACCCTATTCCTTTTTTCTGAGTGTATGGCATCTCATAAATCTATGAATGCAACCTATTGTAGTACATTATTCATATATTCATGATAGAGGAATAATACAGATCAATAACGGCTGTCTATTTGTTGGAGGCGTTGAGGCTACCTGATGTGGCTCTCGCCGAAAATGTTCGATTGTTTTGTCATTTTCGATTGAGATTGGTGGTAAAATCCCGTGTATATTGAAATGAAAGCCTTTTAGAATGTCGCTTAATTCTCATAAAATTGAAATTGAAAGTAGCAGACAACACACAATATTACACTGTGAAGAAGTAGCACTAAAAATATATAGAGCAAGAACCATCAAATTGTAAGTATTATTGCTGTGGGAATTACTATGCTTTGGAATTGAGTAACTTCTAGATCATTTTAATAATACTCGTGTTTAATTCAAAATTTAAAAGGATGATTGGTGGTTTTCAGACGGGCAGAGTGTGTTGAAGCTCTCGTATACCAGCTAGCCGAGTCCCGCGGTCTATCAGACCCCACGACGCTGACACGGTCTCTACACGTGTACCCAGACCACCACGGCAACAGGTCTCCTCTCGCAGACCCCAACATGTCAGGCATGGTTAGTACTTTAGGTCTAGTGTTTGTCAAAACAAAAAGTTTTGAAATGTTTCTACACGAACTCTGATTCCGTTTTGAACAAAAGAAATGAACTGTTAACTGTGATCGGAAACAGTGTATAGACATTAATTGTATTACAGAGACACTCCCCAAAAATCACGGGGGGAAAATTTTACCAGTTGAATTTCAGTTGCCAGGTTTTGATTGCTTTCATAATTTAAACAAAGAGCAGTGTAGTAGAGGTGTAGCTCTGTGGGTTAGAACCTTTTATTAAGGCCTAACAAGTTAAATTATCAGCAGAGCACCAATCAGCTAGAGAATCAGTGTGGTGTGAGCTTTCTTTAAAAAGCAGGGATAGCCTCCTTATAGGTGTCCTGTATAGATCACCCAACAGTTCCTCTGATAACGATAAAGTACTGAACAGTCTTCTACCAAGCATGATTTTCAGCAGGTCGCATACGTTAATCGTTGGTGACTTTAACCATCCAGAAATAGACTGGGCACATGAATCCTCCCCATGGGATGAGAATCACCCTTCATCCTTGCTCATGGAGTCTGTGAGAGACTCATTTTTATACCAGCACATCACAAAGCCAACCCATTTTAGAGGTAATCAGACTACAAATACTCTAGACCTAGTGTTTACTAGTGAAGAATCAATGGTAGAAGAGGTTCGCCACGAGGTTCCGTTGGGCAAAAGTCACCACCAGTCATTGTTTTTCAGTATTAAGTGCTATACAGAAAAGACGCCTCGGAAGCGTGAACGTTTCAACTTTGCGAAAGGCGACTATGTTAAACTTCGTGAATCAGTGAGTGCAGCGAACATTTCGGACTGTATCATGAACATGAATGTGGCGGAGTCTTGGTCATTCATCAAGAACATAGTTATGTCTGCAGTTGATGCGCGTGTAGTTACCTAAGATGAAGCTCGGTGGAGTCAGAAAAACACAGTGGATGAACAATACGGTTAAAGCAAAGCTAAAAGCAAAGAAGGAAGCCTACAAGCGTTATTTACGAACTCGTAGCGATGCTGAGTATATCCTATATGCAAGAGCTCGAAATCAAGCTAAAAAAGCTTGTCGCACCGCAGTCAAAAATTTTGAAAAAGACGTTGCCAAAAACTCGAAAAAGAACCCGAAAGCCTTCTTCTTGTATGCTAGTTCGAAGTGTAAGACAAGGGACGGTATTGCTGATTTGAATGTAAGTCAACGGAAGATATCTTCTGACGACGGCAAGGCCAATGTTCTAAATCAGTTCTTTAGCAGCGTCTTCACAGATGAGGACTTGAACAGTATTCCAGCTATTGAGGAGCGACCAGTGGACTCGAAGTTAACTAGTTTCGAGATACATGAAGAGGAGGTTCTCAAGCGCCTGGCCTCCCTGAATCCCAACAAGTCATCTGGATCAGACGGTTTCCACCCTAGGTTGCTCAACGAATTAGCAACCGTCCTGGCCGGCCCTTTAACAGTATTTTTTCGAAAAACCTTAATCGAAGGGACTTTGCCGGCCGACTGGAAAGAAGCCCAAGTGACACCCCTGTTCAAAAAAGGTGACAGGAGTAATCCAGGTATTTACCGTCCTGTAAGTCTCACAAGTGTTGTGTGTAAGTTGATGGAATCGGTTGAGGGATAGGATTATAGATCACTTGACTGTTAAACATCTTCTAACAGACTGTCAGCATGGCTTTATTGCTGGCAGATCATGCACCACTAATCTCCTGTCTACCTTGAATAAATGGACTCGCCTGCTGGACGAAAGGGAGCCAGTGGATGCACTGTACCTCGATTTTGCCAAGGCATTTGATAGTGTTCCGCATGAACGACTGTTACGTAAAGTGAATTCTTTGGGAATAGAGGGAAATGTACCCCAATGAATCAGGAATTTCCTAGTAGGCAGAAGACAATTGTGACAGCATTAACGGAACCGTATCAGACTGGGTAACTGTGCGCAGTGGCGTACCGCAAGGAAGCGTTCTTGGACCTGTTTTGTTCGTCGCTTTTATAATTTGTACAAGGTCCCAGAAGGATTACTAGAATTTGAAACAAGAACAACACCAGGGGCCACAGCTATAAACTAAAAAAACTGCGGTGCAACTTATCCACGCGACAACATTTCTTCTCGCTTCGAGTCACTGACATGTGGAACAGCCTTCCTGAAGATATTGTTGACGCTCCGAGTATGAACGCGTTCAAGAACAGACAAGACAAGGCCATGCATGAGCATATGTTTAGTCTTAAAATGCCTCGTACCCTACGGAACAACTGATATCTAGAAGCGATTTTTAATCTACCGTCCGTTGAAAAGATCTGATCAAAAGGCCAGTCTAGTCAAGAAAAATACAAGAATCGGCGACAGGCCTATCCAGGCCTATTCTTTAATGCCGAAGATACTATACTATACTATACTAGTGAAACCTCGACGAAAATTGTTGAATAATGTAGAACTAGAACGCGTATGTGGTTCATCGATATCTACCAGAGCTTGTAGAATTAAAGAACAATGAGGTTCCCGAAGCGGGTTTGTTAACAAGGCATATCAGTAATCTATAAAATGGTGCGTTCCCTGGAATTCTTAGCTTTGATATTCAAAGGAATAATAACGTTCATTAGTCTGTATTCTGAGAGCGAGAAGCTCGCTGCAAATCGAAGGGCTGTGTTGTGAATAAGGCTTACTGTATGAAAATATAACTCAGTACTCACTGCAGTGAGTGACAGAGAGCGCATTTTCTCTTCGACGAAAACTTGAGGTCACGGACGGACGGACAGACAGACATGGCGAGCACAATAGTGCATTTTTTCCATAAATGAGAAAATGCGTTAAAAATACGTTTACTAACTTGCATCCGATGTGAGCAAGGCTAATATTTAAACAACTCCGTCTAACTAATTTTATGGGAACTAAAAAAAGCTTGAACATGTCAATTAATATTTGTCTTCCATGGTGAACAAGCAGAAATATTAGTTTTTATTAATTTTATGTGGCAGGTGAGCGGACTGACATTGAGCGCCGGCCCCGATGACTTAGCGCTGACGTATCTAGCGACGGTCCAGGCGTTGGCAGTGAGTTATAAAAATTAGAATAGCGTTGTCAACGTTGACGATTAGGCCATCAAACCTGTTGAAAATTCTTAACACCGCAGTTTTCACAGTTTGTTGCGGGTCTTGAACCCATTACTCGCTCTCCAGGCTTGTTGCTCTTAACCACTCGTTCTTTCCTATTATTTTTCTTACTAACCCTGTTTTTAGTTTATGATACCAGTGCTTGTATATGCCTTATGCTACCCGTGCTTGTGTTTGCATTATGATGCTTGTGAGTGTATTTGCATTATTTTATACGTGAGTGTGATTGCATTTTGATACCCATGCTTGTGTCTGCATTATGATGCACATGCGTGTGTTTGCATTATGATGCACGTGCTTGTGTTTGCACTATGATGCACATTCGTGTGTTTGCATTATTTCATACGGGCCTCGTCTCAAGTTCTAATATTTTAGAATAAACATTGTTTACAGTACGGCACGCGGCATATAGTCGAGCAGCTGAGGAGCAGCGGTCACGTCATCCGTAGCGTGATGCTCTGCGGCGGCCTCGCGCAGTCGAAGCTGTTCACGCAGACTCACGCAGACGTGCTCGGTCGGAGTAACTCGGGGACGCCGCTGGACTTATTTCGAATATTGTTTTGTTTGTTTATTTAATCGGGGCTTTGAGTAGATTGGTAAAAGAGGAAAAAGCGAATTCAACAAGGGAAGATTTGTTAATTCATGATTTTGTATCGTCTGTTGTTTAGAAGCTGAAAACGAACAAATTTAAGGTGGAGGTGATATTGTACTTGGTGTTGTGTAGATAAATGACTGTAAAAAGATCCTGCTGATTATTGTAGAAGAGTTTTATGCTGGAAGATGATGGAAATTAGTTTCGCGAGAGGATATTCAGATGATGGGCCATGAATGTCTACAACGTGAAAATTTAAATGATAGCAGGGTTTACACAAATAATTTTATACAATATCATAGGCACCATTTATAAAATCAGACGTAAATAACGCCAGAATTACCGTATGTTAAACACGTACCTGCACCATACTGGCAGGGGTGGATGTGGTGGTGCCACAGCAGCAGCAGCTGAGTGTGGTGCGCGGGGCGGCGTTGCTGGGAGCGGCGGCCGCTGCGCCCGGGGACCTGTACACCGCCTTCGCCTCCTTCACCGCCAACGCTTGCAGCGTCACCGCGCCACAACGCAACCATCGCAGGTCATCTTCTTAAAAAAATAGCATGCAGACTGAAGTTTTTTATTTTTTTCATGGCCATAAATCAGCCATCGCAGGTCATCTACATTTTTAAAAATAAATAGAATGAAGACTGAAAATTTCTATTTTTTTTTTTGAATAATTCTTTTGAACAAAATTGACTCGTGTCATTGATGAATAGTTGCATAGATGATGTGGTGATTTTCCAGGAAAATTATATTGCTATTATCTAAGTTACAATGTTCGTTTTGAATTTCATTTAATATGATCAAGACGAACCCGGATGTACGATGGCATTAATACCAATCATCAAATTGCATTTGAAGGCGTCAACTTTAAATAAAACTATTCTCTTTCAGCATTTCACTCCGAAATTATAATAGCATTGTAGCTCTGCTAATCCGTCGAGCCAAGCGTCCTGGCACCCATTTAATTTCTTCTTAACACGTTGACTACGTATTGATACATATGCGTACCACGAAATGTATTTCTCCAGGAGGTAGTGGTACATAATTCAGGTTGCCTAAAATCGGCCAAATCCGAGATACTAGATTCAATGTATACTAGTTTATTTGTAGGTTCCGCTATAAAAATTCCATTTATTTCCTTTTTGCAGTATTTAAAATTTAATTAGGAAGTACCTCTATCATAAATTTTAGCCGGCCAACGCAATTAAGAAAAAACTAAATCACGGAATTTGTCCGGAAAAAATGACCGTCTGGCAACCCTGCTTAAAAAAGTACAAAAAATGAAATAATAGTACAAGATGAAGCAATCGTAGTCAACGTGTTAATCAATAATTTCGCTATAAACTTCAGTACTTTTCTCCTGCAGATTCCATGACCTGAAATACGAAGTCTTCAAAAAGATGCAGGCGGATCAACTTCAGTACCGCGTCATAATGGGACAGCTGTCCGTTTCCGAGGCATGAGCATCGTGCTCATTATGTTTGTTCAGTCACGATCATGTTGCTATACATGCACCGATTGCATGATTTCGAAATTTTTCATAAATTGTTTGCAAGAGTTCATCGTTTTTCTGCCAACCCTATCAAAATTTTTAGTTGGTGGCGACCCTGAATTAGGAACCGCCTAGGACTCGGACCGAACGTAAATCAGCTTCTCTATGTCCGCTTTTTGGTCTACATTCCGGTCCCCGAATCAGACAGCTACCAGAGCCTGGTGAGGGGACTGAGGGGATTCTGCCAACTCTTGCCCTACTCTCAGGAGACCATAAAGTCGGCCAGGAGGTTCTGACTAGTCGCTGATTGCGATCAGTTGGCCAACTGACCCAGAATAACACTAACGCGAACATAGCAACTCTGGGGCAGAGGCTGAAGCATACCCCGAATTTTGTTAGTGAAATCCTACGCCGTTCGTCACTCATACCAATTGTGCCCTAACTAGGTACTCACCATAGGTTCGATTTGAATGCTTGTCTTGAAAAATTTCCGAAGTGCTTGATTTAAATTTTTTAGTTTCATAACAAATTATCCGGTTAGAATAATTTCACTATTCTTTTCGTACTTAGTTTTCTGCGCAACGCAGTTGGTGCTTTATATATGCAAAATGCGACTATCTATTCGACATTTTAGTTACATTTTTCTATCACCGACTGAAACTAAATAACATTTCGCACTAAAAAGCTGCGTCAATTCAATCATATTGTCTTGGATTTACATGACAAATTGTAAACTTCATCTCGCCTTTGGAATTTTCGCATATGAAAACAAAACGTACAATAAATTTTCAGATACATTGCAGCCTGGACAATATCCGACGCCTTGAGCGCAATACTATTATATAGTAAAGGAATAAAAAGAAGATCCAAAGAAAAATATTGCATAAATAGTTTTAATCACTAAAATAAATGCTAGGTCGACAACTAAACAAATTGTTCCATATTACAAACTTTGACTTAGACACAATATTTTCATTGAACCTAACTTCTTTCAATTTCAATTGAAATAACACAAAGTACTTGCGCTTGCAATTTACCTTATCGTCGACGCATGGAAATAAAATGTACCCTAATGAGAAATGCTTACCAAATCTAATACAATAATGTCACTCTTATTCAACAGGATTATGATTCGTAGGAATTTTATGCGCACAAAGAGTGGTAAGTGAACTGAAAATTTTCCTAAATATGAGATCTTGCCATCGCTGGCTGGAGTGCATACATTTTACCTTTTTTATGCATACCCTAGTCACTAAGCTGCCCGTCTAGTGAGTTTAGATGGACACTCAATCCGGGATGATAAGCGTCCCAGGATGATAAAAGATGTTAATCGCTCCGGGTGAGACTGGCGACTTTACCGTGCACGAAATATATTGGCATGAGAAGCTTTATCGTCGTTTTATTTCAGCAATAATGGTTAATATTCTACGCAACATTGAAGATCGAAACCAAACGAACGCAAGCACAAGATTTTTCAAGCAAAATTGAGAGTTAATGCAGTTCGTGCAACGACGAACATTGTCCAGTGTTTAAATAATCACCTCTCGAACAGACAACAGCGATGAGTCAATAGAATTAGTCGAAATAAGATGCTAGCGTCATCGAAATGTTCAAATTTCGATGTACCTATAAAAAATAGTATTTCGGCACCAGAAACTAGTAACAATCCATTGGATGGCTCTCGATGCTTCTTCATAACAAAAAATTTTTGATGTCCGTTATATAATTAAAAGTAAGTGTATGTACAAATCCCAACATTAAGTTCTCTTAAAATACGAGAAAGGTGGCAAACTCATAGAAAACGCGCGATTCTATCAGCTTGAGGTTGAATGTCAACTCCAACCAAGAATGCCTACGTAAATAGACATGAATAAATTTGAAAACCGTAAAAAAGTGCAAACGAAAAAATATGGCAGTCATACCTGCTGTTTATAGATTTTGCTATCAAGAGGCACAATAGGTCTACAATAGATCAATTTTGGGTATTTTTCCGCATATACACTGACCTGTTATAGCCATTAACGGCGGCATATTAATCTTTGAGACCCAAACTGTGTCGCATTTCCTCGACGAGAAGCGTCCTTCACACAGCAATGACTTGCACATTACAGCGTCGCAGGTTTTCAAGAATATTCATCACTATCTTCACATGAGTAATAAACCAGTTAAAAAAATAATGTCAAGTCAGTGTTACCTTCATAAGTGTTATCTTATTCTTTTCTTAACGTATGATTAAGATCACGTAGCTTAAATTCATGCGAATGTACTATCGCGAGTCAACAGATCTATATCAAGACCTAGAGAACATCAACATATTATCTTGAAGGTCACACGCTTCATAATAACATGTTGTCGTGAATCCAGGGCATGAACTTGGTGAGTCTCGTATAGACGCCGGGGTAGCCAGGCTCTGCACAACGATTGCCGAACGACACAACCCCGATCTGTATCCACTGCAGGCTGGAGCCGTACAGCAGCAATGGGCCACCGCTGTCGCCCTGGACACATTAACAATCAAATGCATTCTCTGCCTTGTTCCAGAGTTTTAGTTAAACTGAAATTATACATAGAATATATTATAATACCGGTATATAGAATATAATATTAAAAATTATACATAGAATATTTTACAACTTGAAAAATATATAGAATATATAGGCTGTGTGAAAATTAATTATATAATTTTTGTTATTTTACTTTGGAAGAAAAAGATTTTTTTATTATGCATGCACTCAATGAGTGGGGGTAAAGACTCGCGTTTAGTCAAATAAATTATTTAATGGTGCAATTAAAAATTTTTGCCTCACTTACAATAGGAATGAATTTAACATTTAAAATTAATTGAAACCCAATTTTCTCACTTTGCTACACATTGAGGCATAAATCATCAGAATTAACAGTTACATCATTGAAAAAGAATATTAATAATGATGTGTTGCAGTTTGCACAGTAAAACATTGTCAAAAACAAAATGCCGATTTTCCGACGTAAGTAGTGAACTCAAACACGATAACATTTACAGGCAACATATAACAAATTCAACATTTAAGGGACGTAAGCATGACGATGCAAAACTAAGCCTTTGATGCCGAGGACGTTATTTTTTAATTTTTGAAAAATATAATTGCATACATTTTTTTCGAAAAAAGAGGAAAATTCGAAGCAAAAAATGTGGTAAAGGAAACGTGGGCTTACCTGGCAAGCGTCGGTGCCTCCTGCAGCGTACCCGGCGCACATGAAGATGTCGGTGATGGGCTGGAGGTATGCAGAGTCGCAGTCCGCGTTCCGCCAAACTGGCAACTTGGCTTCTCTCAACACAGGACTTTCCGTACCGTCTGAAATGTAAGTTATTGGGCTCATTTTTTATCGTCTAGAATGTAAAGGGCACATTTTGTATCATCTGAAATATGGAATATAGTACCAATTTTGTACCGTATAAAATTTGATAAAAGGGCTCATTTCGTAATGTACATAAATTTCGTACACGACGCTGAAATTTGCGAATTGCAAAAATACATGTGTACATGCTTCAAGAACAAGAACTTTAACACTTAAAGATATATTCCTCGCTCACACACGCCGGAAACACTAAATGTGTTAAACAAATAACTGTTCGTAGAGTCTCAGCAAACTTGCTATATTGTAACGAGTAGACCCGTATCCGACAGTACACACGCTCGGTACATGTGAATGATAGAAAACAAGACGTTCATGGGGTCTCAGCAGACCAGGCCTTACCGTAAAAAGTAGACCCGTATCCGATGACGGTCGGGGTGAAGCCCACGAGGTGGTCTAGCTCCCTGACCGCCATGTCCGGAGGCGGCAAGCAGATGGGAGCGATGTAGTCGTTGAAGAGAACTTCTTCCGCCAGTTTGATGAGGGCCAAGTCATTGTAGAAGCCCCGGGACTTGAACTCAGGATGTGGTCTTATCGTGGACACCCTGAATTATAAGAAAAAATCAGTCAAAATTATCAATAATATATGACAAGATACTAATTGCGTTTTCAGAAATAAAAGCAGTCATTGAATACTTGAAAATTTCCAAAAAGAAAATACATGAGAAATCTCTTTCGTGGTTTAATAAACAGCAAGCAAATTTACATACTAAATTCAATGAAATAACATCAAGCGAATCAATTCGAAACACTGGTGATAGGAGATGAAAATTATCTATTCACTTGTAAGTTTTTGGATTGCTCAGATGATCGTCCTCGTGGCTGAAGATGTTGTGATCGCCCAACCTTACAGTGAATTGTTGTGGGTTGAAACTGTAGAAAGAAGCAAACGTTGTTATTAAAGCAATAGTAAAATACAACTTGGGGATGGATCTGTTGCCCAATTTTTACGGAGCCAAATAACTTTCGCTAGATTTATCTATAGTATTGAATAGCTCACAACAAATTCATCTTGAGACAAAAGAAAGTGTGAGCATAATCAGTTCAATGGTAATGTTCGTAATCAAACCAACAGAACAAGGGAATTTAGATGACGCAAATTTTGGAGGGGCAAAAATATGTAATCTACAAATGAAATCAAGCCGTACGTTTTGCCAGCAGGGTCTTTGGTGCAGTGAGCCGCAGTGAGCACGAACTTGGCCGAGATCAGAGACCCGCCACACCAGAATTCAGTTTTTTTTGGTCCGTGAAGGAAAATCGCGGCCATCCACGGCCACTTGCCCCGCGCCGCCTCGTGGCCTCCCACCACACGCGTCTCCGGGACACGAGCGGTGCCGCAACCTGGCCAGGGAGCGCACCAACTCAAAACCAACAAGAAAATATCCACCAAAAACTCGAGCTATAAGCCATCGGACACCGCAAGCACCAACTCAACATCAGCAATAAAATAAACTCGAAAGTTCGAGCTATAACCAATCAGTGAAACAGGGATGGTGACATGGCCTCGCGACAAACACTGTCACACATCGAACAGTATACATTGATAATCATAGCGCTTCAACAAATTTATTTTGCATTTGACTTAAATTTTAGGTTGGAGAACTTTTTATTCAGTATTGTTCGTTTCATTTTTTAAACTGCTCCTGCACCAGTTACGTTAAAACACACGATGAGATACGTACGGAAACGAGCGTTAGGGTGAACCGGAGGAGCGTGTGGCCGAGCGGCGAAGGCGTGGTTGGGCTGAGACGCTGCAGGGTCCGCCTTGAAGGATGGAAGTCGTATAATTAGTACCGTATTGATATTACCTCATCTGTACGAGTACTATAGGGAACTGAACTATAATTATAATTATCTTGCAATCAATTGCATTCTAAGCCGGTTCCTCTGAAACGCGATGCCGTTACTCAAACATGTTCGGGATTTCAAGAGCGCAAAATATTATGCCTGATAAATGCATGAAATCGATCACATATTGAATTTTATACTAGGTAAACTAGATAAGCTGTTAATATTAAATTCAATCTAAATGCCCTAAATATTTTACATGCAACATTAGCTTGGTGTGAAATATTCCATGCAAATGCGGAACTAAAAAGATGAAGGACAAACAACTTGTACAGCAGATGGACTAATACTCGAGCTATGCAGTGCAAACGGGACAACTTCAGCGCAGAGAATTACCGCGAAAAGCTCATAGTCGCTGAAATTATGTACATATTATAAATTTCCAACCAATTCATCTTTCTTTAATTTATGTATGTAAAAATTAATTTTAGTAAAATTAGATACAAACGTCGTAAATATTCACATTAGGAGGCTGGGGCCGAGAAATGGGTCGCGTCTCGGAAGTTGGCCTCGAGGGTCGTTGGACGCCAATGGGACGTTGAGTGGTGGTATCGTCACTCCTGAGTAAAAACCAGTTGTAAAAGAAGAAGCAATAACCGGAAAAATTGATTTATCTGTCTTCGTGATACTTTAAACGCCAATAATCATAATTTACTTATCTGCAATATTTTGAATTTATGCTTTTTATTCAAGAAGCTACAGATTCTTTTCATGAAAAAACAAGTTTTCAATACTGTCCCGGTAAGTCGTGCAATAAATTTTACCAGCTTTCCAACGACTGATGGGGATTTCCGCACTTATAGAAGCAGAAGAAGGATGTGTAATGAAAAATAGTAATGACGACATCTTGATTATTTAATAGATGGACAGACGTCATCGATCTTAAAATCTCAAACGAAAATAATTTCGTTGCACTCCGGTCGTTAGAGTATTCAAAAAATTTAGCAGCTATAAGAATTGACCTAAATTGCAGTGCAACAGAGTGGGCTAATAATAACATTTATTGTTCTATACCAGTCTAGGTAGGCAAAAGTTTTCGGAATCTAATTTCTCACCGTTGTCCAGATTTTGGGCAGCAAACACCAGGGACAAAGATGCTCTTGAAGCACACGGAACGCCTTAGGGTATTCAGGTCCAAAATGAGATCGGGGCAATCGGCTAAATCTTTACAGTAGCCGAGTTCTTGGGACGGTGTAGTGCACGTTCTAGCCTCGTCTTCTCCGGAATCTGTGCGTTGTCCAGGTAGATCAATCACTATACGGCCATTAGAGAACGACACAGCAGGCAAAGAACTCTCGACTGTCTTAGAAACGGTCCGAGCAATTGGCGATACAGCTTTGGTTAGGTTGCTACCAAGAATTGTAGAGGAGATGAGGTACGCGGTGTTGCGCATCAGGCTGCCTAAGCCAATGTTTTCTTCGTTGGACTGAGCGCGATCCCTTTCTGGGTCAAGTTCCAAGTTGTGAAGAGGATAGTCGTCATAGTAGTATTGGTAGTCGTTAGTGTAGTCCTCATTGTGCGTCACGTCAGGAAAGTCGTGGCTGTCGTAGCTTCGGTCAACGCTCACGTCAAGTTTAGTTGAGGAGTCGGAAGTCGGTTGGTTAACCATTTCCACCAAAGTGTTAGTAACGCGAGCTAGAGTATCATTGAATCTATATGATACATTATTTACAAAATTCGAAAGATCATAATGCCTCCTCCTTCCTAGGATTTGAATGCCCAGTCTTTTCATCGCTATTGCAGTGGCTCGACTTAGAACTTTCTTTCCTCTCTCAAAGCCATCATAAGCCAAATCTATGCCTTTATTGATGACTGGAACAGCATCGTTGCTCAGTCCTACTATGGACTCTTCTAGCTCAGGAAATACTTTATTTTTTAATACATCCGCCATCTCATCACCCATGGAATGAAGAGTTTGTCCAATAGATGGCACCAATTCTTGATTAAAACGTTTGCTCACCTCTTCGACATTTGGCCACATGCGTCGCATAGGCTCAGCAAGATTGTCGATCAGTGACGCTGTTGGTTTAGTCAGAGTTAGTCTTAGTCGTCAAGAAAATAAGACACTAATTCAAATATTATACAATGCGCATGCAGGCAGTCGTACTGTAGAAATATTGTCTGTTCAGTGTGGCCATTCACATTGAGTGTAAAGGGTACCTATAAGTAAAAACAAATGCTATAGAATATAAATGATCCAATAGTAGTCGCACAGCAAGAAAAACTGAGTTATTAACGATAAAAGAGCGAGTATTTAACCGAGTACTTTTTCTGACGGCTAAAATCGCGCGAGTTTGAAGGACAAGAATATGCATGGATGTTTTTGAGGCGGTTGAACAAACGCTTTTTGACTAATAGAATTATTTGTTCCAATCTTGATTAACTAGGCGTTTCCTAATTTGCGATAATAAACAGATCATCTAAAAGTTTAGGAAATTTAAGAAAGATGATGAGTATGCAAAAAAAAACAAAGAATAAGCTAAAATTATTTGTAAATAGCGGTACCGTTCACAAAAAGTTTAGATTTTCTAAGAGTACCGCAACTAGCTGAAAAATTTGGGCCCAAGTGAAAGGAACGTGCTAGAGCTAGAGGAACAACTAAACTCAAATCATTAGTCGGTTTTCAGTTATGGTTATTGTCCACTACTCAGTATATTTGAAACAACTGACGGCAGCATTAATGCGTGATTAGTGACGATGAAATAAAAAGTTTACATCTGAGAAAAAGACCGTTAAGATCGTAGAGAAGCTTTACAGAAAAATATTTAGATTTTTGACGTAATTGTTGCATTTAAATAACATCAAATGCATTTTTCACGCACACAAGTGCAAGGAAAAATGGTTAAATTCGCGAACCAAAAATACTCAAGTTTGTTAAATCTGAATTTCATGAGCAACCAAAGTTCAAATGAACGTACATCCGACCTATATCTATCACGAGGAAAAATGGTAAAGGGTGTTAAATAAATATTTTTTCTTCACTGTGGTCTAACTCTACAACGAGAAGCACAGAAAATAGGCCGATTCCGAAGTGTGTTGTAACCAAGATGACGCTACACCGCCGACATGTGGTCAACTTGCAGAGTCATTCGTTTTTATGTTGAGTGTTCTATTATGAGGATGGCAGCAGCAAATTTTGCACTCCAAAGGGTTGCAATCCAAATTCGTTAGTAGATACTACGGATATAAAATAAACCGTCCAATTAGTGACAGAACTAACATTAAAAGTGTGAAGATATGCAATTTTTAGATGACGGTCATTTAACACTGTCGACAAAAAAGGGACATACCATAACAAAATAAAATATTAAATATTGTCATTATTTAAATCTATTTTAGAATGAGAAATAGGAAAATAATTAGCTCATATCTAATGCTGCGGTATTAATAGGACTGCAGCCTTAATAGCAAATATTTAGTAAGCATGGCGAGTTCCCGCAATTATTCGACAAGATATTAAAACATAATTGATCTTTTACAATCTTATATTGAAATATTACTAAAACTGAATATTTTATTAGTGAGATGGAGTGAAGTTGCCTAGTGGGCGAATTCCTAGAACAAATTATCTTTATAACCTTATTTAAAAACTAAAAACTAATAACTAAAAACTAAAAAAGTAAAAAACTAAAAAAATCTTTATTAGTGCCTAAAAGTCAGAAAAAGCAGTTTTTAAAAACTATTTTTTGGACTGAATGAAATATATATGTTCTATTACAATATTACAATAAATACGTTCAAAAATAATGTGACATTGTTAAACAAAAGGATGAGGGCCAAGATTCTAGAACCATCAACTCAAACATTTAACGAGAAGTCAAACACAGTATGAATCACTTTACTCACGAAGCTGTCGACGCTCCCTGGACGACTGCTTGGATTCCTTTGGTCCCATAGGGATCGTGTCGCCCGGAATGGTGACGCTGTTGTTACCGATGTTCAATGTCACATCTGGAGAAGAACTTCCAGAATTGTTCACTGCCAAGAGGGAGACATCTGACAAGGACAAGCCTTGCTGGAGTTCAGTTGCAACCCGTACGTTTGAATCCCCAACAATTGATTTGATTTCCTTCGTTATTTCTTCAATGCTGCGTTTGTGAATTTTAAGCGGAAACTTATTGGAGGAGCTGTTACTTTGAAGTTTCAGGTAAGAATTGACCATTCTTTTAGGGAAATCATTAGACAGCGTGTACGCTCGGATGATGGGACTAGACTGATCAGCGTTTGTCAGTATTGAGTTTAGTGAAGGGTCCGTGGAGTTAAACTGAGCTAGTACCTGACAGGATACTAACAGGGATCCTGCAACACTAAGTAGCAACCACCGGCAAAACATGATTTCTGGAAATATAAACACTTCACCTGTAAAATTTCAAGGAATTAACATTACCAATAGTATAGTATACGTAATACATACAAATTTATCGTGAGACCTACTTGTTAGGACTACCTGAGACCCACTTTTTTGCATAAAAACCTCAAGCGGAGAATACAGTGGAAACAATACAAGACATGCTACGAAATGCTGAGCACAACCAAACAGCAAGACTGGCGACACAGTTACAAGATTTCGGCCAGTGCAGCTGACGCCAACACGCGAAACGCCTCTGTAAGCGATCTGTCGCTTGGCGTCTCATAATCGACCCATCGGTTTCCCTTTCTAGAGACCGCCAGTTGGTCGCGAGTCTAGTTTCTCGATAACTGGTTGTCTTCTTCGTCTCCTATTCATTGAGATATTTAGGGTCACCTATGTAGAGAGTAAGAAATTTCGATGCAGATGAGCGTTCGAGAAGTAATAGTCTTTTTCAGCTCGATATACGTCACCAATTCTACAATGGAGGAGATAAGCAACTTGGAATCTGGGACAAATGGTGTTCGCCATTAAGGCAAAAATTTGCGTTCCACATGTCACGGTCTCAGATATATATTTTTTTCTGCAATTCAGAGAAATTGAGAAAGGAAACGCTTCTAACTTGAGCCTCTTCTGAGAGAGGTTTCAAATCGAGCGCAAAAAGCCACAATAGAGTTCTAACAACTTAGTTGTATGAATCCAGTTATGCGACGAATAGAGGCACTACCTTAAGATTCGTCGTGGCTTGCGCTAAGCCAATTAAAGGTTTCACACTGAAATAAACCAATTACCACTTCGATAAATTAGAATAACATTTCGTAATCAAATACTTTATTGTCGCATAAATTATATTTTGTAATTCTTTCTGCATCTTCCGTCTTCAACATTTTTTCCAAAATATATCAATCAGTTACATTTTCGTGGCTCTGTTTAAAATAAGAAAAACAAAAAATCAACGAACCCACTAATGCTAAGATACTAAGACAAAATACTCCCCGTTACTTTCAAATACCGTATCATTGTACATAACACAACTGACTAGACGTCTCAGTTTTCGCTTTAGGTTCATTAGCGCGCACACAGAACGGTAGATTTCTCCGCGAGCAGATGTCAGCTGGTAGTACATATACAAGCTGCGCGGTGTTTTCTGCGTCAACAGACTGGCAATGATCAGTGCTAGAGAACTTAAAAAATAATGAAGAGAACCTCGAGGCTTAATGAAAGAGTTTTAAATTTCTAAGTAACTTGCGATTTTTTTCGCGATTGGTATGGTAAATAATGTAGGAACCGAGTTGTATAATTGATGCATAGCGTTTCAATAGTTAGGTGGGTAAGCTATCTTACATCTTAAACCAAAATCTCTTCCCAGAAGGCTCACCACGGCCCCCGGTTTGTGTTTGAGCTGAGCTATCTTGCCTCTGCCCGCCCGACACCGATCATAGGCACATCTTTCAATTAGCATAATCATTCTCTACCAAGCTAGGGAACTAAAATGGAAGTATTTGAGGAAAAAAATGGGGCTCAGACAACAAAATTTTCGTTCTTCTAACATTTTTTAAACATGGAAGAGTCAATATATTTTTGAATATTGGCTATTTAGTGATATTGAAGTTAGAAAGTTTCCTTTTATTCGTACATACAGTTGAAATATTACGCGATGTCAAATACTTACGACGCACTGATCTATCCTCATAAATACTTTGATCAATTTTGCCTTCAATATTCAAAATGTTGAATAAGCTTAATATATTATAAAAAAATATATAAGCAAATATAACTAACAATTGGCCATAATTTTTTTGCATTTGCTTGGCAAATTATAATTTTTCAAATTTCTGAGTCAGCACGCAAAAAGGTAAACTTAAGTAGCAGGCATCAAATGAAAAATGCAGGCATTTTGAAATTTAGAATTTGCCACAGAATTGGTCACAGGACTCCGTGTAAATAATTTTATGATGACTGAAAAATGACCGTTTCTCGGAAATTCCTACGTTAATCTTTAGTTAGATTAGGGCTTATAATTTTAGTTCAGGGACTGTATTTACAATATAACTAAGGAAACTATTAGATAAGGATTAGTAGGTATCGAGCTCACCAGATTAGTTTAGAAGCTAGTATAAGATAAGATTAGGACTAAAGTTCAATAAATAACCATTATGAGTTTTCGGACCAGATGCACAAATAACAGCTGAGAGACTCATTTTCTGGACACAACTTTCATAGCTTTAATTTTCCAAGACCCACGAAGCTTTCCAGGTAAGTTCCCAAGAGGAGATCGAAACTTGTTCGACTAGGCCTAATTGAAATCAAAGCCGTGACAAGACGTCAATAATAACGAATTAAGAGTTCAGAGTGCGACACTATTATCGTGATGGGACCTGACGACACGTATAAGCTTGGAGAATGGTGCGGAATTCACATTAAAATTAAAATATTTCCAGTATTTATGTATTTCCAGAAGAATTTCACGTTTTCTACAAAGATTACAGGTTATTCATTATCATCCAGGTTATTCATATTCATTGACAAAGGATAAGTGTGCACTGAAATAATCTTTACAACCCCTGAACACACATAACTCTCAGTAAATAGTGTCGCATCACGCAAGTGTTGCGCACGAAAACGTAATCCCTGAGGTTGCGAGTCACGACGGCACAAGTACAGCCAGGGTTTCAAGTTAAGCACGTGGACAACTTGCTACTTGCTTCTGACGTATGCAGGTTACCGGATTTCGAAGCTTGCCTGCACCAAAGATCTCACGCATTCTAGAAACGTTTAGTCGTCACAGCTATTGAAATTAGCTCCAGATACTTGTACATGCAATTTCTTTTCCAAACAGAGTCATTCTCACTGCGACTGCAACGCTACAAATGGATATTGTTCATCATCTCTCATTCCACGCTGATTCTACGTTGTCACTTCACCATTGCGGTAAAATAGCCATAATTTTCTTCATGTCTCCAAAGAAAAAAATTATTGTGTCAACAGTGGCTGAAATTAAACTTCCATGGCGCCGATACTCCTATCCGAAAACAATAACCATGAGATGTGATATATACACGCACAGTAGGTAGTTAACTGGAGGTATTTCCCGCACAGCTTGCGAACGCGAGTCTCGACTCAACATCCACTTCTCTGGAGCCCAACCATGCTACAGGACGTCTCTCCACTTGGTATCTAACGCCAAATTTAGTAGTTTACTTTACTATTTTCTGGAACAGCGTGAGAAATAAATTCATGGAAGATCATGAATCTTCCATACATGATTTGTAAATAGTTAAATGGCTTTCAGCTAAAATTTGGTTGGCATATGATTGAGTGATTTTGTGGTCTGTTTATCATTGCAAATAAAACAGCGGGTAGGTAATAAATTTTGGAAACGCGTCTTGAAAGTTTCAATTCCCGAAGATTAGTGAGTTTCTATGCCTAATGCCAATACCAATGTAGTTTTACTTGAATTTACCGCTGAAAAATATTTCACCAACTCGACAGTAAGAATCTTTGATTTTTGCCTGCGCACGTTTTCGTTTATCCATGGAGCCGTTTCTCTTCATCGTGATAAATCGTCTTGATGAAACACGATCGCATCGCTGTCGTACGCGTCGTACTTATTAACACACTGCTAGTCTTTCAACCCGCGCACCGTTTTTCAGTTTTATGCCTGAAATTGCTCTCACGTTTGAAATTTACCTGAAACTGTACCTCCATTCTACCCTCTCTCGCTTTCTCTCGTACTTCTTGTATCTAAGGATCTAATTGATGGGTAAGTGCAGCGTTTTTTCGTTCAAAAATGTCTCAATGTAACCATTTACATTGTAATATCAAACAAAAACGTATAGTTACTATATGGACCAATCCACGTTGAGTAGATAGCTCGCAACAAACCAATTTCTTACGCGAAATGCATCCCACACCATCGATATTAAACGAAAGCAAAACTAACTCCGGCGGTGCGCACGTCGAACTTTCCATGGAGCACACCCACGCTGCAAGGCTCTCTCTCGTACACACGCCTTTCAAAGGCCGACTGGTGTCTTATGCTTGCAAAAAATACTGCAGCAGTTATCTCACAATTACTCGACTGTTGAGAACCGGATTAACAGCTTACGGTAGCTTTGAAGATCTTTACCCAAATGGTGTCCTTTCACCTAAGAACTACAACAAAATTAGGACGTTCAATCAACTCACATTCAAGCACAGAAATGGCGAATGGCAGTTATATTTGCATTTGCCAAAAAAATATTTAAATACACATTTTTTCTGACTTTCTATCAACCATCACAGTACAGATATTGAGTTTTCCATCATTTGTTTATGAATGCCTTCATGCAGTTCATGGATTGTTAACTTGTTATGACATTTCATTAACTGAGAGGCCTTTACTCTTTAGCCATCAATACGAAAGAAAATGTAGTTAAAATACAACGCTGTACAGCGATGTACTAAATTCTCTACAGTCAAATACAACGCTATACTAAATTCTCTACTGAACAGATCGAACTGACGGCTATGACTTTACTAAACAGATTGAGCTGCATCATCGCCTGCATGTATAGAAATCTTGCCACTTGCATATTCTAATGGGCACGGATATCAAAGAACTCGCTGCTTTCTGTACTAACCCAAGCTTGAAGCTTCATGAACAAATGTTAGTCTGTTTGTTGAATAGAAATTTGAGAATTTGAGTTCTCATTTCTATCGAAATTAAAAAAAGCTAGTATTTCCTAAATTGAAGAGTGTGTATTCATTCCAATTCATATCGCAACAAATTCAGGCAACTTAATTCACAAACTAGGGATTTGGTTCACGCTACGTGTTCTCTAATGTGCGTATAGGCTACCTCCTTAACTATGCAAATGCCGTACCTAACTAAAATTCGTTCGAAACTGATATTTGTTCAGGATTTCTGACATCGAGTGTAACGGCCGCCTTTCTCCTTCACTCATCACTGGAGTTTACAATGCGGCAAGCGAATCGAGTTGCAGCCGAGGTTATGCCAAGGCCGTTCACCAGTTCAATTATAATTATCAATTGATAGGGCATTTCGGATGAATTAAATATCAATATGATATAAGCATCTCTACCATATTTCTAACTGTATGCTGTATTAAACAATTTTGGAGTTAACAATTGCCTACATGCAATGATATTGCCACGACCACATTAGGTGGAAAGAGCGAACGCACAATCTAAAATTTTACTGGGCACTTGAAACATCACATTTGCCTTTCACAAACGCTACACAGCCTACTTTTAAACAGGAATCGATGACTCCTAAAAATTCTCTGCCAATAGTAGTACAAGTTGCCTTTGTAGCACTAGTAGCCTGTTCCTTTCCAGCATCGGATGAAAGTGACTTATCTGGGAACTCAAGCCAGGTTTGTGACAGAACTTTCGTCGCACATCCACTCGCAACACAAGCCAGCCGACTACTGGAAGCGGGTTGACCTGCTGACTGGCCTGCGATGGGTTAGCCCAGGAGACCGCCGTGTTCGTATGGTCTGGAAAGAAGGGGAGGGCGGGGCCGGCTGTAACTCCTTTCTCTCTTTCCATTTTCGGTACAGGCTATGCACGCTCGTCATAATCTCAAATTTCAAACAATTAATTAAAGACTGTAGCTTCAAACCCCTTAATGCGGTCATGATTAATTATTTTTCCATTGCAGTCTATTTAATAATTTAGTTTGGTTTAATGTACAAATTATTTTTTTAAGTCAATGAAGAATAGAAAATTTCAAGTCTTACGTTATGTGATTACAAAATAATTCAATTGGCCCTATAATTCTTATGTTGCACAGTTAGGGTTAGATATTTAAACTAGGTACGAAGAAAGGTGTTCGATAAATCATAAAAATTTAGTGATAATATTCGATAAATTTCATTACCTCGGCTAGAAGACTGCCAGAAAAAAAAAACAGATCTCTACATATTCTGCCATTTGGAATACAGATAATCTAAGCCCGAAGGTGTTTAATAAATCAGCCGCTGATGCAACTATATTAGATTTATAACTGAAAGAAAACTGGTAACAACATCATATTCATGGTAACAATGAGAATATATGTTCTTGCGCTTTCCCTGACGCATGCGAATTTCCCAGCCACCGCACACGTTATTGTATAGGCTGAACTCCCTGGATGATGCATGGAAAACAAGGAAGACAATGCGACGCTTCTCTAACGCGTATAAATTATTCTAGCTTTCCAAATTTTTCAGCTGGTAGACATTTGATCTATTGACACGACAGTCAAGCAAAGCTTTAGGTAAATCCACTCGTTTTTACGATCAGTACAAGCGACGTAGAGACTCTAGCATCTCGTTCAAAAGCTTGGCATAAGGAATAAATTTTTATTCATTTTCAAATTGTTCTAACCTTAAAATTTTAATCTGCCTGAAGAAAAAAAATTTCAAGGAGGGGTCTTCCTATATTTCCAGGGTCTGTCACTGATTTGTTTGGTGAGAGATTCGCCGAACACAAAGCGATGACGCAGCATAATATCTTACAAGGGAAAATGAAAGCAGCCGCTGCTTCGGACACGCAGAGTTGACATCGCTGTTGTTACACATTTGCTTATTGTTCCTCAGATATCTTTTGGAGACCCAGAATGTTGCGGACAGATCATGCCTACCTATACCAAATTATTATTGGCATTAATAACGATTAATGATCATCTTACCGCATGTTAAAATTTGTGGTCATTTTCTCAGAGTGCTGAGTCACGCAGTCAACGAACAAATGGAAAACTATCCCTCTGATGACAGCCATCAAATGGCCATAAATATCAGACGCTGTTAGCTGACGTGTGAATTTCTAGAGATTCGTCGCATGCTGCGTGGACGCTGCGACGCGAAGAAGCTTAAGCTTATCTTTGCTTTCTTCTAAATGTTCATGATTTGTCGGTAGCTTCTCAGTGAATAAATTGGCAAATGAAAATTACTTTGTAATGATTTTAACAATTTAACAAATCAATCAACAATAACAATCACATTCCAACAATTTTAATAAGTCGGGAAATAAATTCGAGTAATATCAACGCAATTTGAAGCGAATGTTATAACAAATATTTAAAAATGGTTGAAGTAAGGTTTTTAAATACTTCAGCTATGTAAGTGTTAAAAATGGCTGGTGTTAGGGGACGTCATTAGTTACTAACCAACGATCCCAAATTAATCAAATCCAAAACAAGTATGTAATATCAACAAGTGCTATTAAACACACCGAGAAGGTGAAGATTGCTGGACGAAACTGAAAGTAAACCTCAAGGTCAAATGAGATCCGGGGTCACCGAGACGCCAGTAGCCTGACAGCGGAAATGCATGCGCTCCGACAACGCGTTCTGCCTGCCTATTGCTCACACACGTACAACTTTGTTTTAGTTTAGACATACGAGATGTGAATTACTGTAAATTCTACTATAACTTAGCTGAGACATTTTAAGCAGAACCCATATTATTTCAGATATGACCTATGACTTTAATTTAGCTGGGACATTTTGAGCAGAACCATATTATTTCAGATATTACCTTCTTCTATCAGGCTTATAAGGGGCCATTTTATTTTAATATAAATTAAACTGTACATGTCGATTACTAGCACCTGTGGTAATAAGACAATTTTGTTTCTGCCACATCATATATAAACAATTTCAAATATCACTATGCCTGCCTAATTCGATTTCGATCCCTAAAGAAGCTGTGTTGTTTGCATTTCATATACAAATTTTCATCAAAAAATTGATTGGGAAAACGACATAACTTTATATCAGATTTTTAAACTTTAACTATAATTAGCATCCAATATCAACTACTATGAAATGCCATTTTTAAACCGGCATAATCTCCAAACTTTCTTAACTGAAATAAATAAATCAATTGCAGGACAAATGATGCGATTTTGTGGCAATTGCCTAGTTTTATTATTAAAATTCTTACCAAGGGACAACACTCATCGCACATCATACAGCATCCTTATTTTATTCTAAAAATACTTAGCAATATTTTTACTTTTATCACTCAAATTAAATACAAAATTACCCGCTATGCTAGCCTACAAACTCAATTTCTAGCATATGGCGTACCCTAAATTCAAAGCACTAGATTCTTCTTACCACTCAACTCATTAATTAATTTAAACTATGTTCTAATCTAATTTTTCTCAGATAAACTAGAGCAATAAGCAATAAAAATTAGAGCAACTGAACAATAGAAAATTAATTCTTTGCGAAAATAGCTACACAAATCCCACATTAAACAACATCAGAAACAGACAAAGAAATGAGCTCGAAAAAGATACTTGAGCACTGAACGACGCCACCCCGTTTGTAGGCACCACCAACGGGTAGAGGAAATTTTCAGGTAACTTGAAATTTATTCGTGGCGGGTCTGGGAAAACTGGCATCGATGGTTCGGAAACGTCAAAAAATAAAACTTTTGTCGACATTTCAATGACTACAGTTTTATCGTGGCTTGGTTGAGCGTCGACGGGAGGTGAAGTTCTTAACTTTGGAGGTTCCTCCAGGGAAACCACTTGTGCTGTATCTTTTGTTTGTCGTTCGGCGGTTGGTTCATTAAGACTTGTATTGGAAAAAATTGGCTCTCGACCTCTCCCGTCTTTATCAATTTGATCGTAAGTTGAATTTACCCCCAAAGATGACCCACTTCCTTCATATATCTGATCGTTATTAACAAAAAGAGATTTGTTTTCCACAGGAAAGATAGAACTTTGCGTAGGAACTGCTCTCCTCGTGCAGAACGGCCCCAAGCAGGACGCTGGAGGGCTCATCCTGAGGGATCCTTCAGTGAGCAGCACCCCCACCACCTTAGCTTGGGGATTCACCAGGGAGCCCTGCAGGGCATAGGCCACCTCGATCGTGTACGACACGAGGATGTCCGAGCACCTGCCCTCTGCTGACATCTCGGAATCTGTGGAGTGTTTCAATAAGAACTGTAGTGACATGATATAAAATAACTGACCTGGCAAGATCAAACAGAAGTGCCATGAAACTTATTTCCCCGATTTTTTAAGTATTTGCACAATAAAAGGTTATTTTTATAGATATTAGGCACCGAGTAAATGAATAATCAGATTAAATATGCGCAATGTAATATATTACTCAGCGTACACTTCCTTATAGGGATGTTGCATATTAAATTTACGTTTTTATTTCCTTAATCATAGCGATTTCATTTCCATTCCCTTCGTTTCACTTGAATTCTCCTACATTCAATACAAATGACTCATTCAAAGGCATCTCGCACACAATGAGCAAACAAAACATTTCTGGGCTATGGCTATTTATGGCTATTCATTCATTGAGGATAAGGCACGACAACGCACTTACCTTCAAGACGCCTGCTACAATAAGCTGCGCATACGAGCAGGTACAAATTTGATACGCCGGTAGCTAAATCGTATTGGGTTATCGGTTCGGATCAAGGGGCTGCAGGTAAAAAACTTAGTTTGCCTTCTACTCCGCTAAGAAAAACAAAGGTTAATCCGTGCGGGGATTTCCATGCTTTACAGTAATGAATTAGTTCCAGAGTGCCATACAACTACGAATTATAGTGGTCGCTATGACAAAAAACTACTAAAATGAACATTATTCTTTAAAGTGTCTTAGAAAAATTGAATAATTCCCGAATTTAGAAACTAGTGCAATCTTTTGACAGTAAAAGAATGGTTTACATTACACCATTCGGTGTTGACTCAGGTTTCTTATATTTTTTATTATATTATTTGTGCATTGACAACTTCTGTCTAACCAAGCATGCCATCTTCGGCATAATTTCTGTGTTTTACTGCTTTCTAATAATTAAATTTGCCAAAATTAAATTTTAGTTGAATAAAACACTGAATTACGAGAGAAGAGCAAGTTTAAGGTTTGATGCACATTACAGTATTGCGCCATTAGAAAATTTTATACTCAATTTACCTCAATCACAAAGTTTGAATTGACAACCATAACCGCTCAAAAGTTCCTTTCCAAATACCTTTTGTGTCATGACAATTTTCTAAAAAATGAATGTATTTTATTTCCAAACAATGACAAACTCTGCACGTAGCACTGATGGGCCGCCTGTGCTGGGCCAAACCACGTCAGGATGACTCACAAAAGGATAAAAAGCGCTGGTTTTTTGGAGTCACTTTTCTGAGTTAGTTAGTTTTTGATCAAGAATTTTATTTTCAAAGAAGCAGCTACAACAAATTACCAAGTCACAAAAATGGCGTCGCAGGTAGCAGAGAAGGTTGGAGAAACGTTGTAAAAAATTATTAACTGGCTATGGTGTGTATATTCTTGTTCCAGATCTAATGCGATTAAACGACCGATGCACTGAAATTTGAAGCACAACCTCCACCAATTGTTTTTTTTTCGTGTGTGTATTGTTTTGATTCGCGTTATATATAGTAATTGTGGGTAGTGCGGTTTTTTAATTTTTTATTAATCCTGCATTTGGAGCTTTATATGGGAGTTCATACTCTTAGAACAATTCAACTTAAAGCATAATTAAAATATGGAAGATGAGGTTAAATTATTTCAGCCTTCGTTTCCTACTCTAAATTACATTTTTAGAAAGACAAGATTCATTTCGGTCATTTATGGGATTTAAAACTGGAAAATATATAAGTTAAGGCACTCATTTAGTTAAGACATTATAGACTATAAAGATTTAAAAATTGAAAGACAATCGAATAAATTATATGGACGAATGTGAGAAGTGAATTGATACCCCGGGATGTAGCAAGTGAGCGTCCCTTGCTAGCATTTGTGAAGCGACAATGTCAAGCTTCGTTAATTTTTTTTCGGTGATACAGTTGATCCAGATGAACTAGAAATTTTTTTGATTTGCATATGTTACGTAATTCAATATTTCTTAATTACAAGTATAATTTCTGGTAATGCAAGAAAGGCAGCACAATTTATAACTCTGAGAGTTTAGCTAATCCTACTGTCCATTGATGGAAGCGAGATCGCAAGACCTATAGCCCTCTTATTTCGCTGCGTAAAATAATACGTTCTTCATTCCCTTGTGCCGACAGTCATGACGTTACTTTTAATAATTTGTTACGAATTATTCTATTACGTCCTTATCTCTAGATTGAAACTAAGCAGAACTGAAATATTTGAAACTTTTTTTTTGGGGGGGGGGCAGGTTACTGGTCTCCTGATTTGAAAAATGAATTTGGAAAGTAGCAGTTAACAGGGAAAATTATTTTGTCCTTTAAGGATTGAAAACCACGAAAAAATTCGTTACTTTGGCCTTTGGGTTTCACTCTTTTTAAACAGCCTGCTAACCGATTAGTAGAAGGCATGCCACTATTATTATTGTTGTTATTATTAGTAATATTCTTGTTATTATAATGACTATTGTTATTATTATTATTGTTATCCTCATTATCATATCCGTATACTTACCGTGCTCGTAAAAAGGTCTTGTCGTATCCCTGGACCTCATAAGCGGCACCCAGTGCGAGGTCACTAGAACGTCGCTGTCTCCGTACGCCCCAACCCTCAACTCGAGATCAGGGTTGTTGAGAACGCTTCCTAGGAGCTTGTTTCTCACTCTTTTTCTCACTTCACTGCAGTTGTTGAGAATATCGTTGAATGTGACGTGCATTTGGCACTGAGTTTGTAAGTTCTCTCCGAACATAACGGGTGTACGAGCACTGCAGTCGCCATCGTCGCCTCCCCTCAGCACGGTTAATCCCTCCAACGGATCGGTGTTTCTTGCTATGGCCTCCATTTTTATTCCTATAAACACGCAAGAAAAAGTTACATTGGCATTATAAAATGAACAGCATATGAAATATTTTGTTCAAAAGTCAAACATGCAAAATGAATAAGGATGCGCAAATTTTGTAAAAATATAGCAGAGTATAGTCACAATGAAAATAATATATATCATATATTCATATAATAAGGAAATCATGAACCATGATAATTGGTAGTGATTCCCTTTTTAAATTATTTGAGCAAAATTCGTGCCCTTTTTTATTGCTATCCATCACCTGCATCCGTTACGTTGCGGACCACGTGGCCGAAGAGAAGAGGCTTCCCTCTAATATAGCCTGGCCGGCCACTGCGCTTGACGACCTGCTGATTTTCATCTTGGAACCAACGGTACTCTACCTTAAAATTTTGCATCATATTAATTACATCGTCACTTTCATCGTCAGGTGAGAATTGTTCTTGCATCGTGGTATTCCTGATTGATGAACAGAGATTTCTAAGACTGACTTGCGCCGAGACAGCAGTAATACCTTCAGAGCCGTTATGGAAAACAATGTAGCTCACCGAGGAAACTGCGTCGCACGGACCTATATTTAGATCTGGATCATCGGGATTCTTACAAATAATATCAGATTCTCTGTAATAACAAAAATTTGCTTTTACTTTTACCATGAACGTTGCATTAAAAAATGGAGCATCATCTTCCAACAAAACTATATCTTGCGGCGTTTTCAGGATTTGTGACAAGCTCGGGGAATGCATGTTGGACTGATTCGCCATCGAACTGCCATTTGTTGTTGTTGTTGTTGTTGAGTCGTTGCCTTCTCGTTTATAATCAGAAGCATAACCGTCGTCGCTGTTGGTTGTGCTGTTATTCGGTGTCTGCGAGGACGAAGAAGACTCAGTGGTTGAGGACGAAGAATCCTTCGTGGTTGAGGACGGATCAGATTCCGTGTATGAGGACAAAGACGAATCAGTGGTTGAGGACACAACTGTTGAAGTTGAACTTGGCGGGATTGTCGTGCTATTGTCTTCGTTACTTTCCTCCTGAGAAATTATTTGTAGGAGTTCCATAAAATTGTTAACTTAATGATTGAGGGAAAAACTAATTTATTTGTTTCTATTCAATAAGCACCTGAGATCTTTGAAATAAACAACAATACATGAGCGAGCTAGCCTTTTTGTGCAGCTCGCCACTGCAAATTATAATTTTGCTTTAACAAATCGTCTATACAAAATTGCATTCCAGAAGTCTATCATATAAATTAGAAAGAAAACTAATTAATTCTATGTCATCCATGCAAAATTTTTCTTCAATTAAAATTCTTCAAAACTAATAAATCAATATCATCCATGCAAAATTCTTCTTTAATTTGAAGAATAAAGTTTTTGTGAAAATATTGATAAAGCCTTATAGAATGCTTCAAGTGATTTTCTCACTGGAAAAATCATTAATTCCTACAGGCATTTTAATAAATTTCCCTCACCTCATAAATGAGCAATGGCTGCGACAATACGAAAAAGTTGCAGTAGGTACGAGGGTCGAGATAGCGAGGCCGCGTCTTCAGCAGCTCCTGTAGAGGGACCTGCCGGCGGCACTCTTTGGTCGCGTCCTGCAGGTATTTAAAGGGCGCCTTGCCCTCGCAGGATGCGCTGAACACCGCAGACGGAAGTCCTGGCATGTTAGAAGGATTAAAAATTACCAAGTTATGTTATAAATTACATCAAATTATTTGTATTCGTCTGTAGGCTGGATATTTTTAGCACATTGTTAGAGAACGCAGATATGCGCTATTCTTTATTCCTTCAAAAAGAAGTATACAACCTCAAAAAGATATTAATAAAATTTCACCTCTAAATGGAATTGAACCAACATTTTCATCTAAATAAATTTTTGGCTTGCTAAGCCTACATCTTTAGCAGATCTGATTTTATTAATACAAATAAGCACGAGCCTCACCGAGGGGGAAGAAGCGCCCTTCCTGTGTAATTCCCCACACTAAATCCCCTTCTGTATATTGCTTGTTAGGTGGCATTGTTTGTGCTCCCCCTTTCCTCGCCTGTTGATGTATTGGGTCACGTTGAATGAATTTCCTCCTCTCAGCGAGTAATTCATGGAATGCTTCATCTGTTTTGATCGCCTGGGAAAATAATAATTATATTGGATGACGATAATTAATTCAAGTTTTGCATTTTATGAATACGGAACGGCATCGAACCAAAAAGTTGAAATAAACACCAGTAACTTTCAAGTATATTTGGGGACTTGCAACTTTCAAGGGGACTTGCAAGTATAGGTATCACCATATAGCGAGCTATTTTACTTATTTGAGCCTTGATATAATTCTATTCAATTTATGCACGCAAAAATATACACTCTCACATAATTATCCTTCAAATAGAATATGTAGAATAGAATAGAATAGTAGTGTCTGACATGAGCTAAATGGTTATAAATAATGACTTCTGAAACAGTTAACTAAAATTTTTCTACATATGAATCACGCAATCGTCTTTTTAGAATTTAATTTAGACTTCCTCGTCCTCCTCGGGGAATTATTCATATTTTGTTGAAAAAATGCTGATCCTAAAATTAACGCTTACATGGATTTGTTTATTTTCTATTAAGATAATTATTTAAAGTATAACCAACTGCGAATTAAAAGGAAAATCTCAAACCTTAACAGACGGGAAAGTTGTTCTCTGAACGAGATTGTCGGTGACGATGCAGAAGAGGTCAGGATTAGAAGTGTCGATGCTGTACTCGGTGTTGTGGCGGTCGAGCACCCATCGCTGAGTGCAGTAGCGAGCGTCACCTTCTCCAAATTAATTATTATTATTATTCCCTAAAATTAGCATTATTATTAGGAAATTATTTTATTTCGTTAAAGTCAAGCGGAAATAATTAGTAATTCAGGCGTGAGGGTAAATCTTGCGCACTGAATATACAGGAAGTCTTGCGCACTGAATATACAGGAAGTTTATGATACTTTATTTCGCTTCGTGGCTCCTTAATTATGTAATTTATAATTACATCTCTTCTGGCTCTTAAAATGTAATGAAATTTAATGAAAGAGAAAATCTCTTCTGACCCATGAAAGGAAATGAAAGGAAATTAATGGTGCAGATCGCAAAACTGGTTGCGTGTTTCCGCCTCAATTAGTGAAACCAGCCTTGCCGTCGTTCGGAACATAAATGATAATATATATTGGCAGTACTGACAATAGCAAAAAACATGACGATTGGCAATGAAAATTGACAATGACGGTTAACCGGCTAGTTTTTGCTCACCAGAGAGAGACCGTGGCACAGAAACGCAGCCAAGGAAGGCTCGTTTGTCGTCAGCTGAGCAGTCTGGGTCACAGCAACAACCGATGTCGCACGAGTTAACCTGGCGCCAAAATTAAAAGGAAATCGACCGAATAGCTCATCTAAGCCTTATTAAAGAGCAGCGATTAAAACAAAAAATGTTATATTAATATTGGCATGCATTTTTGACAAGCAAATTTTTTAAAATTTTAACCGTTTCCTTTAAAGGTTATGCTCTAATTGAATGTATTTAGATTTGTTCATCGATAACTTGTAATCTTCCTATTCTTTGCTCTCTGTTTACCAATAAAGTTACAACAGCTTTTTAAAGCAAAGATTCTATCGCTTCTTGTTCATACCTTCATATCACATGAACAATAATTTTGCAGGAACATTGCTGGACGCATGACAATTTCTTCATCTTCATTGTCGCTTTCAGATTCATCAGGGACGGGTGACTCTGTAGGCAACTCTGAAGTTGACAAAACCGTCATTGTATCTGTGGTGTCTGAAGTTTCAGAGATATTTTCATCTTGGATACTTGGTAGAGTTGTCACGGAAGCATTGAAATAAGCTGTTGTTGATGTTGTTATTTTCGCGCTGTCATTCGAATTTGAGCTTATGTTGCTTGAGTTCATAGAAATATCGGATTCATTCAAGAAATTCACTGTTACTGAATTATCACTGACATTTTCTGCGCTAGGAAAGGTTGAATTTGTACCGTTAGTTTGATTGAGTTTTGGAAGATCAGACGTAGCGTTGATCGGATTTGTAGACACATCGCGTGGAAGCTCAGCGATATCTTGAGGCATGACATTTACGATTAAACATACTGAACACATAAACTTTAATATATCCATCTTGTTAGTGTGCATCACTGGGAAGTTTAGATCAAAAAACCATCGCTCAAATGGCACAAGTCTCAATTAATGCATTTTTTGCTTGATTTTATGTTTTTTCGTTTCGTTATATCAACGCACAATACTGGCTCCTCTACGAGTGACGTAGTATAAAATAAGTGCTTCAACCATTGAGTTCTAAGACCATTCGGATTAATTTATTCTAATTAAATTTTTGATTAAGAACAGCTATAACAAAAGACGCTTTCAAATATTGTCCGCAACGGTTTTTAACAATGCTTGTAATGTTGAGAAGGTCAGCTCATTACTCCGTGCTTGTCGAATCCTCGCATTATGATGCCCAGATCCAGGATGACCTGACACGGAAAAATGGTATTTTTAGTGAGCTTTATGTTTGTTCATAAGCATTTTAGATAATTAAATTTATGTGTTGTGATACTAAATTCATACTTTGTACTTGAAGTTCGGACAATTCAAGAATGCTCTGAATGTCTCAAGTTACGAAATAATTGGATTTCAAACCCAACTTAATTTACTAGGGAATATGTAGAAAAATATCAGGCGTCAATCCAAACCATCTCATCTCATCAAGAGAAAAACAAATAAATTTTGAGAACATTTTTTAAAATTCCATATCCTTTTGACAATCGGAATTTCTGAAATATGCTGGAATGTGTAAAATAGTGGAATGCAATCCTTTGTCAGATGCATGAATAGAATCCTGTTTTTTAGGCCGACCTTGCCAGCCGGAGCTGTGCGCAGTTTGTAGCGTTCAGAAGCCGAGAAAATGTAGTCCGTCGACAAAATCTGAGGACCGCCACCCACAAACTCGCGTCTCAATTCTTCTAAAAATGTTCCTGGGAAATAAAGCACTTTCATTATGATTATTGTGAAGATGAAAATGCATATGATGAATTATCGTAGCTGTGTTGTCAGGGGGACTTTTTGTTTCTAACCACAAGTCAACCAAGTGCTATGAGCGTTAAAAAATACTTCCGCTCCCAATACACGCAAAAATATTCTATTATGAATTTGACGAGTAGAGATGAGTAATGCAAAATTTAAAGAGTCAACTGCCACGTTAATTTTTTTGATATCCTAAACGAGTTTCACCCCTCGGTTTTACCTTAAATCGACACACCACCGAGTCAAGAAATTGGGATGTTCCTGAAATGAACAAAAAAGAAAGAAGACGCTAAAGTGAGATTAGAGCTGTAACCTGTGGGGCGCCAGGTGTGGCAAGTGACGGTGTGGTGGCCTGGTGTGCTGGGTATGGTAGCCACACCGTAGCCACACAGATCTCGTCTGCCGTACCAGTCTTCACGGTAGACCTGAACCACAATCCGCGGCCAGCCTGCACAACCCGCATCAAAAAATATTAATTCAGGTTTCGTGCTTACAAATAAAAAATATAAGATGATTTTGTGAAATTATGATGTAAAAAATTTGAATATTGGGATGTGATATAATTGTATAATTGTAAAAAATATTTGTATTTCATTGTACATCGTGTAAATATTAATCCAACTTACACACTTTACAAACCAAATATATAGGAGGATTTTGTGTAATTATGATGTAACAGGTTAGTAATTTCCTGGTAGTATGAGATTAGATAACCAGCACGAGCCGCCGATACCGAAGTTCTCTTCAACTCAGCATTATCGCTGACCTTGACGTTGAAGTTTCCAAAACATCCCCATTATTTTTCGATTATTGGTGAACTGAATTCAGTTCTACGAACCACTTTCCTTACAAACTTTGCAGGCCCCGGGACAGACTACGAAAAAATGACGAGTAGTGGTTCCTGATTTATTATTGAAAGCTCTTTGTGGTCATGGAAAGGCAGAACCACTTTCTCTGTAGACTTTGCAGACCACGGCAGGTAGTTAGGGGGTCTAGAGGGGGACTAATAAACATTTCTTAATAATATACGTTTAAAAATTACATTTGTAAAGACAACACTTCTAAAGAATCCAGTGTCTCCAATGTTGAAGATGTACAATGAATTTCTCATTTTATTTTAGAATATTGAAAAAATTAATTTTTCAATTTTTTTTAATTTATAATATTTTTTCAAAATTATTTATTCTGTCAATTGATTCATGCATTACCTGCGATTTCACATAAGTGTGCAAAATTTCAGATCAATTGGACAGGTAAAAGTGTGTCAAGTATGTTATAAGATTTGTAGCTCACAAAATTATTTTTTTAATTTGTTAATATAAAAAAAAATTATTTTTAAGATCATTTATTTTGTCATTTGATTGCTTGCATTGTCTCCAACTTTACGCAAGTGCGCAAAATTTCAGATCGATAGGATAAGTAGAAGTGTGTTAAATTTCGATTATATTAAAGAGAAGTCTTCTAAGTGAATTACTGAGCTTATTACTACAATCTTAAACTGAACACAAACGATTTCTTCTAGTTAACGCGATCAAACTATAGGAGACTTAAATATATTATACTCTAGATTAAATAAAAAAATTACTGGGCATATTACTATGGTCTTCAACTGAACACAAGCAATTTCTGTTTGTGAACACGATCAAAAGATAGGAGACTTTGATATGCTATACCTTACAATATAAAAAAGTTACTGAGTTTATTACTATAATCTTAAACTGAACACAAGCGATATTTTCTAGTTAACGCGATCAAACGATAGGAGACTTATATATATTATTCCCTGGAATAAATTAAAAATTACCGGGCATATTTCTACAATCTTGAACTGAACACAAGCAATTTCTGCTTGTGAACACGATCAAACTCAAACGATAACAGACTTTAATATACTATACCTTACGTATAAAAAAATATACTTAGCTTATTACTATAATCTTAAACTGAACACAAGCGATATTTTCTAGTTACCGCGATCAAACGATAGGAGACATATATATATATATATATTATACACTAGAATAAATAAAAAATTACTGGGCATATTACTTTAGTCTTGAACTGAACATGAGCAATTACTGCTTGTGAACACGAGCAAACGTGAGGAGACTTAAATATCTTATACCCTAGAATATAAATAAAGTTATTGAGCTTATTACTATAATCTCATACTGAACACAAGCGCTATCTTCTACTTAACGCGATCAAACGATAGGAGACTTAAATATAATATAACCTAGAATAAATAAAAAATTACTGGGCATATTACTAAAGTCTTGAACTGAACACAAGCAATTTCTGCTTGTGAACACGATCAAACGATAGGAGACATATATATAATAACTTAGGATATAAAAAAGTTACTGAGATTATTACTATAATCTTAAACTGAACACAAACGACTTCTTCTTGTTAACGCGATCAAACGATAGGAGACTTAAATATATTAAACCCTAGAATAAAAGTGAGCGATGGAGAAAAGTGCTCGTTTCGTCGTCATTAAAAGCAAAATTTTTCGATACAAATCTCAATATAAATGAAATCAATGAGAGTTTGTTGACGAGAAATAAAAATTGTCCATGTAAACAAGCTGACATCTAACAAAAAAAAAATATTTTTTAATGTTGGACGAAATTACATAACACTGCTAATAATAGTAACTCACTTCTTCAAAAAAAATTTAATTTATATTTTAGAAATTAGTAAATTACCGTTGGGGTTTACTCAAGGTCAATTTAGCACTGCAATCTAAAAACTGCAAATTTTTTTCTTGCCAAGGAAGATCTAGTTGAAAATAATGATCAAATTAGTCGTAAATTTAAGCTTTAGTTTCTCTTTGTATTTAATAGGTGTGCTAATTGTTGTGAAGATATTGTCTAATATGCGTTTAAAAATTACTTTTTAAAGACAACACTTCTGAACAATCCAGTGTCTTGGATGTTGCACATGTACAATGAATTTCTAATTTTATTTTCAAGTATTTTTGTTTCATTATTTTTCAAAATTTTTTTAAGATATAAAAATTTTGTACATTTTCAAAATTATTTATTCTGTCAAGTGATTCATGCATTGTCTCTGACTTTATGCAATTGTGCAAAATTTCAGATTAATTGGACAGGTCAAATTGTGTCAAATATGGATTATAAGATTTGTAGCAGACGAAATTATTTTTAAATTTTTTTATAATGAAATTTTTTTTTTTAATTTATAAAATTGATTATTCTGTCAATTGATTCTTGCATTGTCTCCAACTTTACGCAAGCGTGCCAAGCTTCAGATCGATTGGACAGGTAGAAGTGTGTTAAATATCAACTATAAGATTTGTAGCAGACAGACAAACAAACAAGAAGTGAAGTTAAAGAGAAGTGTTGTAAAAATAGTTTCCTGTACAGACCTTGCAGACCACGGCAAGTAATTAGGGGGCCTAGAGGGGGACTTGAGAACAACTCTTAAAGATAATTTCCTCCGCAGACCTTGCAGACCACGGCAGACGATGAGAAGGTCTATAGGATGACACCAGGTGGCGGTGTCCAGAGGCTGCTGGCAGCGGTCCACCTGAGTCTGTCCGTCCGTCTGTCCGGCTATGATGCGCCAGCCGCTGCCTGCATGACATTTTACACATATAACATATTATATACATACATATTACACACATAACTATTAAATACATACATATTACTTGCATAGCATGTTACATACATACATATTGTTTGCATTCATATTATATAAGTATATGTTGCGAACATGCAAGTTACTTGTATAGTCCCCATTCTAATAATGAAATTTTATTCATATCTGAAAATATGATGATGCATACCGCTTCTGATATAGTGATTTCTTCAGCTATCGAATTAGATGGGAAAGAATTTTCAGTGCTTCATATATATACTGCACTAATTTGAAAATATAATTATCTCTTGCATACAGTTCAGTGAAATGCGTGCATTTCATGGGTATGGAGAACGGGGTTCACTGTACAGTAAACTAATTTAATCAAGGCATTTCTTCTACAGCATATTGGGTGCACACACCGCACTGCAGCGCCCACTTGCAGAACAGCGCCCGCTCCTTGAAGTCTTCAGCGCCCCTCAGCCGCCCGATGATGTGAAGCTCGGCCATTCATCACATCAGCGACACCATTACCTAGTCACCCTCTCAAAATATCTGTGAAATTATTGATGTGAAGCTCGGCCATTCATCACATCAGTGACACCATTACCTCGTCACCCTCTCAAAATAATTTTGTAATTCACAGATGAATGTACCTCACCCATAATAACTGCTCACTGTAATTGCTCTTTCTCAAAAGAATTGTGAACATTTCTACGAAAATTGAATGATGAAAATTTTTTTATGTCATGGGTTAATACTTAAGCTATCACTGTGACCGTGCAAAAATTATGAAGGTAGTGAGTAGAATATATTTTAAACTATCCGGTCGACCACCTTGATATTTCTTTAACCTTGTAATCTAATATATTTTCAACGCCACCCTAGGTTCTACGTATACGCAAGGTTATACGTAAATGTCTTGATGCATGGTTGACAGTATGCTAACATAAACTAACGTTTTCTTAAAATTCGACACAAATTCAATCTGTATCCGTCACTTGTGTCAAAGAACATATGTATTATTGCTTCAAAGTTCAGAATAATGATACAAATTAGCGGATACAAACAACAATCGTTCGCCCGAGTCTGGAACTGATAAGCTGTGCGCTGGCGTCAAGTCCGTGCGTTTGTTGACGCGTCGCCTCGAATGGTTGCCATAGTTACGCTCGTAATGACATCGTGTTCCATTTGCAAATAATTCTGTAGCTTTACAGACGTAAAAGTTTCGCAGTTCTTTCAGTTCAAATTGAATATTTTCTGAAAAAAATAATATGGGGACCTATAATTGGACGTAACCGCGCTAACAGATTATTTTGTTTTCGATCGTAATTACGATGAATATCAATAATGTGAAGCAAGCAATGCATTTTGGTTATTCGTTGAAAGTTTCAATTAGAATTTAGTGCGTATATAAAATTATAGCCGGAGAGCAAAGTTCCAAGGAATATATTCATAATCTAACTTTATCGCAATAAAAAAGTTTTTCAGGTTCAGATGGGAATTGTTCTCCTTTTCCGTACAAGATAATATTAACTGTGAATTAACCATGTAGATTGTAGGGTAATAAGAGTAATGTTCTGGTCTATATTACTCTATATTTATTAGTTGTGAGTCGTAGCTTTTATTTGCTGGATTCGAGTGCGGTGGTCGAATAGGAAATCCTTCAACACAACGATGGATATTCCGTTGAACAAACGATCCACCCCTTCCACCGACACTCCGTTCACGGTGAGCACTCCTGTACAGGAAGCCACCGTATCAGTGATACGGGAAGATAAGTCAGGGTTTTGTAGGGAGTTACAAATATCGGGTTGTCAGGATCAGCTAATATGATTATGATAAGTAACGCAATTATTTGCATTTAAACATTTTTTGTTACTCTCATTGATTTGGCGGCAAGGTTATATCGCTCACAACTACTCATTAAACAAATCTGTAATGACACATTCTTATTCTTACGCAAATGTGTAATGAGAGAAAACGAATAGTATTAAATCGTAAAACTATTAATTTTGGTGAAAATAAATTAGGGGTAACCTCACATGGCGCTGTCAGGCATAATAATTGAGTTTTCATGCTACACTTTTAGATCGCTTTAGAAACGATCTAAACAAACATCTAGATCACGACACTAACTTCAGAGGCATAATCTGTATATACTTATGCTTATATATCTGGATAATTTTTGTGATTATACTCACCTTGGTCGTCGGTCTTTAAAACAATTCTTCTTTTGTTCAAGTTTTCTATAATTTGCTGCGAGTTTGGCTTGAGCAGCTGAGGCGACAAGCGATGTGTAGAGAGAGAGTCCAGCACCAGATCTCTCTTGAGTGCCTTGCTCTCTACGGTGTTCATATAGAGAGGATGTTTGTGGCTGCCTTGAGGGGCTAAATTAGAGAGCAGGTGCGTGCTGGGAGTAATCACCAGGTATATTTCTTCTGGTTCTGCTCAGAAAAAGTCCACACGCCATAATACCTGCATTCTGATCAATGGATTATATTATTGCGAACGTGAATCAAAATGCGACTAATTTCTCATGATATCTTGTATTGTTCTATGAGCCACACTGCATTAAAAACACAAATAATCACGCAATTCTACCTCGAACGTGCTATATTCAAACAAACATTTCAGATACCTCAGTGAGTAAATTGCCTTACTTGTCGAACAAGCCTGGTTTACATACTTAATTAACATTTAATTTAAGCGTTCAACAAATAACCCCTGCACCAACCCTGCGCTCGGGACTGCGCCCCCAGCTCGCGGGATTCCCTAAGGCAGCTCCTCCAGTAGTTCAGGAACCCTAAGACCCCTCGCCCGTCCTCGACCCCAGCAGGCACGGGAGGCATCACAGCCTCAGACGAGGTAGCGTCCGTGGGAGACATGCACAGCGACGTCGTCGCTACGATAACTGCAAGCGATAAATTATGGTCATTTATCAAGAAATAAATTAAACTCAAATTAGATTAAACTCAAAAGAAGTCCTCAATAAAACTTGCATTATTTTTAACTAAACATGTTTAAATGAAGGGCTCTACCCTAAATATACAAATTCTAGAAATAAATGTAAATAGTATAGTATTATTAGGAATAACTAATTACAGTCAGTTATATATAAATGGATATATAATAATCCATCTATGTATAACTGTTCGACTCTCTGAGAATTTTACTCCAGTGAATTCTTCGGTCATTAATCGAAGTCGTCTATAACGCGAATTGCGACTTCTAATTTATCTGTAAATCGATAAATGTGAACTCGAATCCGTTGGCAACGGGAATCTTTAAATCCTACTTAGAGGCTATTGTAAAAAAAGTGTTATTGTAAGGAAGAGAAGGCACATTCAGAAGGTAAATGTTAATAAAACTTTTTTTCTACGCTATTATTTTCATTTTTTTTTCGATCCTAAACCTATGACGTATTTTATTCTATAAACAAAGTTAAAATGCTTGCTTCGTGCAAACGATAGAGCACAACAGAAGCAACCAAATTTCCACCGTACCCATAAACAGCCTCATCGCTGCGAGATGTTGTCGCAAGTTATTTATTCAGTCAAAATTTCTCCAAAACTTATATAATACACAGCATACACAATCCACCGCCACGAACACAATGACAGAAATCATTCGAGCATCGCTGAAAAACACCAGTTGTTGTGGCCTTTAATCTTGCATTGCATAGATATGGACTTATTTGCCCAGTTTGTTGTTATCTTTTGTGACTCGGGAGCGCGTTTGTTGAATATATCAGTCTGGGGCAAGGGCTGCAGCATGCTATCTGCAAAGCGATAAGATTAAAATTGATATCGAAAACATATGCTTCTGCATTTATAATACTGTCAATGGAAATAGAAAATAGGTTTGGAGTCCAATAGGATGCTGTAACATATTTACAGAGATATTTATAACTGAAATATTTAGTAAGGTCAACACTTTAAGCCAATTAAAGAGCTTAACTATGCAGCAAGAGATTTAGTTTTTGATACAATGTGAGAAGGTTTGTCTCGATCAATGTTGAGGGAGGTTTCCGTCTTTGCTCCAGCGAGCAGGGCTGCAGCAACGTGTACGTCAGCAAGCAGGGCTGCAGCAACGTATACGTCAGCAAGCAGGGCTGCAGCAACGTATACGTCAGCAAGCAGGGCTGCAGCAACGTATACGTGGGTTGCACGTTAGATTTGCTCGTTCGCCTTGGATGGTTTTGATGGCTAACAACGATTTACTGTAATAAAAATTGAAAAATTTTACACGCATAGATGAAGAACTGCAGAATGTTTTTATTGTTTGAATGCTTTTATTTCAGTGGCGGCAACCTCATAATCTGTGATTAATGTAACAACTTTGATGTTATATCAGACTTCGTAAATTTAGGTAAATTTTTGCAAATTGATGAAACTAATCAAAGGTATGGTAATTATATTACATTTTCAAAAGTAATTATTTTACGATAAATAACAGAGCTTGGCATGCTCATATATGGAGCTGTGTAAAGATTTTGCCTAAGTCTTGGCGAGAGAAGGTTAGTGCATTTTTTCCTGAAAAACAATTCAGATTTATTTTACACTCTGAAAGCTATCATTTTAAACCGAAAACTAAAAAAAATTTCATATTGAAAAGCTACGTTCATTTAGTTAAACATTAACAACGTAACTGTTTATTAAACTGTTCAAAATAACTGTAAAGAATTTCACGGCCTGTCGTCTCGTAAAATTCGACCGCGATGGTTCAGGTTTCAATTGTTAGCTTTAAAAAATGGCGACATGGTTTTATTTCCTTGGGCGTTAAAATAAAGTCAGCTGCCAAACAATGTCTTTACTTTGACTCTGCAGCCCATTAGACGCTTCTGATTAATTATTTTCCCAATTAATGAGCTACCGACACTTCCGCCTTTCTCATAATATTCCAGACTGGGATGCTAATTTAGTAATTTCAAAGGTTTGTAGCGAAATATAACAAATTTTTCACGCTGGTCGTTCTGTAGACATTACGACACCGAACTGCTTGGAAAACTTGAATACAATTTTCAAGTAGATTCAAGCTAAAATATTCAGCGTTTTTGCACACATTTTCATCAATTGAGCGACTTGCCCTTTGATCTGACGCAATTGTCTCTGCGATCAACTTGAATGCTTCTGCTGCTGTTGAAAAATTAAATCATTAGATACTATTGATTTAATTTATAAAGTCTAATAAAGCGTCTTATTAGACTTTGCAATCAGCACCAGACGAGTCTCGCCGGGCGTGGATGAAGAATAAATCGTATAATTTTATTACCGTATTTTTTGTCTCCGTCCAATCGCGATCACTTATACGTTCTTTAAAACTTATACGTTTAATTTAAAATGTAATAGCTTTCGTTGAGAGTCGAAATCAAACTGAAGAGCGGCTCGATTCTCTCCAGTTCACGGAAATGAGAAATAAATTAAGTTGACTGTCACTAACCCTATTGCGAAATCCTAAATTTTCTCACTAAAGCTCCATTCAAGAAAGAGCATATAAAAATTACTAGGTGCGCTAAAATACAACAGCGTTTGTTTTGCGTCGGTATAAATGTTACCCACGCCCATTTCTAAAAAAAAAACAGATAATAAATAACGATAAAGTATATTATACACATGCAAGTACAATTGGACGTTGGAAATGTTAATGTAATTCCCCTCACAAAAAATATAAAATAAATAATAATAGCGTATAATATACTCAATACTCATGCCAGCACAATTGATCAGTTTAGTTGCATTGCCGGAACTTTTCAGTGAAGCCTGCAGCAGCGCTTGCTGTGCGTTATTAACGTTATTAGAAAAATTAATTAAATTCTCTTCTGAAAAATATAGAATAAATAATAATAGAGTATAATATACTCAATACTCATGCTAGCACAGTTGATCAGTTTGGTTGCATTTCCGGAACTTGGAGCCTGCAGCAGCGCCTTGTGTTTTGCTGCACTAAACTGATCGATGTCGTGCCGTGATGACCAGAGATTGACCAATGCCAGGGAGAAGGTCAGTGTCGTACCTGACGTCGTGCCGGTAAGGGGTGTGTCTCTCCGACCTCAGTCTGTATTTATGTTATTCTAAATTGTCGAACGATGATGATATTTAGAATAAACTGTTATCAAGTAGAGATAATCTTTCGGAGAAAGTGGATAAAATTATACAAGAAAGTAACAAAGAGTAATTCACAACTTTATTTGTTATTGAAACAAATTTAAGGGAGTTATTTAAAATTCAACATATTGATATTGCGTCTGTATTCAGACGTACTCAAACTAAATTAAGTAACAGTTAGGCCTGCTTTAGTGATTTATTTTCAAGCGATGGCATCACCTGACGTCTCTAGCACGCCCTTTTGTACTACTATCCACTGCGGGTTAAGTTGACGGTCACACCTCAGGTGTCGATACTTTTTACGTCAGCTGTACATTCCTTTTGTACCAACTGCGGTTTATGTTGACGGTCGGTCACACCTGAGGAGCCGATACTTTGTACGCAGGCTGTACGTTCCTTTTGTACCAACTGTGGGTTAAGTTGACGGTCACACCTCAGGTGTCGATGCTTTGTACGTTAGCTGTACGTTCTGCCAACTCTTGACGACAAATCGTAGAACTGAATTGGGCTCATGTTAGTATATGTATTGTGATTTCCTTCTGAATTTTCATTCTCCACAATTTTTATCCGTATCTTCCTTCCACAATAATTAAAACACTAAAAAATTTGTAAGGGGAATGAGTGAGTATAGAAGCTACAAATTCGATTAAAACATCTAAACTTGACCCATGCAAATGTTTCTTACGGTGCAAATTAATATCCTAAAAAGACTGTTCCCATTATTGTACAAAGCATAAAGTAATTTATCAAAACGTAAATATTTGAACTATTTATTATGTGCCTAAATAGATGAGGCTGGTAATAACCCTCAAATTTCAGATACAAATTTCTTAAAATTCACTGCATTCATACTTTGTTCACAATCAATACAAGTATCAGCTGGTCATTCAGCATAGAATAAGAATTCAATGAAATATTTAAACAGAACAGGTCAGGTCAGGATTAAAATATGCAAATATATACATCGTTGAAATGGTTGCATTGTTGGGGCTCTAAGAAACCCAACTAGCCTACATTATCGTATAGGTTCCGGATATTGATGAATACTTGTTAAAACACTTTATTAACATACTTTCAAACAAACACATTTAAACAAATAATAAATAATAATATCAGCACATTAACACTTCACTTCATCTTGGATGCTTGCTTGCGAGACAGAGTCTTGACTCGAGTCTAACTCTTGGATTTGAGTCTAACTGTAGATTTGAGGCTTTCCTAAAAGTAACAAAATGAAATAGATAAATAATAGTAAACTAAACATTAACGTATTCCTAATTATATAACCTAAATGTTTACGCAATTTTTCCACCACATCGAATATATATTTACATACTGTATTCACATCCTAATACTGCACATACCTCCACTCCGGCTTTCCACGCAACAATAGTCAACGAACCTTGGCTTTTCGCACATTTCTTCCGGTGGCCTCTAAACTAAATGACAACAAATTCAAAATAATAAACCATTTTGTAACAAATATTATCGCCTCGCATTACATTAAAATAACAATCTATTTCTATCCTTAACAGCATCATGAAATAAATTAAATATGAACTGTTTCTAAAATATGTTCCCTTGAAAATTTCGACAAACTTTAAACTTGGCCATCATCAATTGAATATCAAAACAAAAAATAAAGCATAAAATTAAAATTACTAGGCGTATTGGATGTGTGCTATTACTTAATTGAACGTGTCTTAGATTTGAACGAATAATTTCATTGATACAAGTGAAGAAATACTTTGCCAAGAACATTTTGTGGCAAAACTCAAGGTCAGGGTCAGAAAAGATGCGTTAGAAACCGGAGATAAACAAGCAGCGAGGAATCTTTAAGGTAAATCCGCTTGCGTTCATTGCTATCGACCAGCCGTCGTGCGCTCCTCCTTTCTGAACCCCAAACTAGGGTCGCTCTCCTGCGACCCTCGCTTACTAAGCCCCACCTCTTTGAACCCCAAAGCCAGGGTTGTCTTATTAAGCCCCTCCTCCCTGAACCCCAACCGAGGGTAGCTCTCCTACTACCCTCGGTATCCTGCCTCGTCTGGGCCCAGTCCGAGAACGGCAGCGGCCGACTATGGCGGTGACGTGCGAACTATGATGAGCAAAAAGGACTTCCAAGAGGTGGCACTCTCGCTCACGGAGCCCGGGCATATGCTTCTTGCTGGGGAATCTACTCCACCGATACCCTCCGTAAACCGCATGCAGACACCTCCACGTATTAAGCGACCTCCACAAGGAATACAAATTTGTAAACTACCAAGAGTCACAACATGCATTGAACTTGACCGCGACAGCGTAAGCTCAGTTTCAACGATGCGCGACTTCGACACAGAATCGCTCGATATTGACACGACGCAGACGGAGTTGCTGTCGGCGATCAGTACTCCTGCTCAAATGTTTTTGGCCGCCGCGGCCTCGAAACATCATAAGAAACTTACGGCAAAGACTTCAGCAACCATTGATCTTCGTCTCGGCAAGGAACTGACGTTCACAGACCGCGTTGAAAACTGGGAGCGTGCGCTCAAAGCTGCGCTCCAAGTCGACGCTGCTGGAAACGCTCTCGAGGCGATAGCGGCCTATGGCAAGTGAGTGTTGTGAAATTTACTGAAATATGCTTGTGAGAGCTCGTAGAATTTTTTGAAATTAGATTGAAAATTTGTTTTCTCGTTATTATTGGTGTCTGCAGAAGTGACCGTTTGCACTGATTTATTAACAAAACAGTTCTGTATCATGATGATGACATACAATTAAAATGAATTTTTATGAAAAAAGAATGAATAGCTTCCATTAAGGCAAGAAACATTTTATTCCGGAAAAGAATTTAAAGTTTCTAGGTTACAGTGGCACACGCGTCGATTATTGTTTCAGTGCAACGTCCGCTCATCCGTATGCTGCAATAGCTTATGGAAGTTTCATTTATATTTTTTTGTACTTAATAAGTTTTACAATCAAAAACACATTTCTAAGATCCTATGACATCAAGCTATGTGATCTTTACATTTTCATGATTTTATTGTATGTACTTCGGCTATTATCCTCCTGTTTTTATGCCACATTCAATAAAATGCACAATTACTTCAGATTGTTGCTTGTACAACTTTCTGAAATAAATGAAATATATTAGACGCCAAAATAGAATAAATAGAACAGCTTATAATACAAGACAACTGTTCTCGAAGACCTTCAGCGCCTGTGACGTCATCGCCTCTCAGGTCGATGAGACTCGAGAACATTCTTTACAACACAACTAAATTACACACAAAACAGACGGATAGAAACTTTTCTGGCCTGGTTGGTTTTCTGTTATTTTCTGTTTCCGTTTTGTTCTGACTGAAACGAATTCCATTTGAAGTTTAAGTTTCCATTCCGAACTGCAGCAACTCTTTGAACTCTGATAACTGCTCTGATTAGAGCTGAAGACTCTGAAAACCGGCTCTGTTTTAAGCTCCCGCCTACAATAACGGCTCAGATCTTAGCTCCCGACTCAGATAACTTGCTCTGATCAGAGCTATCGGCTCTGATCTGAGCTCCCGTCTCTGATCACCGGCTCTGGTTATGGTTCCGGCTCGGCTGAATTGCTTCATTTTACGACTCTCGTTCAATGGTTTGTGAAGGGCGCTTGTGTGGCAGCTGAGAGAGCTGATAACTGAAACGACCTCATGTCCAGGGCCATGAGAGGGAGATAATCTTTACATAATATTCCACTTGAGGAGAACCTTTACATTTATTTTCCTTATGTTAACACTTATTTTGTCGTAAGATCTTCACGCTAGAGAGTTACTTATATTCAGACATGTGATAAAGTATCTTTATTCGCGTTACCCATCAATTATGAAAAATGTTTCCTGAGACAAAATTTAGCGGAAGTTTACTTCATTTACTTCATTTACTTCATTATTTGCTTCGGCGATAAATAGGTTTGAGAACATTATCCAAAAAATTTTGTTCATAGAGGAATTCGAATAAATTTATTATAGTGAAAATATTCCGTAATTTAAAACTTTATCAATTTTCGCAAATTTAATCTTCGGTTAAGAATCCGTAGACTATTTGAAGAAAGTTTACCCGTTACCTTCTTGCACCGCAGATATTTCCAACTGTAAAAACACCCATAGTTAGATTATCAAATGAATCGATAAATTTTCATGCCCAAGTCACCTTCACCCGTTCCTCGACGGAGCAAAAGCATAACATATATTAACATAAAAATATATTCAATAAAAACAAATGATTTGCAAGTAATTTATTATCATTTATAAAATATTATTTTCATTTAAATTAAAATAATAATTTTTTTTTCATTTCAATCTCGAAAAATCGATCAGAACGCGAGTCATTCACCCTGGCTTGTGTTGTTCAGCTGAATAGCTCAGACCTAATTCTTTGTGATCTTCGCAACAGATAGACCAGACCCAGATCTTTGTGACCACACAACAGATAGATCAGACCCTGATCTTTGTGACCACATAACAGATAGATCAGACCCTGATCTTTGTGACCACACAACAGATAGATCAGACCCAGATCTTTGTGACCACACAACAGATTGATCAGACCTTGATCTTTGTGACCACACAACAGATAGATCAGACCCAGATCTTTGTGACCACACAACAGATAGATCAGACCCAGATCTTTGTGACCACACAACAGATTGATCAGACCCAGATCTTTGTGACCACACAACAGATTGATCAGACACAGATCTTTGTGACCACACAACAGATTGATCAGACACAGATCTTTGTGACCACACAACAGATAGATCAGACCCAGATCTTTGTGGTCTTTATCAAACGACAAACGCAGAGTAATGACGGCAGCCTGCAAATAAAGGCATCTGGTGAATGCGGCATGAAATTGCACGCATGAAATTGCGGCATCTAGCGCATGCTGCAGCGCTGATCTACAGGCTTGTTTAATCTTGGTAAATAAGACGATATTCTTTTCTGAGGAATTTTATACTTTCGGTTCACAGGAGAGTGTCGTTAAATGAAATAATTTCTTACACAGCAGCACTGATCTTGAAGATTTTTTTTCACAATTTAAGGAATAATGAACAAGTAAAATCAGCTGTATTAGAATTTTTTTGAACAATTAGTGCAATAGAAACAATCAATAATATTGATATAAAGTCATTTCGGAATAAATAATTCATACGCGGTGTCTTGAAACGCTTAATTTCTGCTCGCGTTTCGGTGAGCGCCCAGAGTGCCCATGCACATGCCCCCAACATGGCCCCCCGTGCACACCCACGTGCCCACCTCCGTGTCCACCCTCATGCCCCAAACACGGCCCTATACGTTCCCACTCACGTGCCCCAGCATGGTCCCCCGAGAAGCCCACCTCCAAGCCCCCAACCTGGTCCCCCGTGCCCACCCTACCCTCGTCTCCCTAACCTGGTCCCCTGTGTTCACCCTCGTGCCCCCAACATGGCTGCTGGTGCCCGAGGCTGTCGCCTTTAATGGTGGCGGGTATACGATCGCTCGAGGCGACCCGCGCCATATCAATTTTAAAACGCTGGTTCAATTCCACAATAACGGCAGGAATAACATGGTGAATGTGAAACAGAAAATTTTTTATGGGTGGAAGTGAATATTGATTCTGTACCTTTGTACGCGATTCTTGTGTTTTGGTTCAAACTGAATGGAAATGATAACAATTGATTTTAAATGCTTCCTCCCAATTGGGCATGAGGACTTTTAAGAAGAAGATATGTGAGAGATATCATTTAAATAACGGGCAGAATCTCTTCAGATATTAAACTGTGTTCAGCTGCTCACGCTTTCGACAGTAATTTCCGATTGCTGGAGCCATGGAGGCAAACGTCAGATGATTGCACTTTGCAGGGCTGTAAATTAAGCTGCATGCAGCCTGAGGTCACCTTAACCCTGAAAACCCTCGCCAATTTTGCAGTTGTACATCAATTTGAGGAATAAGATCAAGTCATGTAAAGATTATCAGGTACTCATCAGGCTCAGGTACTTTTCGTTAAAGCGATATCAGAAAAGTGATATGGTTTTATGCAGTAACTAATTAATAATCTACTTTACTAATTAGTAACCCCATTAATCCTGACCAAGCTAACGCAATATTCGACTGCACCTTAAAGAAAACCACTTGATAATCAACTTCATGCAACTTGAACTACTGAATAAATGCATTAGTTTAACGAAAATACTAAACGAAACGAAACAACGTTAAACGAGAATTCTGTCATGGCCAGTCATACATATAACCACACATACATAGTGTAGTAGTGTATATGCATATGCATACATATAAATGTGAGAAAGTTGAGAAAATTATAAAACATCCTTGGAAATGGTGTATATCGTAGCTTTGCATAATTGCATCATAGAAAGAATATTCACTTTCTTAACATTACTATATAACTAAAGCTTGGTGTTATTTTTTTATGACTCACTGGACCAAAATTAATATCTTATGAAAAGTTACACGAGCAAATAGCCTCCCGTGTATTCAGACAACTCAGTAACTCAGCTGAGCGACAACTTGCCCCTCTGAGTTCAACTCAGTAACTCGGCTGAGCGACAACTTGCCCTCCAAGTTCAGCAAGCTCAGCAACAATTCGAAAGAATATGACCACCCAGACGGAAGACTTTTGAAAAACGATGAAAACGAAGTAATTTAGTTGAGAGAACATAAATCAACGTTGTTTCAACGTCAGTTTTGGGTGGTTAAATAAAGTGTAAACATGTGCTGTGTGCACGAGGGCTACAGCTCTCTGACGTCATCCAGAACTTCATTGATTTATAGGACGTCGCGATGTCAGTGCCTTGAGCGACACTGATAATATCACCCAAATTTTTTATTAGCCTATCGCATTTTCAATTATTAATTTCTAAAGGCTGCATATCTAGCCCAGATTCAGCTGTGTGGATTCGCTGGAAGTACTTGAAGGATTGAATGGATAACAATATGCATTTATTAAAAACGGCTTGATTAGCTGCACTATAACGCTGAGTCGAGTTTGATGTTAAATTCAAATACTTGGTTCATTTATGTAACCGATTTCGTATATTTCTAGGTCAATCAATTGTACTATTATTTATTTGCAGGATTAACCGTCAAGTAACTCGAGACGCCATCTTGGAATTTGAGAAGATGAACTCCGACCAACAGGTGCGTGGCTAAAGCAATCATTTCAATTTTTTGTCTAATTAATTAATTAATTAATTTCAAAGTAAGATTGATCAAAGAACTAAATCAAACAAGGAAGAACCTATGTACACCATTTAATTCTATTTTATCGCTACTGTGTCATTTAATCGAAAATCATCTCACGTTGATCGTCAAATCACTTGGACCAAATAGCATTCTTACATTACAATCATAATTGCGGATCCAATTGTAATAAAAATCGATTTAATTTCAGTTTGACATCAAATTGATGTTAAATTTTACTCAATTAAAACAGATTCTGGATTTAAATATTCATTTTTACCCTTCTAGAAGTTACTTGAGAAGTAGAGTCTTGCACGAGTCATGAATCGCTATTCATTTTAAATGTTGCGTGCACAGAAGCTGATGAACGACGTGATGAACTGTTTGGACCGGCGCACCATGGTTCTCAAGGCCGCCCAAAACCCCAACAGCCGACCTTGTAGCCTCGATACTACCTTCTCTACAGGTAATTAAACATTAGCAAAATCAAACTTTACTGAAACCAGCAGCTATGCAAAAGACTATCATGGACTATCAGCTCACCCGTTAATTTGATGAGAAATTTTGAACAGAAATTTTTTTTTGCAAAACAATGCATGCCAAATGTATTTTTCATAAACTGCGTAATTAATTATAGTTTTAAGACCTTCGTTTAAAATATGTACAGACGCTGACAGAACGACAAAACCATAAAAAGGGGGTTTGCACGCAAAAAGGATTGTTTTGTACATTAATTATTTTCTTGGCAATAGTTTCAAGATTAACTGTAAATTTTTAAAATTTCGATAAATATTGTGAACTGCTATTATGAATTCACGTCTCTTGCCTCGAAAATTATAACAATGTGGTGGTTAATCTGTCAAAACACTGAAGGAAGAAGGGCGCCTTACGTTGGCACCTGAACTGCTTTTAAAATAGCTGTCTGACGTCACAGGTTCGGTATCAACACCTCAAGTTACGAACGTGGCCACTGCTGAGGAAGCTCCTGCGCAACAGAAGCCACAGGTAGCTCAGGCTGAAAGTCCAGACATCGACCCGTCGTTTACCGAACTCGTAGAATGCCTGAAGCATTTCTCAACCATCAAAGTGCTGGCCTCTAAACGTAAAATGCCTGTGGTGCTCATTTACGGGGAACGAACTCACAGGAAATCTCATCGTTTCCAAGAAAAGGGCAAAAGTAACACAATTGTATACCCGAAGGAAAAACGGAATTTCTTGCAGATCATGGGCTTACCTGGCAAGATGATCACAAAAAAAGGACTCGATTTTAGCGTGAAGCCAGAAATTGATAGTTCAGGAGTTCGAATCCATTATTCTCCACAGAGGAGCCGAAGCGCTTCAACAGATGAACAAAGAGAAGAAAAGGAGAATAACGGCAGCATAATAGAAACTGTCCTAGATAAAACCAATAACTTATCAGTAACAGAAGATGACGGCCGAACCAAGAGGCGTTTATCTGCCATCAACATAATTAAAAAGCCCTCAGTCAGTCCACTCCCTGGAAGTGGAGGGAGCACCAGCCAGAAATCACCTGGCAAGAAAGGCAAAGGTAAAAACAGTAAAAAAGACAAAAACAAGAACAAAAATAAAGATTTGGATATTCACACTGAATGTAAGTCAATGCTAAGCTGCGACTCCTGCAGTTCCAGTGACGAGTGTGAGAGCGAGAGCGACGTTTGTGAGCACGATATTGCCGTACCAAGTAACTATTGTCATCTAGAGAAGCTCCAGCCAGAGCCTTTATACAGCGCCGATTTGACTTACGTTACAATTCAGCTTGAGAAAATTGGTATTCACAACACCAGGAATTTTATCTCTCCCTTCATAAGAATGTCAATAAGAGGTGAGCTACTGAAGAGGACAGCATCTGTCACAAAACTTTTTATTCTGTATACGCAAAAGTCAATTAGATTGACAATTGCGTATACTGAATGTCAGAGTAATTTTACTATTTATTGCATCAAATTTTTAGTTTAAAAGACATGGCATTATTCACCTATTGAAAAAGACGTTACGAGTATTTCAAACTGCGATATATTGTTGATGAATTCTAACGCAAGACTTCCGCTCACGCTAAAGGAAAAATTTTATGTACATTATTTTAAATGTTTTCGTACGCCTGCTAATTGTAGTTGTAGAGCGATGCAGGATTGATTAAAAATTCAAGTTTTATTTATTTTTACGGAAACCCGACCACAGTTTACCTCTGCGTAAGTCTAAATTACTAAGCGAAATAATAATATTCACGAAATAATTGTCATGCAGACAGAGAAGGAGACTTGGTGGACGGGACGTCAATTCAGGAGAGCGAGATGGGGGAAATAATCAACAAGAATTACCTCAGACTTGATGGAACCATCCACTTCCAGCTGTCCTTGCAAGCTTTACCTGCAGGTATTGTTGCATGTTCGCAACCTCGTTCACGTCTACGGGAATATTGATTGTCCCTCAATGATTATTATCCTCGCTGACAAGTTGGTCCCATTACTAGCCTCACCAGCAGGCTTTGTATAACACTGAATCACTTCGAAATACGGCGCATTGGAAAACGCGAGCTTTTCCAGTCGAAGGACCGAGTCGGTTGGCCGCAGAGATGCCCTCGGTGCAAACACGTGCATCGAAGAGTAGTGTCAATACCATATTTTCCTACTCTTCATTCCCACTTTATATAACAGACAGTACCGTACCTCTGTGGAAGGCAAATCAATAACGCATGTAGAATTATCACAACATTGTGCATTGCTGATCATCACTGAACTTCGAATCGTTATGACGACTGTAGTTGTCTGTGATGCCTGCTCTCCTTCTGTGATTATTCTTTCTTATTTCTCTTAACTGGGCTCATTTGAACCGTGCAACGGGATTTATCTGATATCTTCTATCATCTGCCCTTACCAAAGTGAACGCATGCATAATGTATACATAAAGATAGATGTTTCATTTTGCAAAGGCATCCGAAATCAGATTAACTAATGATAGTTGAGTTTCACGTTATTAACATAACATAACATAACATAGTGATGTCGGCGCTGAAGTGTAGGCCTGATGTGGCCTGTCGCCGATTCTTTTCCTTTTCGTGCCTTGTTCGTAGATCTAGACTCGTGTCATTTGACCGGATCTTTTCATGACTGACGATAGTTTGAAGTAGATACTAGACTTCCACCGGGTTCGATAAGGAGCTAGTTCAATAACTCTATGAAGAGTTATTGAACTCTTTGCCATATTTGTTCAAAATATATTCCTAGAATCATCGATAAAGACAAAGAACGGGCTGAAAAAAGTGATATTCTCAACGTACTGTGATTAATTAAAACAATTTTTACAGATATTGGAGTTTTTCTGGAGCTGGTCCACCACCGAGCTCACCTGAACTGCCTCTCCACGCACTGCTACACTTTCCTCGAGAAGGATCAACTTCAGGACGGAGAGTTCATATGTGAATTGTGAGTGTTTCTGAAAAAACTACCATTATTTCCATTGACATGAAAACACGTTAATAATGTGGCTGTTGTGTTAAGGTACGAGTTCCTTCATGAAGCATTCTTTTATTGTTTCTAGATTAACGAAGCAAATTGTAACAGTCAACTGTGGGAACATGTTTTGATATGAAGCTGTGATCAGTGATGTTTCGACTCCCGGGGGTAACGTTTCCCAATAAAAATTAAATGTTCCATGATTATAAAACATATATTTAGCTTCAACATTTGATCGAACATTTCATGAAATTGTTGGCATGTGCAAATGCTAATATCTTCTCATTAGAAGTTAATTTTTCAGGTACAAACCACCGGTGGACTTCACTCGCGAGAAATTCGTGGCGTATTCAGAAAAGGCTTTTTACCTTCACATGAAGTTAATTGTTAATAACGGTTCAGGGGTAAAAATAAATGCACAAGCCTTAAGTTAATTGAGAATTATTAATTAAAATATGCTTTTAATTCTACAAAAAACTTTTACTACGTTGTCGGAGAACGTACGTGCAAGATGTGAAATCCAATATTAATTATATAATCATACATACACCTCTCTTCGTCGCCTGTCATAAACTGGACGTAGTCATTTCCAAAAGTAAATAAGCAATAGCAAGTAACTCCCACAAAATATGGTTTCCTAATTTTTCAACATTTTTACTATCTTAATCCTTATTTTAAAATGACATTGTTTGGGTAAAAAACTAATATTAGAAGATTATTATGAAGAGTTTTCTCAACGAGAAGTAACTGCTGAGCGAGTTAAGTATTGATAATTATTGGTGCACGTGTGTTATCAAATTATAGACCAACTTTTTTATACGCCCTTAACACGCTGACCAATGCGAGCATAATTCTACGCGGACTGTTAATCTTCTATTCTAGTTACTTTAATATTTTACTGCAATTTTGTAATCATAAGGCTTAAAAGAAATCAATAAGTTTACTTGACTTAGAAATGTATTTCATAATACACTAGTTATTAGTTAATGACTTTATATGATGGACAATTACCAAGTCTTTCATTGAAATGATTATATTTTACTTGACTAAAAGGTGTAGATTAAAGTTAAGCCGAAATTCACACAAGCTGGAATGGCCATTAGTGGCGGATTGGCAACAATGGAAAATTATTCCCCGGAATTATGCAACGTTGCTTTTAGCTGCAGGTAATGAAGGAATTTGCATAGCCCTGCTTTCTCAGCGGAAATCATTATGTGCTTTTTATAGTTTGTTGGAAGCTTATATTCATCCTCGTACAGTGACGTCTATGGAATTCGTCTGAAGTTTCTGTATATCCAGCCACCATATCATTGCAGAGAAAGGGAAACGATATGCTCTCGACTCAAAAAATTCTCCAAAGCCATTTTGTGATCAATAAAGGCCAGCAATGTTTTCCTGTATTTGCTATTATACCCAATCTGCCTCTCTAGCGTTTGACTTTAGCTCTCGCTCGTCGCTTTTAGATTCTAAGCAAGGTTTTCAAAACGATGGATTGGGCATACGGATTGAAATTTCCGTATGGAAATGTAACAGGTTGCTTTTCTATGCAACTCTTATATGAATGGTAATTAAGTATGACCTGAGGGTGGTTCTTCTGTAGCGGGATCCGAGGATATAGAGGAACAGCGTAAACGATTATATAATATACATGTAGGATTATAGTTCGGCTTACAGTTTAGGATAATCTAAGTTTATAAGTTGGAGCTTTAACAATGATGTCTTCGGCGTCCAGTTGAAGTAAATAAATGAACGAGTCTAGAGTGTATCCGCGGGACGTTCTCCACTCAGACATTGAGCTAGCGTTACTGTCCTGTTTGACATGGACAGGAGCAATGGCGTATACCGTAGCGGTCCTCGTCCAAGACTGAAGTTAATCGCTTAAAACTGAGCTTTTATAGCTTCGCTATCCGACGTCACCAAGGGCGTGACTTAATAAACAGGGAAGGCAAATACAAGGAAATGTTTATGAACATATCGAAGTGAAGGAGATTATCTTTCAACAAGGAAGATATTAATGAGGAAATATCCAGGGACAAATGGGGTAAATATTGTTACCTTACAGAAAGATCAGATAACTTTATCTCTGACGAAAGAAAGGAACTCTCTCAACCCACAGCACGAGCTCATTCAGTTGGAAAAGTGCATCAAGAATGCACTGCATTAACTTTTTACAATAAATGACCGTCTAGGAGCGAGGCATAAAATCTCAATTTGGTTTTACGTCCAACGGGATAAATTGTGTAAAGTTTACGTTAAAAATTATTAGTTATTTTTTCAGTACAGAGCAGAACTATAATTGTGCACACGCATTCTGAACTTGCAAATAATTTAAATATTTGTACATACAGTATTTATATATTATATTTTCTTAAATCACCAATTAATAAGGAATTTAAAATCAACGAAAACGCCTAGACCATCAATAGAACTACCAAATGTACTCAAAAGAAATTAAAACCTAAAAGGTAATTTTAAAGGGCTCGATATTTTATTGCTTTTAAATACTTGTAGTGTTGTAAATTGTTTGTCGTCCTTGCCAATGTCAACGTGCAAACGTCGTATTTCTTTCCTTACTCTTTAAACTAACTAACGTGGCGTCTATTTTGACTTCGCATTTACTTTAGACTTTTCAAAAGTAGTTGATGTCGACTTTCGATCGAGGGCAGTTGTGGCCCCAGACGAGGTCATTGATCAGGAACTTTAAAGAAATAGTTATTTATCTTGATAACCAGGTAACTGGGTTAACAACTAAATAGTTATTTATTTCAATGACCAGGTACGTGAGGTAATTACGAAATAGTTATTTATATTGATAACCAGTTACTTGGGGTAACTACGAAATAGTTATTTATTATGATGACCAGGTACTTGGGGTAATTACGAAATAGTTATTTAACCTGATACTCTCTTGAACATGGTTATTTTTCCAGAATTAGTAAATAATTATTAATTGTGATCATTATTTATTATTTATCATGATCACTTCACAATTGGGGTAACCTAGGAAATAGTTATTAAATATGATAAACTCTTATTTGAGGCAACTATACATATATGGGAGATAATTATTAAACCTAATAACCTCTTAACTTAGATAATTTTACCCGATCACACTATTGCATATGCAGCCATAATTTTACTATGGATAGATATAGTTGGTTTTCAATCAAAGCTACTTCTCAACGTATAAATGTTAATTTATAAACATTAAAATAAAGAATAAAATTCAAGAATATATTTTGTGAGTCTTCTGGTCCGCTACGCAACAGTTGGACAATTGCAATCACAATCAAATATCTTATCTTGAGCGATAAATATTTAGAAGGAAAATGCCAGTTCTGTACGCATTCCTTCGTTAAAAATACATGCATATACTAGGCTTTCAGAAATACTCATATTTCTGATGGCAGGATCAAGAGAGCATGACGGAGGGGAGGGGCGTGACAGAGGGAAGAAAGAAGATGCTTCTTGCCTCACAACTCGGATGAACAATTTTCATCGCACGCTACACATACCGTGCAATATCGAATTGTTAAAACAGTGTATATTCTTGACATGGAAATGGAATAAGTATATATATATTATCTATCACCTAGGGACATTTACACTAGACTAACCGGTGAGATCTATGATTAAATATCACGCAAGATGATCTAAAATGAAGGCCAATTTTGCCAGATTTATCATCAATTTTAATTTATCACTTGTATTATCTAAAATGCAGGTATATTGTAGTGTTTAGAATACAAGTAGGTTCGCTCAAAGTATATATAAATGATCTTATGCTGTTTGGTGGGCGAAAAAATGTGGTCTCGAATGAAAATCATGCAGGAGTTTCCGAATAACTATTTTTGTTCATCTGGTATTATAATATAGGACAGGGTATGTTTTAATACTGAATAGTGTATTCAGAATATAGTTCTATACTTCGATTATTGTTCAAAACTTTTCGATGTCCTCTTTTTGATTTTATTCTTATTAATTCATTCGCACTATTAGATGAAAGATATACCAACGTAAAGTTACCGACTGAATGGTGTAAATATAGAATGATGGTATAGTAGATCACAAAATATTTGTATCATCGGAAAAGATTATTAAATTGCCGTAATAAATACTAGGTTGCGAGGCGAGTCTAGTATATGGTCGAATGCCATTAGTGCATTAGAAACCTTCGCGCCCGCCAACACTTCTGATGGCATTACTTTCAGTATAAACGAGTTGTAATCATCAATGGTCACTATTTATATCTCAGCAACTCTAGCTCTTTTCTCCTGAATTTCATTGAGAATTAAAAAATATTTTGAAGGAACATTTGAAATTAAAATTTACTTCGGTTCCGTCATAACAGAAGTAAATAATATTTCCGAATTCCGAGCTTCGGCTCAACTGCTGGTAAAAGTCAGCTGACATAAAATCATAGAATTGTCGCACGTTTTCTCCAGTCCACTTGGGCCAATTGAATTATCGCGCTTCTATTATAATTTCTTGAAATAAATTTTTAATTTAATGCTGATTAGTTTTTTAATTTTTTATGCCATATTATCTATTTCCATGGCCTTGACGTTGACGGGCTTGACTTAAATGATAATTATATTTGCACTCACACCTCGTCACCTCACAGGTCACACTGTCACAGAGTGCCTGACTGCTGAACTGGATTTTCTTGCAATGAACTTTACAAAGCACAAGTTAGCATGCATTCGTCAACTTTCAACAGTGCATTTGGCAGAAAAATATGATGCTGTTATTGTTGGGGCAGGTTGGTTCATCTTCTAATTGTAACTTGTAAGAAATCAGGTCATTCTCATGTCACTTGGCCATAGCAAACTGATTTGCTTGTGCTGGACAGTGCTGTCATTAAAAAAAATCTTAATTTTCACTATGATAATACCTGCAAGGCTGCAACAAATTATTTATTTTGGTAAATTTGAATGTAGTGGCCTAAATAATATCTTGATCAATCATTAGATCATATAGTAAATAGTATTATTATTAACTAAATATTCAGAAGATCTAACATCTAAAAGAAATTTTGTAGCTGTAATTGCCTGTAAAATGGATAGAAAAGCTCTTAGCATTTGAGTCTAGACTCTAGAGTGGATGTTTTTGAGTCATAGCTTGTAAAGTTGTATGCACAGTGTTGAGCCAATATTGAATGTCAGATTATTATAAAATTCCAGTTAAAATTTACCATCTACATAAAATTTTTGAAAATTGAAAGCAAAAATGCATTGTTTTTCTTATTTTTTATGAAAGAAATTAGGCAAAGCTGCAAAGGCTATAAAAACGGACAAGATTAACCGCAAGCGTGGGCTTTTTGTCTCATTCGTAGGTGACTTATGGCCGATTTTCCTTGATAGAAGCCATAGTAGAAATATTGCCAAATTCTATATTCACACAAAAAAATTTAGTCATTTTAATTGGAATGCAGTAACACAGGCAATATGGTAATTTTTTGTTAAAGGTAAAATTGATAGGATAGAATAAAATCTAATTTTTCCAAAACATTTATTTATTTTACATATGGAGTTGCTAGTAATATAGTTTTCTGTTTTTTTTTTCAATTTCACTGCATAAATTGCAACTTGCAAGATGAGCCCTTTGTGCACAACTCAATTCAATTGAAATACAATTGATAGATCAGACTAAATTGAGACCAAACTCATCCAAAAGTTTATAGAAGAAAACCTTGTCTATATTCTTGTTTTAAATCTCATCTAAATACCAGAAAAATAAATAAGCATTTTAAAATATGTTTCCTAATATCTTAGCCCTAAGAACAGTCACTAATGAGATTTTTGTTGCTGTTACAAAAAGGCTGACAAGAATATTACAATGCTCCTAGTCCTGGACAGGTTCAGATTACAAATTCTGACTGGACTCTAAAAATCCATTAGTTGCCTATGATATTATGTGAGCTTACTTATGTATATCCTATGAGATATAAGTACGTAAGTAGGATATATACATATATCCTATAGGATATTATTTATATCCTATTACTAAGTCTTGAAATGTCAAAAAATCCATCTCCTAAAATTGTAGTTTTAGTTGATTTCACCCTGCATAATCCATGTGTATTGATGGATTCTGTAATTATTTTCTACTTATTTATCACTTTCAATTTCTTGACCAAAAGCCCCCACACTTTAGATTACATCAATATTATTGTTTATGTGATAGGTACAGGTAGCCCAGTCTGGATGTCTTCCTAGCTCAACCTGATGCTGTGGCCCAGTAATCTTCTTATTGTAAAAATCATTGGTCAAATTTGTAATGCACCAAACATTGATAATATTTTGAAAAGTACATAATTCAATGATAATTTCATATAAATAGTTGTATTATATCTTCTTTGTTTTATTCATGAGTTTTAAATAGTTCTTGCAGTTATTATTTTTAAATAAATACATAACTTAATTTTCCACCAATTGACAATTGCAGATCTATAGTGAGCAAGTTAATCTTTGTCTAAATTGGCTTACTTATATTGCATCCTTTTGTAAAGGAATTTGTGTGTTCTCCTATTAGGGCACAACGGCTTAGTATGTGGCGCCTACCTGGCAAGAGCGGGCAAGAAAGTGTGCATTCTTGAGCGTCGCCACATCGTCGGAGGCGCCGCCGTTACGGAAGAAATTATCCCGGGATTCAAGTTCTCTCGTGCTTCATATGTGCTCGGCCTGCTCAGACCACACATCGTGAAGGACCTGGAGCTTGCGGTACTTGGACCTTGAACTTATCATGTGGTCTTGCGGTACATATAACCCTTGAGCTTGTGGTGCTTTGAAAGCAGTTATTTATTGGCTTTTATTTTAATTGCGCTCAGTTGTCTCATTTGATCATGATAACATGACAAATGAAATTCTTTCTTGTTGTGTTTACAAATCCTCTGATGTTCTTCAAGTGAATATGAAACATCGTTGTACAACACTGAAGTAACTATTTCATATTTCTTCATTACATTGCATTATTTAATTGGGAAATACATCCGCTAGAAATACGGCTTGGAGGTGCGATTGCGCGACCCTCATTCGTACACGCCGCTGCTGGAAAACTACTGGCAAGATGGGAAAGGGAAGTCGCTGATGCTGGGCTCAAGTATAGAACAGAACTCACAGCAGATTGCGCAGTTCTCGACAAAAGATGCAGCGGTCAGGAAATGAGGGCTTCTAAATTCTAAGCTAACCTTGTATCCTTCTATACAAAAAGATTATCTTTGCGCGATTAATCCTTCAACTTATTATTTAAGTTCGTTTTAAATGTCTTACTGATATAAGATCTAGTGTTTTTAGAAACGTATTTAATATTTGGTTGAATAATTTATGCTACGTTCTCTAACTCGAAGTTTAAGCCATACATATGAACGTCTTGCAAAAAGGAAGAAAATATTTCTTTTCAGAAATGTTACTGTATTCTGCATTAAATATTCATGAATGCCTCTGACAGAAATATCCTGAATACGAGGCAATGTTGGGAAAATTTGCGGATGCTATCGCTCCCCTGCTTGACACTCCGGCTCCGCATTTGGGCAGCCTGGCGGGCGCTTCTCTGATGGATAAACTCAGAGCTTTGCCCGCCCTTAAACCCATCTTGAAAACAGGTCTCACTCCGCCGGCTTTTTAATTTTTACTTTGAAAGTTGTGTTGAGCTCCTGTATGCATAAAGAGATTATAAAACTGCTCAATATAATTGATAATTTTACTGAGAATTCAGCATTAGCAATCCTTTACTTTAGACGTGGGGATATAAAGTAAAAATAACAGTAAAAAAGTATAATGCTAGATATCAGAACTTGAAACACACTGCATTAGTTTTATCATGATTGGAGTTGTGTGACAGGCTGGTTGACTGGCCTAAACTATTTATTTTTTCGAAAACTTATATTTACACCACTACCTTAACAAGTTTGTTTGATTGGTGTTGCGGCACAAAAAGCTGGCTGTGTATAAGTAACCCAACAACGCAAAGCTGATTCAGGTTACAAATAAACAAATACTGGCAGCAGGGGAAAAGGTTTAGTGGTGTATGTTCAACGAGGGTAAAATGCATACTGACACCCATGCTGCTAACGTACCGTATGTACGACTTTCTGCAGGTACATTAACGTTCGATTATGAATTGCTAAGATCAACACTAAATATTCTGGACCAGGATCTCCCTCTTGCCAGGAACTCTTTGTTTGAATTGCTGTAAAAAGTTTATTTGCGTTTGCATTACAGCAAAAAGTTGGCATTGCCGTAAAGAGTTTGTATTTGCATTGCCGTAAAAAGTTTGTTTGCGTTGCCATAAAGAGTTGGTATGCATTTCTTTAAAGAATTCGTTTGCTTTACCTTAAAGAGTTTGCATTTGTGCTGTCGTAGAGAGTTTGCGTTGGCGTAAAGAGTCTGTTTCATTTCTTTAAAGTATACGTTTGCTTTACCGTAAAGAGTTTGCATTTGTGCTGTCGTAGAGAGTTTGCGTTGGCGTTCCCTCAGGGGGGACTTCTGACACGTGTCTGTGCGCGTCAGAAGCCCTATGGGATTTCGCGCTCCTATGGGGCTTGTTCCTGAGCGCCCCACCGCTGAGCTCGCGGTGTCTGACTGCAGATCTCAGTTGTGGGTTTAAGTTATTATGTAGGTAGGATTCCTTACATTTCCCTTCTCTGTCTCTCTCGTGCGGGCAACCGATGTCCCGTGTAAGCGACCTCTTGTTCGAGTGTCTTCGTTTTTGTTACTTTTCAGCTGTCCCTCCTTGTCACTTCGTCTCTTTGAGATGCTAACGCTACTTCTTTCGAGCATGTTTCGGCGGGCTGGACATCTGAGACCCTTCCACCCCTTGTGCGTGATGACCTATTTTTGATTTGAGAAACTTTTCATAATTGAGACCTTCCGCCTCTTTGGTGATGTTCAACATTACTTTCGGTGCGAGATAGCTAAATAGCTGAAGCGCTAGTAAACATGTGGCCACTAAACTAACTAACTAACTTGCGTTAGCGTAAAAAGTTTGTTTGCACTTCTTTAAAGAATTCGTTTGCTGTACCGTAAAGAGTTTGCATTTGTGCTGTTGTTGAGAGTTTGCGTTGTCGTAAAAAGACTTTGCGCTGACGTAAAGAGTTTGTTTGCATTTCTTTAAAGAATTCGTTTGCTTTCCCTTAAAGAGTTTGCATTTGTGCTGTCGTTGCGAGTTTGCGTTGTCGTAAGGAGTTTGTGTTGTCGTAAAGAGTTTGTGTTGTCGTAAAGAGTTTGTTTACATTTCTTTAAAGAATTCGTTCTTTATATAATTCGTTTGCTTTCTCTTAAAGAGTTTGCATTTGTGCTGTCGTTGCGAGTTTGCGTTGTCGTAAAGAGTTTGTGTTGTCGTAAAGAGTTAAGTTCGACGTGTGTTTGTGTGACAGGAGGCTTGCTGGGGCCGGACCTCCCTCTCTTCCAGGAGCTGCTGACAGCCCCCACGTCGCGGGTCCTGGATCACTGGTTCGAGTCTGAGCCTCTGAAGGCGACGCTCGCCACGGACAGCGTCATAGGAGCGTTCATCAGCCCCAGCACCCCTGGTAGTGGGTGTGTTTATTTTGTCACTAAGAAATAAATCTAAGATGTATCTTTATTTTGGACACACTCATGAAGCGTCTGCATAAAAAGAGTAAGAGTGTTTCTTTCTTCTGCTGAAAATCTATTCAAACAATCCAAGTAATTTCAGTGACTTCATTCCATCTTTGTTTGTAATATCGGTGTTTGTAATCGCCTTATGTATGATGCATTAGCAAAAGAATTTCCATTTCATATTCTTGGCTTTAAAATTCATGGTTAATTTGCTGCTTGTCATACCAGTAATATATAAAATTATTGGTGCAATGCCTGTAATATATAACATCAGTAGCGCCCTACGTGTAATATGTATCACTAATGTCGCCCTACGTGTAACATGTAACACTAATGGTGGTGCACTGCAGGTACGTATTGCTGCACCACGCTATGGCCGAGACGGGGGGCGTGAAGGGGGCTTGGGGCAACCCTGTGGGGGGCATGGGCGCCGTCACCAGCGCCATGGCCCGCAGCGCCCAGGCCAGCGGCGCTCATATTTTTACAAATATGGTATGCTAATTTTCTTTCTTTTTTTTTCTTTTCCATTTGATCGAATTTTCACGGATACACTAAGCTAATTTTCTTTCTGTTTAATATTTTAGTTGTTATTATATTCTGATAATTTTCCTAGGTATATAACTTGAGAGCATCAACTTATGACTCTATATATCATGAAAATGTATTTTTTTTTTGCCCTTATTTAAGATTAACCTTTTTTTAACCTCTCATTTATGGATAAAAAGGCACTATTGTGCTCGTCATGTCCGTCCGTGACTTCATGTTTTCGTCGACGAGAAAATGCGCTCTATGTAACTCACTGCCGTGAGTACGGAGTTATATTTTTTTAGGTAAGCCTATTTTTGAATCATTTTCAATTATTGCAGACAGTGAAACGCGTGTTGCTGAACAATGCCGGAGCTGCTGAAGGTGTGGAGACTGAATGTGGGAAGCGCGTGCAAGCCACCTCCGTCCTCTGCAGCTGCACGCCGCACACTGCGCTCCTCAGCCTCCTCCCGCCAGGCGTCCTGCCTGAACCTTACGAGGACAACATCAGAGCCACCGACTACACCTCACCGGTCTGCAAAATCAACGGTGATGACATATAATGTTAACAATATGTATATAGGTATCTATTCAATATAAATTAAGCATCGTAATAATTTTTTATTAGTTAACCAAAGAATCGTCGTCTTCTTGTTTTAATATTCGATTTATTATCTGGTAAATTTGTTTATTTGTTTATTGCACTTGCTTATTTCAATGATCGGTTATTTTTTATGACCGGTTTTGATATTAAGTCTATCAAGTTTATTGATATTTCAACAAACAAAATTAAAAAAATTGACGTTCTGACCAATTCCTTCAGTTGCACTGAAGAGCCTGCCGAATTTCAAAGCAAATCCGAACTCGTCGGAGCGGCAAGCCGCACGTCACCTCGGCAGCACCATACACCTCAACTGCGAGCGCTCGGACATGATAGAGACAGCGTACCAGCGGTGCCTTCACAACCTCGTACCTGACCGGTGAGTTATGGTAGAGACAGCGTACCAGCGGTGCCTTCACAACCTCGTATTGCCTCCACAACCTCGTACCTGACCGGTGAGTTATGGTAGAGACAGCGTACCAGCGGTGCCTTCACAACCTCGTACCTGAACGGTGAGTTATGGTAGAGACAGCGTACCAGCGGTGCCTTCACAACCTCGTACCTGACCGGTGAGTTATGGTGACGTGCCTTTCAACGCCTCCACAAGACGGTGGTTCTTTAACAATGATTCAATCACAATTCTACATTGGTGTGTAGAACCATCCGATATCATAACTTGCTTGCATTTACAAGTTACTTGGTCTTTATAATGATTTTTAATATGATAGAAGTTGAACTTCATTGAATTAAGATAATCGTTTCACGTATTCTCATAAAATAATAAGCGTATTCATTAAATGCTGAAGTAGTCAAAACATGTTGCTATGTTGCTAACTTTTGTCGTTGTTAATCACCGTAAAAGGGCACAGAATCTACCTTAGAAATTCCTACTCATGACTCATGTATTGCAACCTAGCTATTTTCAAAGATAGTGAATCATAACATGGAAATATTTGAGGATCTCAGAGCATGAATGGTTGCAGACCTTTGCTGGAGATGACGATTCCCAGCAGTCTGGACCCAACCATCGCGCCGGCAGGGTGTCACGTGGCGCTCTTCTTCACGCAGTATCTGCCTTACGCGCCTCAAGATGGACCTTGGGACCAACAGTCCAAAGACCGTTACGCTAAACAGGTTAACCACTCTATAATCTCAAACAACATCTGAGTTTTTGTGCTGCTGTTCAATCTTTCAAACCATTTTTTTCTGCTTTGAACAACACATAATTTTTGGCTTTTGTATCAGTAGAATTAATCTTGCTTAGTGTTCATTCTCAAAACTATAGTAATAACAATGATCTAATTCATTTTACTGGCAAACATTGTATGGGAGTTTTTGATTGTATTTTGCAAGTGAGATCATAATGAAATAAGATGCAAAACTGCAACAAAGTAGCATCGTAGTAGGAAGTAGACACGTGGGCTCTGATTTTCGTAGAACGTAGCAACCTCATAAAACTCGGATAAATTTACCGTACACTCAGCGTCATTAAAGTAATCGATAATAACGTTCTCGCTTGCCCAGCAACTCACAAAGTTATCAATAATAACCAGTGGCAGGTGTTGAGAAACGTTCAAATCTATCGATAGTAACGTTTTCAGTTGCCCAGCAACACACGAGGTTATCAACAATAAGTAATAACAGGTGTTTAGAAACGATCATAATAATCGATAATAAAGTTCTCAGGTGTTCAGCAACACACAAAGTTATCAATAATAACAAATGGCAGGTGTTTATAAGCGTTCAAAATTATAGTTATCGATAATAACGTTCTCAGGTGCCCAGCAACACACATAGTTATCAATAATAATGAATGGCAGGTGTTTATAAGCGTTGAAATTTATCGATAATAACGTGCTCAGGTGTTCAGCAATGTGGACGAGTACGCCCCAGGCTTCAGCGACAGCGTCGTGGGCTACGAGGTTCTCACGCCGCCCGACCTCGAGAACATTTTCGCCCTCCGCGGTGGCGTGAGTTGCTTGAAGGAAAAATAAGCTTATTATCTTACGTTATTCCTGTCTCTAACATCGGATATATTGGCAACGTTTGCTGCATTACCAAAGATTTATCTTATTTTGAGCTACGGATCCGACAGATTCAGGCTCATCGAAGCATTATCAATATTAGTTGCTTCTATAGACTGACGAATTAGTTATTAGTATTGTGTACCATTTTCGCAGAGCTTTGTGCTCTCGACAAATATCCTCTAAGATAAATTTTTTTTTTAATTTAAAAGATGTTATTTTTCCCATTTTGAAAAAATTTTTTTTTGAGATATGTCTCATTTTTCCAGCAGCAATGATATTGTACCGTCTTCGTTGAAGCTTTGGTAATTCTGCAGAACATTTTCCGCGCATTGCTGTCTCTGGATCGGTTATTATGGTCTCAAAATAAGTATAAATCTTCCTTAAATTGTGCAGAACATTTTCCGCGCATCGCTGTCTCAGGATCGGTTATTATGGTCGCAAAATAAGTAATTCTTTTTTAAATTGTGCAGAACATTTTCCACAGATCGATTTATCAGGATTGGTTATTATGGTCTCAAAATAAGCAATTGTTCTTTAAATTGTGCAGAACATTTTCCACAGATCGATTTATCAGGATTGGTTATTATGGTCTCAAAACAAGTCATTCTTTTTTGAATTGTGCAGAACATTTTCCGTGCATCGCTGTCTCAGGATCGGTTATTATGGTCTCAAAATAAGTAATTGTTCTTTATATTGTGCAGAACATTTTCCACGGATCGGTTATTATGCTCTCAAAATAAGTAATTCTTCGTTAAATTGTGCAGAACATTTTCCACGGATCGATGTCTCTGGATCGATTGTTCTGGTCCCGCCCGAGCCCTCTAATGCCTGGACCCCGCACTCCCGTGCCTGGGTTGCTGTTGTGCGGGGCGGGGAGCCACCCTGGGGGCGGCGTTATGGGCTCACCAGGCTACATCGCAGCCCAGGTGCTGCTGGCCGACAGAAATAGGAAGTAACAAGACGGAAGATTGTGAACTGGGCGGTAAAAACAGGAAGCAGTGAGACTGTTGATTGTGAACTGGACGGTAAAAACAGGAAGCAGTGAGTCTGTTGATTGTGAACTGGACGGTAAAAACAGGAAGCAGTGAGTCTGTTGATTGTGAACTGGACGGTCAAAACAGGAAGCAGTGAGTCTGTTGATTGTGAACTGGACGGTAAAAACTAAAAACTGGGAGCAGTGAGGCTGTTGATTGTAAACTGGACGGTAAAAACTGGGAGCAGAGAGGCTGTTGATTGTGAACTGGACGGTAAAAACTGGGAGCAGTGAGGCTGTTGATTGTAAACTGGACGGTAAAAACTGGGAGCAGTGAGGCTGTTGATTGTGAACTGGACGGTGAAAACAGGAAGCAGTGAGGCTGTTGATTGTGAACTGGACGGTGAAAACAGGAAGCAGTGAGGCTGTTGATTGTGAACTGGACGGTGAAAATAGGAAGCAGTGAGGCTGTTGATTGTGAACTGGACGGTGAAAACTGGGAGCAGTGAGGCTGTTGATTGTAAACTGGACGGTAAAAACTGGGAGCAGAGAGGCTGTTGATTGTGAACTGGACGGTAAAAACTGGGAGCAGTGAGGCTGTTGATTGTGAACTGGACGGTAAAAACTGGGAGCAGTGAGGCTGTTGATTGTGAACTGGACGGTAAAAACTGGGAGCAGTGTGGCGGTTGATTGTGAACTGGCCGTAACATACGTAGCTAAACGGATAGTTGTGAATTAGCCGATAAAAACAGGAAGTATCTCATAGTAACTACTGCTGGAAGTATCTCATAGTAGGAAGTATCTCATAGTAACTTCCAGGAGCTGCCATATGAACTCAAGTGACTTATAAGGTGATTTCTTTTATCTATAAACTGTAATTCAAACACGTGTTATAACCTCATGTCATCTACATACTACTTTTGAACTTCGTGTCTGTGATACTTGGTGCCTCTCTATTTAACATAAAAGATTATACGTATCTATATTTGAAGTAAACAATTGTTATCATTCCGTAATTTATGAACTGAAGGTGTTCGGTGACACCTTTGCCGCAATGTGAGATCTTCTATGATATTATAGTAGGCAGTATGTCAATGCTCAACTTGTTCCAAAATAGATATTGTTTATTGTACTATAGTTATACTCTCGGCGCAGACCTCAGGTGAAGCGGGTACGGACTTGTGTGGGTGGTGTTCCGTGTGGAACTTGGTGCTCTCTTGCTCAAATATTTGCTCATTTTTTTATATTTTTGGTTCTGGGTGTTTTGCAATATAAGTTACTTTAATTTTATACTAACTATTGTTTCTTGCATGTTCTAGCTCTCTATTCTTGAAAATGTATAATCATATAATGCGTTCTTATCCTGGACTATTGTTTCCACTGTAACTGACATGCTTTGTACACATACTAACTAGATAATATAGCGAAATGCACGGAGATTTAGTTTAAGATTACATGTATGGCAATAAACATACAAGGTTTTAAATGAAACGCCTCTATTTAAGAATTTCTAATAAAGGTTTCTGAACGAACTATATTTTCAACACATGTCGAGGCACACAGAAGGCTGTTAGACTTAATAGATACATTTAACACCAATTACTGTCCAATTGCGTTAAGGTCTTTAATATCTGCAGGTTTAAATGCTTATTTCAATGACAAGAAATCCAATGCTCGATTCACAAACTTCGTTCCTCATTTATGGTAAATTAATCGAGAGAATTACATGTGAGTACTTGATTGTCGTTTTATACAACACAAATGTTTCTATTATTTAGCAGAACAAGGAGATTGATAAACTCGTTGATCATCGAAACAAAAAATTAATGGCGTTCTAAAACAACTGTTCTACCAACTTGGGAATAAAAAATACTTTGAGCTCTACGGAGTGCGTATACTCCGCTTGTGCGTAAGATGAAGGTCCGAAACATTTCCAGGGCCTAAACTTTAAAAAAAGTTGAGAGATCGTAAGTTTATCAGCCAGTCATTGACGGCCTTTCAAGCAAAATCCACCAATCAAAGATAAGATAATAGAGCGTAAATACTTACGTTCACTTAGCGATTTTTGAAAGTAGGTTTTGAAAGTTAGGTGAAATAGAACAGACGTTGCTTTATTGAAATCAGTTTTGCAATCGATCCAGCAATTCTGACAAATCAGTTAGCGGCTGTGTAGTTTTATTGAGAACAACTACCTGACCAGCCAACCCATCCTCGACATTACCGATCACGAAATCTCTTTCAAAGCTGTTGTCTGCCTGAGCTTGAGGATACTCAGTGAGTTGAGCATTGCTGGCGCTGAGGTCTTCAAGAGTGGATGACACCAGAGTCCTGCTTTTGCCTTGACGCCACAAAACCACGACATTCAAATCTTCGGACGCCACGCTGAGAAAAGCCGACAACGCAGCTTCGTGGTTCGTACCGCCATAGCCTTGACTGGATCGACCTGGAGTAGTAGATCGGCTTGCTCGGTCAGAAGGCAAAAGTCTCCACGGCGGAGAAGAACTTCGTTCTCTCCTCGACTTAGTGCTGATCTTTGCAACTTCTTCTACAATTGGAAATTCCTCAGCTCTGGAAGGCGCGCGGCTGGAAGATCTACTGCTGGAGTGATGTGCGCGTCGTACATGCCACAGGTTGTCGATACGAGAGTCGGGACGCGCAAACGCGGCAGCAGAAGAAACTCCCGAGCTGAACCTCCTGCTCTGGACCAGCGCTCCCGAGACCACACCCCAGTGCGCCTTGTGTCCGTTGAACTTACCGGGCTGGTGGTTGTGCTGTGCATCGTACCTGAGTTTAGCTTGTTAAGAAAAATGCGTTTACATAGGAAAAAAAAATAATAGATGTTGGGATTGTATTGATTCAAACGGGCTAGAAAATATTCATTAAAAGAAAAGAAATATTAGACAATGTAGTAACATGCGTAATCAATACGAGTCCTTTCTAAATAATTTCAGCGGGAGGAAAACATAGAACATTTGAGCAAGAATGGTAGACATCATGTAGCAAATAAGATGCAGTTCGCCACGTTAGAACTCGATAATTTTTAAAGGATACGGGACGAGAAGAAGAGCTCCAGCTAAAATGAGTTCCAAGAAAACGTGTTTGTCTTGCAGGATTCCTCGTCTGACGCAAGCCTCCATCGAGTAGCCAAGTTTCAGGTTGGCCAAGCTAGCCAGTGACTCAGCGCTGAACATTTCTCCGTGGGTAGAAAACCCTTTTGTTCTCGCTTCTTCCAGGAGTTCATTAGAAGACACCCCGCCAGCTTTCCCTGGAGGTGAGCCTGGAGTAGTTGGGGTAGCGGGAGGTACTGCGCTAGGGCATCGTGATGACGCTCCACTCGGACCACATATTTGACTGGCCATACTTAGCGCAACCAATCCACATCTGTGGAAAACAACGTGGATATATACTTGAAATTTCAAGTTTAAAGCGTTATGATAGTTTTCAATATTCAATATTAATTACGAATCACAAGATTGAAAAACGACATTAACGAAACTGATGGCACTACATTTTTTTCTAACGAGACAACCTCTTACTCACTGCGGGCCCCGCTGAATAATTGGTCGTATTTGGGTATACATGGCGACGGTGTCCACACCTTCCACCAGAAAGCCCCAACGTACGGCGCTCCTGAAGACGCCGCCCACTTCCTCTTCCGCAGACGGTAGCGGCATGTCGGATCTGTCCACGACCAGCTTACCGGACGCGGAGAAACTCATCAGAGGAGACGACGCTGAACTCTCTGGCTGAGAACTCTTAGCAAGATGTGCCGATGGGCTTGTTTTTGCCCTTTGACACGTTGGTTTTGAGGGGGGTGGTGGAGGAGGAGCCATCTTGCGATCACCAAGTTCCGTTTGGGAGCTTTCCGTTTCTAATTTTGTTTCTGCTAATTTTTCTAATGTACCCTTAGCATTTTTACTAGAATTGTGAAACAAAATTGAATTACTTGGATTTGGAGGCAAGGGAGGAGTCAAGGATTTCTTTTGTCTCGCTGGAGGTAACGGCGGACTGAGAAAGCTAGCGTTATTAGACGTGAAGGAAGGCGAAGTGTCTGAAGTAGTTGAGTTTGTGAGCATTGATCTAGGTTCAGCATTGGTTTCTCTAGGACGAGTGAGATTTTGTGGGGCGGCCATTAGTAATGTAGGAGGGAGAGGAGAAACATTCGGAGACCGTTCTTCAGGCAAAGGTGTTAGTTTGGATGAGACACAGATGACAGACCCAACATCGGATGGCGAAGACATGGTTCTTTCTTCTTCGTTGGTTTCTTCGTTCAACATTGAAAGCATAAACGAGTTAAATTCGGTGAGTCGGTTGTGCTCTAAAGCTGAAAAGTTCGTATTTTTTACCGGAGGAGACGGAGGTGGGGATCGTCGGAGTGAAGTTGATCTTTGTGGTGCCGGTGGAGGACTTAACACCCTCTGAGGACTACGCAGTTCTGGCGCGATAGGTATTAGCAAATACATGCGTTGAGGGGGTATGGGCCCGATAGCGTGGGGCGGGACAGGGGGAGCACACTCGTTGTAATAAGTAGCGGGTGGAGGAGGTAAAGGAGGTAGACATGCATCGTCAGAAGGAGGAGGGGGTAAAGGAATCGGGTTGAAATCATCATCATCAACTGGTGGAGGAGGGACTGGAGGAGTCTTAGATTGGGTTTTCATAGAGCGTGGTGGGGGAGGTGGGGGAACATTGCCGTAAGAGACAGCAGAGGTCTTACTCTCGTAGAAAGGAGCAGACGCAGACCCATCTTGCGGGCTGTCAGAACGAACAAAATAAGACGTTATTGAAGAAGAATCAGAATTGCATGCATCGTGATAGTTTAAAGTTCCTACAAAGTTAGCTGATGTAGGAAGAATTATAGTGTCAGAAACAGGAGTAATGTCGGGCGGAGTGTCAGCGACTTCGTGGATAGTGGGCAGTGGGCCAAATACAGGGAAGGATCGTCCTCCGTTGAAGGTATTATAGCTTAGTGTTTCACTGAAAATTTCTTCTATGATAATGCCATTTTCCGTTTCTGTTACGTTGCTGTTGGTTGGGGAATACCCGTTAGGCTCGATTTCGTTCGATATCCCTTCTGATGGTCGACTACTTCGAAGCCAGTTTGTAAGATGAGCATTATTATTATTCGATTGTACGTCGTATCTGGAATCACTCGTGAGGTTTCTCCTCGTGCATGGAATACTAGTTTCAGCAAGGAAAGCAGGCGAATTTGACATACTGGAATTCCCAGATGAACTGATTTCTTTCATTGACGATGAAGAAGGGTTCCTCACGATAGCGGCCTCTCTCAAATTCTCCGGTAACTCAGTTATTTTATCCTTTTCTTCTTCTAACTGGCAAAGTTCAGCTATCACTGAGGTAGTGTGGACATCTGGACTGCTGTCTCTGTGTGAATAATCGGCACTTTCAGTGTCTGCTCTAGATCCTAGTCTAATTTCACATTCACTTTCAGGATAGATACTTTCGTTTTCAGCAGCTTCGACTTCGTCTGCTAAATCGATATTAGAGTTGCATTCTGAATATCTTTCCAGATTTCCTTTATTACCAGAATTATTATCCAAAACCGCGTCGTCTCTGGATGGCATTAAAAAGCTCTCTTTTTCAAAACCTTCATCAGATTCCTTGGTAGTGCGATGCTCGACAGAGGCTGATTTCTTCTCTCGTGAAGGCACAGGAGTCACCGAGCAGGACAACGTGCATGTGGGCGACGTCGATGGAGATGCGAATGCGCTGTCAATAGTTTGGTCCGTTTCGTCTTGAGAGTGAACGGACTGGCTGGCTCGAACTCTATTACTTTGGGATACAGCTGGGTTCTCATTTGAGTCAGTATCTGTACCAATTGAATCGATACCAGTGTTCATTGTAATTGTGTCACTTGGTAGTGAGGACAGAGACTGATCAGGTGAAGACTGTGGAGAAGAACGTCTCGCACGGTCTGAAGACCCGGTGTTACCCTCGGTCGATTTTTTGTGAGATTCTGATACGGAGCGAGTAGGGATTGATTGATCTTCAGAGGTCTTTGAATAACTATGAGATGCTCTCTCTGAATGCAATGGGGATACGCAGATGGTATCTGGTGTACGACTGTCTTTGGCTTCAACGTCATCCGGCGAACTTCGCGCCGAGTTTTCGGGCTCTGTTTTTTCCACCTCGTGAAAAGTTGGCGTTGTTATAAAATATTGATCTGGAACATTGGAGAGGTTATCGGAATTGAGAGAGAATGACGGAGATGTACAGGTGTAAGTAACGCTTGGGTCAGAGGTAAATTGTTGAATGTTAGGAGAACATGAGGTGAGCGTGTCGGTGTTCATTGGGGACACTCTTTCAGCATGAGGAGGTAAGGGTGAAATATCCGAGTCCTGCGTGAGAAGTAACGAGGCTGAAAGAGTTGATGAAAGATCCGAGTCAGGCCTCAGTAACAGAAGGGTGTTCGTGTGTGATTGGCAGTGTTCATTCGACACCGGGTTTTCGTTAGACTCGAGCCGATGCGACACGTGGTTGTCTTTGGTCAATTCAGAGGGTGGTGGCGAAATAAACGGAGGAGGGTCATACTCCGAATTAAATTCGGGCGATGGTGGATCGTATGAATAAATGAACATTGGAGGTACTGACCTACTTGAATTTCCCGAGGGGTTCGTTGGAGATGGAAACGAAAGAGAATCTGAACAGTCGATGGGAGGAGGAGGCGTGAACGACGGAGTAGACAATTCGTTGCTCGGCGAGCGCAGATCGTCGTCGTGCGACTGCTCAGCTTGGAATGATTCGTTGTCATTGGAAGGGATTATCATGTTCACATTTGGTCCCGCTTCTTCAGTCATATTAGTGCGAACGTTTAGATATCGATTGAAAACAAAATCCAAATAATCATAATATGATCTCTGAGCCGCAATGGCCCGTGAGTATAAGTGCTGAGATACACTGAGGAAAGATTCAGCTCTTCGAGGAGGAGGAGTTGGAGGGCTGAGTTTTCCGGAGAGACTTGAGCTTATGCTTGGGCAAGATGAGTAAATGCTTGAATGATCGTAATTACTATCAGAATCGTGAGGGTAGGAGTGCCAAGATGATCTGTTGTCGAGGATACTTTTCCGTTTGACATTGAAATCGTGTGCTTGTTCGGCAAGATCTGGCGCGGTGGGGAAATAGGGTGCGTTAGTAAAATCAGGAAAAGTGGAGCATTCAGAGAAATAATATGGACGATCTGAGGGTGTGATGTTTGAATGTTTGGTGTTATTGATATTAAATGAAGTTGAACGGAGAGAAGCACGGGAGAAGGACCAGCCTTTGGCCTCGCTGGTCATGCTACCATCTGCAAAACGGAGACGTTGGGGATTGACTTGGATGAAGAAAATGGTATCATGAATAAAAATGCATGAACGATCAAAAATGTTATCGTCCACAAGGGTTCATACCTGCAGTACAAATTTTATTTACCCGAGGATACTCTCAGCTCTCATTTCTCTCTCGATTATTTCAGTCTCCTGCAATTTTCTCTCACAGAAAATTTGTTCACTACAGTTCATAGAGAAATGTTCCTGGCAAACACGGTATACATATTGTTTACTGATTGCGTTTATCAGAAACTTGCATTCATGCAAGCAATCGAAAGTCTTTATTTTACGCAGTGCAATCCAGTATTAAAATGTATTTTTCTCTGTATTTCGAACCCTCTCCTCATGACAAAATGAGCGTCGAGGCCATAGATGATTATATTTTTCTGTAATACGTTTGTTGCACACATTTTCGCGGCAAAAAACTTAGCGCAGCTCCACGTGACTTGCTGAAACTTTAGGAATCTACGATTATGATAATATAATTTTCAATGTTATACATGAATCATAAATAAAAGGGATAGTCCACCCGTAAAGGTAATAATATTGAACAAAACTGCCGCGTCGGCAGACTGCAGACATCGTGGTCACTGGTCACTATCTCAAAGTCAAACATACGTCTCGTCATCGCGGACAAAGAACGCAAATTTCAGCTGATCCGCAATATAAGTAACAAAAATTATTGTTCATGAATGTTGACAAGACAATTAAATCTCATAGTATATAAGTGGTGACTCATTTTTTAAACATATTTCTCGGACCGTGTGATTAGATATAGGCAAGCAGATAAAATAACAAAGTGTAAACAATTTGGTATTCATGATATCAAATAAATACTTTCTCATTAGTATAAACAAAGATCATTTAGAGGATCCTTATTTTTCTTCATTAACAATTAACCCCATAATTCATGTTCCAGAACAGCCAATATTACGCAAACTGCTTTGCACCATCATTGAGTGTATATATTGCAAATATAAAATAATGATTGATGCGCTAGTTTCCACTGGTATTACTGATAACCATTCTACTGTTAGAATTATGACACTTTCCAATAATTGGGGAAAATAAGTAATACAAATCATTTCGACAAAGCCGATAATTTGAACACAAATTTTCGAACAAAGTACGAAAGCGAAATATTTGACTTGATACCAAGCGAGTGACAGTCGCCGGCAGCGTAGCACGGCTCTGCCAACGCGGTGACTCAACGTGGTCATTTCTGTGTTACCTCTTTCAGGGTCACATTCTGCCATGAATATAGATGACAAAACAATGAATAAGTCTTTATAAATTAATAGACTATGAACGATTCATTGCCACTAGTTATGAAGCACTGCACTCAGAAAGATAAATTTGTGAAATTTCTGAAGGTTTATTTACTTCAGGACTTCAGTAGGATTTGGCAAAAGATATGAATCCTGATCTCTTACTACATCCAAAACTGAATATTGAAATGAATTCAGTTTTACGAGTGCCGGGGCAGGAACTATGAATAATAATCATCACAAAGATTCAATCAATTTATACATCCTTATTTACAACATCGCACACTATCCACCTACGGTACTTCACTTCTGAACGGAAATCAAGAAGCTCAAGGACTATAAATAATTTTTTACGCAAATTCTAAACAAATGTAGAACGGAATACCCCGATTTGAGTTTAATATATTTCTCGTAGAAAAGACGAATAAAGCAATTAAATGTGACAGATGAACAAGAACTTGGCAAGATCACTCACAAGTTACCGGAAATGCTTTGCGGTTCATCACGCTCTGCCCTGTACGATAGACGGGGAAAAGAGTCCCCGGCAACCTCCTAAGAAAGCGTACATAAATAGCCGGGACGTCATTCTGTAAACTCTATGTTCCGTAAACATGGCCAGATAAACAGCCTCGTTAATACCGTCTTAAGCCTTGATCAGCCTCTACTTCGCTCTATACAGGCATGCCATCCACCTGAGAGATAGCACGCTGTGTGAATCGCGTTGTGCTGTATATCATAACTGTCGCATTATTAGCATGAAAGGCAATTCATCTCAGGTGTAATTTTGATGTTAGCAATTACAAAGACAAATAAAAATAAAAATTACAGAGGCAAATGCAAGAGTTCAACTCACTCCATCTTTCTTGGTCGATTGGTATCATATGATGGCAAATGATAGCTCGGATCAGATGAAGCCTTCTACCGTAAGAGGAATGACAATTATCTGTGATGACGTTACTATGATTTCTCTGAGATGTGCAGAATAAAATCAGGCCTGCGTTTTTTTCCGGAGTTTTTTCTCCTAATTTCTCCTCTGCATTGTTGAAAGCAACTCGCCACCTTTTCTTCATACAGATACCTGATTATATCTTCTCGATTTCATTTTTATTTCAATCATAAAGCACATTTATAGGTCCTAGTTCTGGTTTTCCATTTTGTCATGGACTATTTCATATTTAATCCTGATCGGATTCTTCGAAAGTTGAACTCAAATTTAAACTATTCTCTTCTCACATTAATTGCGGAATTAAAAAAGAGCTAATATTGCGAAGCCATCTATGTTTGCCTAATCCCCAATCCCATTATCACAGTTCATGTTCACCCTTCATTCTAAATGGAACCTACACGTCATCTTGAGCACATTTGTTGTGGCTTATTTGCAGTGGCATAGCTTCAGCTGGTGGTTTTACGGTGTTGCTGCAGCCGCCCGTCTAGCAGCGGCAGCAACACTGAACTATTTCTGTGTCTGGCACCAGCCTCACCGCGGCAGCTTCTAACCAAGCAGACGTGCTGGTCGTTTTAAACGCTCCTAGGGGCAGCGAACAACTCCAAATTTTGCTTCTAAAGATGTAAATACGGAAAATTGTTGAGACGAGTATATACAGTTGATCATTATTGAGAATTAAAGTTATTTAACGTAGTTCTATAGTATAATATAATTAAAGTTACATTAAGATAATTTAATTTAGTTGCACAGTCGATATAGAGGTTTGAATTGTACTTTTCTATTTGTAGTGAATGAAAATCTTTGAACATCGTATCTTTCAGGTATGTCTTCCAACCAATCGCAGTTTATCGTCGGTATTTGGAAGCAAAATATGAATTTAAAATTCATTCTTAAAATTCAAACATACAAGAGACTTCTGAAACGACTATTCGAAGTTTCATGTGTTTGAAGTCTTGTTTTCGACTGTTGCAGTTGTTTGTGTGGCAGCAGTTGTTTTGAAAATAAGCTAGCATGTTTGGAGTGTCCATAATAATTGTTGCAATTAGAGCCATGTTTAGGTCTCACTAATCGCTTCATCACTTACTTAGAGCAACACAGACGCCTGCCAGTACCTGACGGGATCGCAACTGAAAATTTCATCTCAAGACTAGACATTCTTCTATCTAAAATGTGTTTTAAATATTATCCAATTCTTTGACGCGCCTTAGTACTACGCATACGGGACGCGATGGCCCTTTAATTCATTTTGAACATGGAAAAAAGTCAGCATTATAATATTTACTCTGGAAGTACATTTCTTAGGTACCCGATTCTACTCTCTTGCTGGATATACATATAAGTACATAAAAAAATATTAAAATAAAGATAGATTTACAAAAAGAATGAATTTTTAAGCGCCTATAGTGACGCACGTCCAGTTGATAATGTACTTTTTGAGGATTTTACCAATTCAAGCTTAGAATTGTCCACATATACGATGATTGGCGAGTCGTGCGCGGTTTAGCATCTACAGACCCTAGACATTAACATTGTGCCTTTATTAATTCAAAGCTACGGTCGCTGCAAGATATTGGGCACAATTACTGCGATAGAAAACTACACCTCACCTGTGAAACATCTATGATTTGTTTGAGTTACATCCCTGCGTACAGAACTCTTCGTATCTAAATCGCCGGCATGCAGCAAAGGCTTGAAATTAAAACTGGATTTTGTCCTAGTGCAAACTCACTCCAAGGCAAGAAAGCTTGTGCCTGCTTACAACGACCACATCAAACTAAAACTGCTTGTGAGCTCCAACACGCCGAATTAATTAGAATTTACACACTGTGGCAATTTTATACAATGATACGCGATGATCCATGCACACAAATGTTCGTTTGTGGCTAATTAGGGAATGAGACGGTAGTACACCTAGTCTTATGTATTGTCGTTATGAAGTAGTTTATGCGTTTGTGTGGATTAAAACTTTTTTTTGTTTAGAAATCATATTAATAGCGAAATATTCTAGAAATATACTGTAAAATGGGGTTACTTTGACCGGCGGGGTAACTTTGACCACTTTTCGCTTTTTTACAATGACCCCCAAAACTCAAAAACGATTCGACATAGAAAAATTTTGTCAATGGCCATCAAAAGCCTAATACTGAGGCCACATAACACAATAGAAAGATTTAAAAAGTTTGCATATCTAATAGGTTAAAAAATTTAAAATGTGACCCACAAAAAAAAGCCATTATTTAAAGCCTGTCAGAGTACCCCCTCCAATTTTTTTATTTTTTGGTAAAATAACTCCAGGTTTTGATGCATTGTAGAAGAACTCTTCTAGTTACATATGCAAAAGACAAATTTTAGGAAAGTGTCATAGTTTGCAAATGGGGGGTGCTGCCCCCCAATGGGGTAACTTTGACCACCTAATGGCAGCCGTGACGGGGTAACATTGACCGGCTTGGAAATTAAGTAAAAATTACAATAGGCACCTATATAACATATTTTATGTTTGATACACCTATTAATGTTTTTTCTTTATGTTTCAGGCTCTACAGAGTCTTATATATGGTAATTTTAACTTAATTTCCAAACCGGTCAATGTTACCCCGTCACGGCTGCCATTAGATGGTCACATTTTGCCCCTTTGGGGCTGGTGCCCCCATTTGCAAACTATGACACTTTCCTAAAATTTGTCTTTTGCATATGTAACTAGAAGAGTTCTACTACAATGCACCAAAACCTGGAGTTATTTGGAGTTATTTTGCCAAAAAAATAAAATTATTTTACCACCCAGTCAAAGAAACCCCAAGAGCTGGGGTAACAAAGACCATCACTTTTTTTGAAATTACATCAAAACTATGAGAGGCAGGAGCCAGCAATTTATGGTGAGTAAAGCTAGAGTACAGACCTATATTTTGCATGTTTCAATTTAAGTTTAACTTATCTAGTAGAAAAATGGCATCATTTAAAAAAAAAAGTGGTCAAAGTTACCCCATTTTACGGTATGGGATATATCGCACGCTAAGCAGGAATTTAAACAGCGAACACATCTGTTACGTATTAGACAGCTAAACAATAATTAAAGGCTTCTGCTACGTAATTATCGGCTATATAAATATAAACGCTTGAGATGTAGGGCCGGTAACAGTTATGAATCGCTTAGCATAACGGCTACGATAATTATAAACCATCAACACAACAGTGATGCGAAGAAAAACTGAAAGTATGCAGTACTATTACCGAACAACTTTTAGCGAAACTTGAAATAATTTGGGGAAACCCGTTCACACATCCAGTGCAGGCAACATCTGCTGCAAGCGCATGTTTATTTCACGGATAAACCGCTAAGATCTGCAGGCAGAAAATGAAAAATCTAATCATTGCATGAATCGAATTGGAATGACGTGAAACTGGTGTGAATTCTCAGTCGTGTATATACCGCGTCGAGTTAAATGAAGTAGGATATTCGATATATTATCCAATGAATTCACACGACCAAGTTAGTGTGAGTGCCTTTATAGACACTCCTTTCGTCAGACGCGTCAGACGTATTTGTGGCCAATGCCATTATGTGGCTACTGCCAGTGTGGCTAATGCATATGTGGCTAATGCCAGCCTCATAACTCAGGAGAATAGCTATGGCTAAAAATATTCATTAATTGTTCGGTGTGAACTCATGCTCACCAGTCAGACAAATGAGTGAGGCTTTATTCTAATGGCGAAGGACTTTTTCTTGTGTGGGTCATCCTGGACCACGCAGACCGACCTCGCACTATATAAGGGCGTTTCAGTGTTACATGCACAAATTGTGTCAGTATTTGGACATTAATTGTGATCCATGATGCATTAATTTTGTAAGTAAACCGTCCCAATATACCCCAGAGGAAGGGTTCGACTGAACTGGGAACACCGAGATCTGGGATATTTGATTCAGTTTATAAGTTAGCTTCATCTCTTCATGTGAAGGTTAATGTATACAGGGATCTTCCATTCATTGCAATGTAATACAATGTAATTTCTTCTATAAAATGATTCACATAATGCAATAAAAAAGTAATGTAATATATACTTTTGCTAAGGTGAGTGATTTGCTGTGACATGTCCACAGAGGAGATCAGTAAGACGTCCTATCGCTTCAACTAAGTCATCCTATTACATTTCATTTACATTCATCGAATGACTTTGTCGAGTCACATATGACCAAAATGGGAATATTTTATATCCTAAACTGAGTAGTAGAGCAAAAGGGTCCCCAGGGCTCACTGAAAGCTACTCGCACTTTGGATATGACCTAAACCCTTAAGATTGTCCAAAAAAAGCATGAGTGATTCAACCTGAATCACTTATATCTCTGAGTGTACGCTCATCCGAGTTCGTAAACAGGGGAATGGTGGAGATACAAATTTTTCAGAATAAGTGAAGAAATTTTGTACGCCAAGCAACCAAAGCAATTTTGGTGTAAGGTGTAACAGCTCCTCGATCAGGCATACACAGTATTCAATCAAGAACCACGAATCGTTCGGTGATCTGTCGAACAAAAGTATTGTGTATTGATATTATTATTGAAATTGGATGTTATTAGGATGATAGAATGATGCTTCAGAGGCATCATTCTATATTATCCTATCCTGCTAACTTGCAATTAACTTGGTTATAATTGTTGTCATCTGAATGTTTTTAGTGAACAATTTGCAAACATACAGAAACTGATGAGACAAAACCCTAAATAATTTAATTATCATTAATTTACTCTGGCCCGTAGATTAACTTTATTGAATCTACAACAAAAGATAACAATGAAATGCTCACCTGGACTGGAAATTCTCCACTTGACCGACCTTTTCTCTGTTTTTGCACTTAGTGCCCATCGTCAATAGACGATGTATAAGGAAACAGGAACTCTTTTCTTATGAATTTTGTATTATAGTTCGCTTCAGCAATTGCATACAAGTAAGTACGTTTGCTATCTGGAAAAGAAACCAGTCAAGAAATGTGACCGAGTTCTTATTATAACTTTACCACTTCAAATGAGAAGACAATTACGCCATGAATTATTGGTAGGCGATCAAGCCAAAAATTTACTAGAGTTGATTATTTTCATAGAATTAGTTTTAGCTTACACTTAAAGATCAGGTGATAAACACCTCAATGAACTTAATACCTGAACCCAATAAGAAAATATCAAACTTAACGACAATCCAAAGGCAAATTTTTTACTACATTTACTGTTCGTTGTCAGCAAACATTGTTGACCATAAAAAATATGTGGTTAAAGTTCAGGCCATGGGCCTATTTCTTCAATGCCGAGACTTCTATTCTATAACATGCAAGTAAAATAATTTCATAGTTAATTTAACGTAGATTAAGCGAGTTTATTTCTATCATGCACTCAGCGCAATCGATTCCAACGTGTAGCAAGTGTTGCCGTATCATGAACTGTCTCACAGCTCTACTGCACACTTGTTTCTTGGCTGCAGAGTACACCGGTTCAAATAATGATCTGATACAAATTCTCTACACGATCCAGCCACTCACAACCACCCTCGACAAAGGCGGGACACTCACTGACGCCACCGACACGCCCTAGACGGCCGGACCCTCAGAGTAACATCAGTCTGATGGCTGCCGAGTGCCAACTCCAATAATTCTCACTGCGTAACTTTAAAAAATTCATAGGAACCCACGAGTGCAGAGTCGGATAGACGAGAAAAGTTTTTTCAGTCCCAATGTCAGCTGAGCTGAGAAGTTGTTGGAAAAGGCACTTTCCATATGCTTTATCAAACTGAAATATCTGAGTGTTTTGTAGTGTCTGTAGTGATTCAGGAGTATTACTAGAAAGTAGAAGAAAATCAGTATTTGTATATATTTTAATGCCTTAATTATGTATGTCAATTGGAAACCCTGGCTGACAGCCTACGTCAATTGGATTAAGATAGAAGTAAATTTAATCAGCATTGTAAGCCAGTTAACCATGGCCAGTCTTAATACATACAATCTCTGAACATTTTGTAATAGTTTTGGTAATAACAAAATATAATTATTCTGTAATTCGCATAATTCGAGACAAACGAAAAAATTCACTCCGAGCTGTCTGGCAACATCGCCAGAGCTTGGGAAAGAGAAGATGGTCTATTTGAATTGAGACGCGTTTCAAAACGGTTGTCAGGAGCTTCTTTTAATAGCGGTTTCAGCGTTTATTAGGCCGTATAGGCCTGTCGATGATTCTTAACATCGCAGAACATTCGCAGCATTTTACGGTCTCGAACGAACTCCCTGGCCTCATCGCCGAATCTGACAGACCAGAAACTGGCGCACAGAGCTGGGATCGAACTACTCTCCCTGCTCCAATCCTGGTACTCTGAACTGTAACCACTGGGCAACCCTGCCCAGTGTTTGTGTTTACTAATATTGAAGCAGCTTACTAATTGCGTAAGCATGTATTGTACTAGTATATTCATTTTTTGGTGTACTTAACAGCAAACGAACAATTGTACATAATTGTTATTGTATGCTGATTAGAAAGTGTTTGCCGAGCAACCTTAGCTAGTGCTAGTTATTTACCGAGGCCTTCTTTATGCCGACCCTGCTTAGTGAGACCAAATGAAGGAAGAATTAATCGAAGTGACTCAAAATTTATACATACATCACTGTCATTACTATGAATGTAGTAATTTATTTTATTAAACCACAAAATCGTTGATCATAAAGTACAACAAAAATAAATGAATTTACTATCACAATACATGCTTACACAAATAGTATACACAAAAGAAGCACCTGACAACAGTTTTCGAACGCGTCTCAATTCAAGACCGTCACCATCTTCTCTTTTCAAAGCTCTGGCGATGTTGCCCAACTGTTCGGAGTGAATCTTTTCGTTTGTCTCGAAGTATGTGAATTACTGAATAATTATATTTTGTTATTACCAGAGCTTAAAACTATTTCAAAATTGTCGGAGATTATAGATATTAAGACTTGCCATGATTAACTGACTTACGATGCTGATTACATTTACTTTCATTTTAGTCCATTTGACGTAGGTCGTCACTCGTCAGCAGGGTTCACAAGTGACGTAAATAATTAAGGCATTAAAATATATATAAAAATACCCTTTTTCTTCTAGTAATACCCTTGAATCACTAGAGGTCAAATAAGAAAGATGAAACTGTAGGTTGTTGGGAGGAAAGCCGGAGTATAGTCAGTTGAAGCAGACATGTAGCGCGGATTACAGGAGATTCTCTAGCATCCATGATAAGCCACCTTGTACTTGTCCAGTTTACCGAACAATTTATTCTTGAAGTTGTAATCATAAATAAACTTCCACCATACCAATTTGGGCCCAATTGTATTGAACTGCTTTGTGAATAAAGTTTTTGAGCCAAAAACGCCTGCTAGTGCCCTTTATAAATCCAGGGTATCGAATAAATAGCTAAACAATCAGTTTACGAACAATCACTATCGTCCTTATGTGGTGTCTCAGCTGATGCGGCAGCTGACAGGCCCGACATGAAGAAGATTTGAATTAAGATGATCCGTTGCTCGCGTACTTTTTATTATAAACTTTTTCAGTGCCAAGATGGCAAGAGAGATACGAATTTACCAGTTTGATAAGTCGAGAATATTGAAAATAAAGCAGAAGAGATAGCACGTTTAATTTTTTACTAAATTCAAAGTTTAGCCATTGTTTTCATTATCAAAATCAGGTATGTTTCATAAGCTGTCTTTTTAGAATTAAGACGATTAAAATATTCTATTTAAATAATTGTTTCAGCATTAAAAAGTATTTTAGCATTAAACAATTATTTTAGCATTATATTATTTAAACAATTATTTCAATAGTAAACGATTAAAGCTACATTTTCATATCATAATCCACAAAAAATTTTAAAGTGTAAGTTCCATTCCTTAACACTGTTGTATTAACTGAAACAATTTGGACATATGCGTGCATCTTTATTGCTGGGAGAATGATGCCACAGAACCAATTGAGATGTCACAACTCACGCACTGACGTCACAACTCGGCCACTGACGTCACAGTTCCATTACGTCACAGAGCACTCAACCACTCACCTCGAGTAGGGCCTGGCTGCAGCTGCATGCCCGAGATAATCCGGTTATAAGTTCACGCTGATGGCTGATACTTTGATATTTAGTACTGAAAACTGATAAGCTGACCTGATGACGTCATAATTGATTAATATAGGTGATGTCGTCATAATTGATAACAGTTTAATGCCAGCATTGGATTGGTTAATGTGTATGATTCGTCATCTGACTGCTGTTACAAGAGCAAGTGTTGTAAGGACTAAAGACCTAATATTTTTCCCTCCAAACTGTAGTCAAACACGTACGATTTCACGAAACATGAACGAAGATTTAACGAATGAAGAAACATTTTAAAACATTAAAAAACATTTTCTTTTCACTTCTACGAATGTGATTTTATCTTGTCTGACCTGTCATAGTGTCCTTTGGTCTAAAACAAGTCTTTTCAACGCAGACGACTTGAAGCGTCTCAAAAAGTCAACTCTTCTATTACTAAATCAACAATTCTACGGACGAAATAAAAATGATGGGCAGGCTCATAAATTAGATTCCTACTTTAATACAATAGAATGAATAAATGATAGTATTTAATACACTAAGCTTAGCGCACTATAAAATAATATCAATCAGTACTAACTGCAGTGAGCGATAGAGAGCGCATTTTCTCGTCTACGTAAATGTGAAGTCACGTACGGACAGACAGACAGACGGACGGACATGAAGAGCACAATAGCGCCATTTTTCCATAAATGAGAAAATTCGCTAATAATAATATTTCAACAATCACAATTTTGCTAATTTAGTGTTTTTATCATTTGAAACTCATTTCAAACGGATATAAATGAGTTGCATAGAGAATTTCTCAGAACGCGAGAAGGGGATTTCACATTTCTGCTGGACTGTGTCCTTACACCGTCATGAATGCAGAAGTGCCAGCAGTCACCAGATCCGGAAGCGAAAATACTCCCAATAGACTCCGTATACATGTAAGAAGAAGCGTAAACTTTGTGTAAAAGTTTTCAATAACCCATTTTTTGGTATTCAACGTGAACATAAAATACGATTATGTTTAATAAACGAGAGTATGTGTTTCGAAGTTACGCGTTTCATACGAGTTCTGTCGGTGAATCATGGGTCGGAGTCGTCCCTCAACGAGCGTCGAGCGGTACGTTCAGTCCGTGTCTAAACGTCGGCCAGTCGAGGACAAGTTAGTTATCACATCTGATGTTAGTAAAAACCTGTTGCGCAGTGTGCAAAATATCAAGTCTTGAGTCTCTGCGACGGTGCGACCCAAAAACAGCGGTAAGTTTACTTCAATAACGCTTCTTAAAAGGGAACTTTATAATTATTTTAATAATGTTTAATCATAACTTTTAGAACAAAGAGGAGGTTTTGTCGGCTCTTTCAGTATCGCACTGAACGGAAACTCGGCGAGCACAAGTGTGCTAGCCGCATCTGTGCTCAACTAATTCTGAAGCATCGCGCAACCGTGGGCAATGAGCAATGGTTGATTTCTAACTCGGTGAACTATTTATATTTACTTATGTATTCATTTTTATTAACATTTGTTATCAATCAAGTTACTGAGTTTGAGTTCCTGTGAAGTTTGAGTGATTGAGTCGAACAATCTTCGGCAAAACCTAAGAAGTATAATTTAACAGGCTGCAGGATTTAGGTACTTCGCTCGTTGCTAAGTCCGAAAAGGCACTCATATAAAATTGTAAAAAATAAATATAAGCTGATGACATTGATCATGAGATACAAACGAATCTGCTTGTAAAACGTGGTTAGCCTATGACTTATAGAAACGATGACGAAATTTTGTACTGAGAAATCCGTCGGTTTTAGTTTTACACTCACTACCACACTACCGAACCTGTTGTGGTGCATGGATGTTTGTTTCTATTGTCGGTGTAGCCTATAGAAAAATGATCTTTGTAATGAAACTTTTATTCTATCAATGCAATGCTTATGAAACTTTCATTGAATTTAACGTCATTCAGAAAATAAAACGAAATGCAAAAATGACGGTATAATATTTTGTTTGCTATTTCGGATCACTGTACAACAATGGTAGCTGTCTATTAAGTTCATGACGAATTTATTTCAGGCTCGTGTATTCAAGAACAAAAAATTAGTAATTCATCTTGATGATTTTTTAAAAGATTTACGAGCAGAACGTAGAACCTTTACTCGACCGGAGCAAAGGTTCAGGCGTTGCAAACGGAGTTCCCAAACTTCGTCGCCTTGGTAGGCCTAGTTGGTACCGTACCCAATTTAGCATATCATAATAAGTGTGTATTGTGTCTATCTTAGCGTCATTTATACCTGTGTTTAATTTGAAACGCTCGGGCTTTATTTATCTTGCCAAAAGTTGATAAATCAGACCAATAGCTCAATTTACCACCTGATCACCCCATTGCTCAATTTACCACCTAAATAACCTAATCACTCCATTGCTCAATTTACTACCTATCCCACATGGATTAATTTACCATCCAATCACCACATTGATAAATTTACTACCTATTCATCCCAGGGATCAATTAACTGCTAAATCATGCCGAGTGATAATTTAAATAGAGTTTAAATTTTCCAATCAATTAGTGAACTGCTATGTTACACGGTTTGAACTAAATTTTCGTGTTTCCTTACTATTGCTCGAACTGTGAAGTGGCAGGACTGGCAGGAAAAATAATAATTTGCTTTTATTACTTTTCGATTTACTATTACTATTATTACTTTTACTATTATTTAATATACTATTTTTTTACTATTTCGATTCACTATTATTTATTACTTTTCGATTTATCATTGCTGTTATTACTTTTCGATTAATCTAGCATAAAAGTAAGCTTTCTCAGAAACATCGGCTATTACTTTATTTCAATTAAACGCTGGTAGCGTTGGCGAGCTTTTTTCTTTGTTCGTGATTTTTACCTTATGCCTCTTGTATTGAATGCACATTTGTTCCCTCAATAAAGAAGTAATTACTGTCAGGCCATTAATGATGACTCATAAGTATTCTGAGATTGCAAATAAAGTGTGGCAAGGCATGTTTATAGCATATACGTGGTGATAAGAAATGACGATCTTGTAGAGAATGCGGATGGTTGGTTATTTTGAGCGAGTTGACGCGTTTAGAGCTTGTGTTATCTGCACTAGCTGCATGCAAACCAATTGATAAACAGTGTTTGTTTCTCGTTCGTAAAATGTTCGCCTTATCATCTCAGAGCGATAATCGTTCCTTTATAACAGGCAGGCATTGCAAATGAGCACCACATCTCTGCCAACTGAAGCGAAACGAGTACTCAGCGAGGGCCACTCAACGCAAAAAACAAGAACCATGCCTGTTCCTGAAAATACTTTGGATGGAATTGTTTCCGATGCCATGGAGTCTCTGTTAATTCAGGGAGAAGTTTCAGCCAAAACTGCCGTACCTGAAGGTATTATAACACCTGACGTGTCGGCCAAGAATGGAACGGACGATGTAACAAAACCCGTTGCAGGTAAGATGTCAAGTGTTATTTTTTTAGATTCACAACGTGGATTTATTTCTATATCTCATGTTTCATTTCAACATCATGCACTTGAATATTTCTCTTTTCCTGCAGTGCAAGGAAAGAAGCAGAAAAAAGGAAAGAAGTTACGTCTGCGCTTCGTGAAGCTAACGAAAGTTGTTGACCGCGACATCTCGGTCGTAGCAACGCAAGTCGAAGAGCTGAGAGACGACGTCACAGCTGGAAAAATTCCGAAGTACAATAATAGTTCTATGAACTTCGGAGATTCGCAGGTGCAACAAAATTCGGTTAAATCTGGGACGGATCCTGAACTAATTGAATCAAGTGAAAACACCACTGATCAACCAACTGCCTCCATTGCGAAACCTCTACCTACCTTGGCTTATGATGAAGTCACTAAAGTGTCCAGGACGATGCACTTTGATGATTTCAAAGCATGTTTCCAGAAAGGGAAATTCATTGCTTCTCGAGTAAAGCCTCAGTACAAAACACTTCTGCCTAAAAATGAAGATTTTGTTTGGTTTCGAGCTCAGAGCGATTGTGCTAACGGAGAACTGCAAGACTGGTTTGGCAACGTCCGATGCTCGTTCGATTTAGTGAAATTTATGCGTGATAACATGAATGTGAACATGTTTTACATTGATTGTGCCTATTTTGGCTTCAGCTCTGCTTCCAGAATATTGCTGTCAACTCGCACCCAGTACCCGGGTGCTAAGAAAATTGATTTGGACTCTCTGAAGTTCGGTGATCCTCTCATGTTCGATGGAACGAAACTCATGTTCCTGCGGAAGGATGTTAGTAGCAACCGTAAATGGTTTGGGTCGCATCAAACTGAGGTTGTCATTGATGCTCAAACAATTGACCTCGGAAAATTGTTTACCATCTGCGACAAAGTTCCCGTGAATCACTCGCGGGCGAACAGGAAGAACAAGAATGGAGTCTTTGTTTTTCACCAGTGTCTAATTTTCAACTCTCTGAAAAGGAAGATTTGCCCCTCAGCTTGGACTGTTGAAGAAACCAGAAAATCCTTGAATCAACTTCTTGGCATTGAGGAAACGCCTGATGTCGAGAGTTAGAAGTCTGCCGATGGCACCATTTCTGTGTAGGAAAAGGAACTCAATTCATACTATATTTACCCCAACTTACCCCATACCCAGCGTCTTCGTTTTATCGAAGACAAGAAACCATATTGCTTTACATGTTTCATCATATTAGTTTCAGTAGCAAAGTGTGGATACAATTTTTAACAATACAAATTAAAATATTTGTGGCCGCATGCTTATGGTTTTATATGAATGAGTTATCAACTATGGCGTTGAAAATATCGTCTGTTATTTTTCATGAGAGGAGCGATCGACAATGAACCATAATTCATTGTCACATCTATTAATTTTGCATAATAAATGCAATTTGAGGAAAGTTTTCATAGAAATATTGTTTCATTTTTGGTTTTGAAATATTGTATTGTCGTTTTCATGGAAATATTGTATCTCCAACACTTGTTCGTTGACTAGTCATTGTCATTATCAGGCAGGAAATTCTTCTATCAGAAGTAATCAATTGCAAACCATAGATAACGATAAGCGTTCTGTCGATGTTTTATATATCCTATATGATTTAGCTGAGACAGAGTTGAAGCGCATTCAGCATTTATTATTTTTTGATCCTCGCTAAGAAAAATCATATATACTTTCCAGATCCGTAATGGGTTTTGATATTCATTTGGTATGTAATTTTTTTACTAATAAAACATTCATATGAATAAGAAATATCATCCTTGATAAATTTTATGAAATATATGTATGGAAGATCTATTCTCTAAATACATCAAACCGCGAGCCTTCGTTGAAAACTTTTTGGAGCCCAGCAGATCCATTATACATAGTTTTAATAAAATTATGGAATACATGTATAACCCCAACGGACTACTTAATCCACCCTACTGAGATTAAAAACCTATATGGTTAAAGTAACAATGATTTGATGTTAATGATTTCAGGCAGATATGAACTACAAGCGATATTCAAAGGTTTATTTTTTAAGATAAGGATCCCAACATTCTCCCTCTGAATCAACAGAGATTGAAGCTAAAGTATTTAAATCGCTTTGGGCACAGTCAAGTCTCGCTGCTTAGCGTTATGGTACACAGGTGGATGACGTTGATGCTGGACAAATAGGTTGCAAGGACGATAACTTCTTCAAACAAAATTTCGCTTTAGCTAAACTTGGGAATACTTTTTCCTTCTGTCAACCTCAGGAATAATTTATACCTCTTAGACATTCGTCTGACGATAATTCTGAAAACAAAAGACACAGCGCCGAATGTTCCTTACGATAGCAGAGCAAATTCTGTGACTCCGTGCATTAATAGGCTATCTAAATAAAAAAAAAGAATATCGTAAAAAATTAGAAGTTTGATGGCAGATTTTCAAAAACGACCGTTGGATATAACTATTTTGCAATCGCTAATATTTTGCTCTGATATCCATAATAAATTTGATCAAGGAATGTCCGAAGTCGAAGGAGGCTGATGTTTAAAAATTAGATAGATGTCATATATATGTCTTTCATGACATATGGGCTTAAAATCAAGAAAACAATTGGTCAACAAAGAAACTAAGTAGGAACAAATGAAAATATTCTCTAAGATAGAATCAAGGAAAAGGCTCTTGTATGTACAAAGCATTAATTTATTTATATTATTGCGATCAGATTTGAAAAAAAAGTTGAAAATTGATCATTCAAGAAGGCATTTTTATCATTCTGGTTTAAACATTGCCATTGATAATTTTAAACAAAGATTTGAAGCAAACGTCACAAATTTCTGCATGAAGAATATAATTGAATAAATGTTCGTGTCCATCGAAGTCTTGGTTGCTGAACATCTATGTACGATCCAGCAACAGCCGACTAACCGACAATGTTCCAAGTGTATTCTTTATTATGTTCCGTCTCATTGACAATGTTCCGTCTTATTCTTTACTAGGCATGGCCTAGTAAAGAATAAGACCTGGTCTTCTTCCATTGTTTTCTTTCGATGCTCCTCGCTGAGCTACTGAACGCGTACCTAACCCCATTTTTATTGAATTTCCTTGGCGGCGGAAACCGGAAAAACAATCTTTGTGGAAGCAGATGACGGGATATAATGGCCCAATGGGTCAATAAAAGCTATACATAATGTTATTAAAAATTATGACATTAGGTTGTAAACACTTTTAAATCGGAAAAAGTTGACCCGTCATTACAATATGATTACACGAGCTCTGCTTCTGATACCTCTGAATCAGAAGGAAGACCAGGCACCAACATTGCATCTATCGTAGCTAGTCCCATGGTTGAACTAGTAGTTCAACCATGGCTAGTCCTATCATCCTATGTTGTACGGAACGGACATACGTACGGTGTCGCGTGACCGCCGTGTCACTGTCAGCTGGCGATTACCATGACGGTCTGACGGATATCGGAATTCATATGATTCCATTCTTGACTTTTATTGATAATGCAACTTCTGACAGAGAATCTCTGTCAGGCTGGTGGGCGCATTTGTCGCCACAAGTCTTAACCCTCAACTATAAAAAAATATTGATTATTCAATCGATACTTCATCATCATGGTTCGTTAATTGTTTAAGCTTTACTCATCTCTCATCTAGTTAGTACTTATTACCTACTCACACTCGCAGTCGCAGAAACTATAAAGGGCTGAAGAAATAAGGACAGAAGATGTCATGTAATCAATAATGCCTCTAGCTGTAGGCTGTAGTGTAGTAAGTGGACTAGCTACTGACCTACTGTAGTGTAGAAATCTGAAAGCAATAGGTGACAGATGGCTCTGACGCCTGACGGTGGTCGATGGGCGTGGGCCTCCCACCTGTGGCTGGTGCACTGCCTACTGCCTAGTGCCTGGTGTAGGGCAAGAGCTGTAGCCTTGTAGGCAGCGCCTCCGTGGCTCCGCCGCTGCAGCGGTAACCTCAACTCCTCAAGGCCTCTGGCCAGTGGCCACTACACGACTGTGTTGTGTGTCCTGACGGTCTGGACCTGACCATGCAGTCCAGGCTGACAGCCCCAGCCTGAGACCTGACTCCTGAGTCCTGAGGGCTGAGTCCACAGTCTGTACACTGAACACCAAGTTGCTGACCTGAAACTGTAAGAACTACTGAACTAGGAAATAGGAATGATTGGTAATCTAATAGCCTTAGATCTGCTGATGATCAGCCAATCTAATTGTTAGCCACATTAGTCTAATCTATCTGATCTACAGATCTAATAGTTAGCCACATTAGTCCTATCTTTTTATTTTTTAACAATTTGAAGAAAAGTAATTACAATTTGCTAGTCTGGAAAAGTCCTATTTTTGTCTGAAATATCGCGGCTCTAATATCATATAATTTCAGTAGGTATGAAATCTCGCGGCTCGAATGTCATAAATTTTTGTTTGATTAAAAAATCGCAGTTTGCACTTTGCAAACATGTCATTTCATAAAATTTTCAACTTCCGCAATCCGCATTGCTTTACCGTTTCCGCCAAAAATATCTTGCAGAAAAAACATAAACATCGTAATGTAAACAAATAAACAAAACGTTTGTTGAAGATCGCGCATAGTTGCGGTCATGTCAAAGCAGTCAGACTGTATATTAACACGTGCTGAACTTACAGTTGAGACAAATTTTATTGTTGCCGTTTGACTGTTTAAGGGTAAAATTAGAGATTTGGGGTAACACGTGCATAAACTTTGTAAATAAATTCGCATTCGCACCTCGTAAATGGCTTTTCATGGCCGAGATATGGAATTCACGGCTCGGTGAAATAGAATCACGGCTCGTAGAAATGGAATCACGGCTGGCAAATCCATAAAACCACGGCTCGAAAAATTCAGTCGCGGCTCGCCAAGTAGATATATTCCATACTAGACAATTTGCAAATCTTTTTCTTACTCATATTGTATGCCATCTATAGGCTTAATTCATAGTGGTAACTGCCAACCAGAGATTTATTAGAATCAGTTCATTTTGAATTTCCTAACCTACTTAACTCAAGATTCATGATTTCAATCAATATCTTGTGTATAAAATGCTGGTATTCAATCCATGATACAATGATACTTACTGGTCTACTTATAGTTAGAGAAAGGAAAAAAACAAAATGAAAGGAAGATCTGTTATCATCTGTAAAAAAATGAACCTGAGGACTGCCTGAAGTGAAGGACTGGAACTGTCTGGAGGGCAACAAAAATTTCAATCTTTTGCCAGTTGCCATAATGATTTAATGATTTTATATTGTCCCATGTTCTGGTAATCTGGTTCATTATGTACACTACAGTACAGCTACAGGTTGCTTATTGTTTTGTCAAAGGGCAAGATCAGGTTTTTAGGCTAAAAATGTTAAGAGTATTAATGAGGATGTGTCCATTTACTGTCCAATAAGGCAGTCTGGTAGAAGCTTGCTACCTTACCATTCCAAATTTGTTGCCAAGAATATACAGGAAGATGTATTTTAATCTTAACCTAAAGAAAGTTCTTTGATTGACATGATTTTAAAAATACTAATATTAATACTTGTGCATGACCTAAGAGCAAAGACTTTTAGACCAAGATGCAATAAACGATGCTTACTTTGAAGTTTGAATGATCAATTAGATAACTTGATTACCTCAGTTGAGTAAAGTGGTAGACAATTTTTGATTGGTGCTTCTAGTACAAATGCTCTAACTATATATTGTTTGAAATTTTTTATATTAATATCCTTCTTCAGATGTAAAGATGTTTAATTCTTGCCTTAGACAATTGAACCGGCAGCCGCTACTTGTTGCCATACGACATTGCAGTGCAGAAGTTGGTAGTAATGCATATTTAGAAAATTTGGTCAGTAAGAGTCCAGTTGTTGTATTTATGAAGGTAAGACATTGATATGCATTTTTACCTAATTTTTATGTTTTAATTGAACAAATGAACAATTTTGATGCTATAAACTTTTATTTGAGCTAATGATGTGTGTAAATCTTGATTCTACATTGCTATTTAACAGCAATTCCTATCAATCATATGCTTCCATTTTCTTCTAATAAACCTTGTTACTGTAGTGAAACTAATTGTAGACAATTCTTTCTTGATACAATATATATGTCCTGAAATATGATTGACAAATATGTTATTCCTAAATATTTTGTGACCATCACAAAATATGTTAATTTCCATGGTCAGCTTTTCCTTCAACTTGAATATCCTCTAATGCCGTTTAGGCTTATTTATAACATGCTTATGCAGGGAACGCCTGACAACCCTCGCTGTGGCTTCAGCAATGCAGTTGTCCAGATCATGAGGATGCATGGTGTGCAGTATGATTCCTACAATGTCCTTGATGATGAAAAAATTAGACAAGGTAATCACAATCATCATCATTATCTTCAAAATCTGATTGCATTGGGTTGTTTTCTCCCTAGATTGAGCAAGGTTATCAGTTAAGTTGGATAAAAATTAATAGTAAAAGTAATTCTCTAGTACAAATAAAAATTAGGATGAATTTCATAGTTTTACTTTGTCACCATTAGGAAGCATTAATATTATGGGGGTTACAAGGTTTTCATATTTGTTGAGCATGTATAGTTCCCTTTCAATGCAATTCTATAGATACCTATAATAGTGATGAATAAAAATTTTTGTTGCAGGCATTAAAGAATTCTCCAAGTGGCCAACAATTCCTCAGGTTTACCTCAATAAGGAGTTCATTGGAGGCTGCGACATTCTTCTACAAATGCACCAGAGCGGTGAACTCATTGAGGAGCTACGAAAAAATGGCATTATATCTTCACTTCTTGAAGAAGAACTTGAGAAAGACAAGTCTAAGCCCGCAGAGAAATAATAATTTGTTTGCCTTGTACATTTTCTTGTTATTGAAGTTGCAATCTTCATTCATGTTCCTGGGATTAATACATTATTGATTAGTGCTCAAGAATGAGATTTAGTATTTCTTCAAGTAGCGACTTTGCAGATGTTTAGTTGGACAGAGAAATTATTTTTCCACTACAAACTTCACAGGTCTCACTCTGTACTTTAATTTGAGGTCTTCTTCTATCACCGCAAGTGTTGGTTTTTGTTCACATAACCAGGCACTGGGCTCCACTAATCCAAACCAGAATAGACCTTCATTTGCTGCAACTAAACAGACGTCTTTAACGCTTTTATTTCTAATGATCTTCATTAGACACAAATTGTCATGTGTGATTGGAAGAATTTTGTAAATAAGTTATATTCCGTCAAAAAAATAGTTTTAAAACAATTTAGTACTAAAAGATTAGTTTCACTGGCCACGTGTTCCTTCCCCTCCCTATCAAGTTGCTGCTTAACTTCAAATCCTCAAACTAGTAATTGACCCATTAGGGATCGTTTATTCGGCTCTCCTGAACCATTTTTCGATCAATTGACGCGTGATTTGTAAATGGAAAAGCGTTAGCGGAAGGGTAAAATGTTTTACTCAAAATACAGCCTGCTATTAGCTATGTCGGGTAGTTATGCCCTGGAATCCGTATTAATTTACGTAACTGCCGCACTTCTAGATTATATATTCGTTTGAAACCTTGCTGATTTGTAAATATGTGGTTTCCAATTGCGATCTTTGTTTGGTTGCGGCTTTCGTTCAACTTCCAGCAGCGAATTTATGCTCAAATGATCAAGAAAACCTTGTTGCCTTCATCTATAATTGGGATCTTGAATCAAGTCTAAATCGACTGGTACGTTCGATTTATTTTAATCAGAATGTATGTATAAAATTAAAGCTTTGATATGGTCGACACTGTTTCATTACAAGCGCCCTCTTGAATAGACAGGGTCGACCGATCATTTGCAGAGCTACTACGCTAAGAACAATTCGAGTACTGGAGCAGGCACTCAACTATAATTACGGGGAGACAGAGATTCGTACGAGGAGCGGAATTAATTGGCCATCTGCCATGGGCAAGTGTAGTCTAAAACTGAAATTAGGCGTAATAAAATTTATGCATCCGAAATTATTTTTGAGTGCCAGTCTCTTGGACGAAACCTACTGCACTACAAGTGCGCCTTAAACCTGCACGAGTTCGTTGAGAAAAGCGGGTTGGTGGATATGTCACGCTGTGATTACGGAGCACATCGCACCATCAGCAGGCGAACTTATACGCGGCCAAGTGAGAGCAAGAGAAATCGACTGCCGATTCGTGATTTAGATCGATGAAAAAAATATGCCAACTGACTGGAAGCCTTTGAAGAGCTATTGGAAGAACTGATCAACAGGTCCAATATAGGATACTTAAAATAACCAAATTATACTTATCTACCAAATAGAATATGTCCCTTATTAAAATATCAAATGTTTTTTCTTTATGACAGGTGTAGCTCAAGTTAGGAAATAGTTGTACAATATCGAATATTTTTTGCATTTTCATCTTGTCAGGAACGTATTAAAATAAACACTCATATAGGCCTAAATATGAAATGAGGTGGCGAGTACGAAGCAGCACCAGAGTGAGACGATAGACGAACAGCAACAGACACGAAGACACTCTGAGGTGTTATCGATTGCACGCCACGCCAGCTTGGGTTATGAGACTGAGTGAGGAACTGCAATGGAACTCGCTTCAATATCTACTTAACTCCGTATCTCAGATACATGATCAGAATGAATGAGCTTCGGGCGAGTTATTCAAGAACATTGAGATCAACAAGGTAAAAATGGTCCTGAACTCACAGAAAATAATTATGTGAATGGGAATATCTGGTAGTGAAGTGAAGGCGGAAGGAAAACTATGAAGAGGCGACTGCGTTAGATAAAACGCAGTAACTGTGGGGTTAGCATACATTTTCAATCATTTAAAATAATAGTATACATAGCTGCCGAAATTTTCACAGAAAATCTACTTATCAATAACTTTCTGAAAAATTTACACATCAAAGATATAATAACTAGGGAGGAATGAAAGATTAAAAAACAACAAAATGAAGATGATACAAAGGGTAAGTAATAAAATTGCGCTTCTGAAGCCTGTGGAGAAATTAACGCCACATAGAACATAAGAAAGAAATATTAAGTGAGTTTTTAACTAGAAATAAACTTTGAATGGAGTTGGCACTAGCCACAAGAAAAAATACTTCATGACAACACATAGTCTGCAATAGTCAACATTGAATCCACATCTGTAACATTATTAGTTATTACTATTAACTTAAGCGCCTATCCTACAACAAAGCGCATGAGCTTGTGACATTAAATATGATGGCTCAGCACAGAACATTTGTATATAAACGTAAAAGGAGTATCTGTCAAGAGATGCGTGCAGAGCCTAGTTATTTCTTTGCTTTGCAGAAACGCACGACTAACATAATGTATTAATTTTGAGCTCAGTCATATATGAATAATAACTAACGTGAAAATGAATGCGTACCTTGAAAAAAAATGCTGTTTGACAAATGAACCATGGCATTGTTCATTAACTTTAAACCAAGGGCTTCACCTACTTGGAAATTCAACAGTTCGAGCAGATAAACATCATGGACGATATTACTAGGTATGCTTCAAGGATTTAAAACAAAATAATCGATTGAATTGAAATAAAAAAATTGAAAGTCATTTTATCATTAACATCAAGTCATCATGAGCAAAGAAAATACAACGATAGTACTATTGCTTCATGAATTTTGGAAAAAATAAATCATGAAAAAGAAAATCATTTTGATAGTTCAAATGGTTGCACTAATTAACCATTCATGACCACTTATAGCCCAGTTTTAAAATGCAGATGAATCTATAATCAAGAAACAAAAAGTTTCCACCAAGTCTCTCAACCATAAAGTTCATGATGAGTCAACGAATCAAGTATTTAATCCACCAGAATCAAAATCTGGTGGATTGTGGTGGATCACAATCTGGTGGATTGTGTTAATCCACCAGAAAACAAACACAATCTTTCCAGCACCATACCATTTAGAAGGTCGATGAGAAGTCCATAAATAGAGGGAATGTGAAGTCATAAAAAAAGAGTCGATAATAAATTTTGAATGAGAACGTTGTAAGAAACAACGCTACTCGTGCATAGTAAAACAACTTGCAGAGCTTTCTTTCCACAATAAAATTATGTACACAGTTTAGTATACGAATATAAAATATGAATAAAAAACATGGCAAGATATTTACACGTGAAAAAACTGCAGTAACAAGTCAAATAAACATTCATACACCCATGAAACACCATCCACGTCAAAACTAAGACTTTTCTTCCTTCTCTTTATTATATTTTTCGAGTTCTCTTAGAAACTGGGCTCGTGGCTTCATCATTGTAGGTTTGTCACCTCGACACTTGGGGCAGAACCACTTGCCCTTGGGCTTGTGAGTGAGATTCACGCACGAGAAATGGAACCATTCAATAGGGCACAGATCATTGTCGCAGCCGATCATCTCGCCGTATGAGACTTGTTCACACAGACAGTAGGTGGGCTCGTCAGGATCAATGGGCAGCTCTGTGGGGGAGTCTTCTCGCTCGCGCTCCAAGCGAGACTTGCGCTTCTTCTTCTTGGCGGCTTTCTTTTGGCTGGCAACCTGAAACATCAAGTTATAATTAATACAAATAAATTTTTGCACAGAAAATTTTGAACCTAATGAAGCCTCCCAGCTGTGATTCATGAATAGTCTTGGCTACTTAGCCTAGAAGTTTCATCTAATTTGTTAAGTAATAAAAATTGGTTTTATGTACAAATGCAAGTACAGAAACATAGACAAATATCTTGCTGCAAGCTTATATTTACTGCGCAATTTATAACAATTTAAAAGCAACAACATATACGTATAATCTAAGTAAATTTTATCAAAATTTTTGGTGAAATTTCAAACTTTACAAGATCTCAAAACAACAGGACCACAAAAAATAGTACTATGATTTCCTGATTTTTTTTTTAAATTTTCGAATATTAACGCAGTTGAATAAAACCTTGGAAGAGACGTTTCTCTGGGGAGTTTTATCCTGGGAAGTGTCATGTTGGGAAGAGCCATAGCTTGATCCACTGCCACCCCCGCCACTGGTGATGCCAAGCGGCCCACTACCCATAGCAGCAGGAGCAGTGGCAGCCACGCCTGCAGATGCACTAGCAGCCATGCTGCTAGCGGCGCTGTGTGCGAGAGGAGAAGCAGACGCCGTGACTGTAGAGTTGAGACTGTTGCTGTAGGAGAATGTCGAGTCCAGACGAGGGGTGCGGCGAGGTCTTTTGCTGGCACGCTCACTACCACTGCTGTCAGCAGCACCTCTGTCTCTGGAGTTGCTTGCATTGGCTGCAGCCTCAGCAGCTTTCTCGTTTTCTGACTTTTCAGCATCTGTGTACATGGGAATTTAAACTCCAAGTCAGAAATAATAAATCAAAGACAAACAATAAAGTACTCAACTTTTGCATCAACTAACAGTCATTACAAAAACAAACACTATCGAAAAGAATACCATACTGAATTCACAACTGAAATAAATATTAGGCATTAAACAAATTATGTTTTAAATAATTATTACATTTTTTGGGGCATACCAAGACTTTTTGAGCTGAAATCAAGCTGCTCTTGTTTTCTCTCTATGAGATCTAGGATCTGCTGAACTGAGTGAAGTTTCTCATCAGCCAGCTCCTGCGTGGCAATAAGTTTGTCCTGCAGCTGTACCAGCAGTCGCTTCACCCACGCAGAGTCAGGACTGTCACGAGACTCAAGTTCCTGTCGTAATCCATCCATCTCATTCAGGAGAGCTGCAAAAAAAAAAAGATATTGCTACCAAAATGTACAGATACTGAGGGCAGACCATAACTGAAACCTCTTCATTGCCTTTTATAGTTAAGTTCTCTAATGACTTTACATGTTCTCCGTATACCAAGATGTTCTCCAAAGCCTTCATGGGCGTGTGCCTGTTGGTGGATTGGTCAATGTTGGTGGATTGGTGGTCAATTATGGAGTATCCTCAATATTATTACGAATGAAATGAATGAATATAATGGCAAGTTCATGCACCACAAATTATGAAGAAAGGAAAATTTATGGGGGATTACTATATTTTCTCAATATTTTAAGCTAAGAGAATATTTCAACTATAAATGGAGGTTTACTGCATTCTATATATAGATCAAGAATCTTACAAGAAACTTGCTTTAATAATTAATATCAATTAGGTTCCATTAAATCATTTAAACAAGCTTCAACTCCATCCCATACATTTATTATGTTAAAAAATTTACTTTGATAATTAAAATCAAAGAAGTAGTGAAGTACCATGAAATAAGGTTCAACTACATCCAACTGAGTACCCATTTAGAAAGTCAAAACAAACTTACTTTGATAATTAATATCAAGCTCACGCATAAGAGTAATCTGGCGCTGAACTTCATCTGGAAGATTTTCCAGGACATCTGAAAAAAAATTATACTAAAATCAGAAACATAGAATAAATTACTTGATTTCAAAACCAATTTCAAAAATTCCCTGTGGTTTGATTTGCAATTGCTATGAAATCACCTACCAGGCTAGGTACCACTACCAGCAATTTTTAGGAAATTCTCCTCTACATCCCAGTAAGCTTATGGTCATTTTCACCTGCTATTATCTTGGCATAATTTTGGAATATTGAGTAAAATTAAAAAGTATTAGGGCTTAAAAAGATCATCAATAGGCAATTCCATATATCATGGGTAAAAAAGTAAGTTTTTTTTTAAAATTTTTAACTAAAGAAATAAGTTGGTCAACTTGTCAAGTGTCAAGCCTCAGGCTCAAGTCAAGGGCCATGGCATAACTTCACATAAGAACAAGTGAAATTAGCATTTACCACAACTCACAAGCTAGAGTGATTTATCTTGTTTACATGTGGATTTGGTCCAATTTTCTAGTTTAATCATAGTCATGGCCATTGCCTAATTACTTCAACAAATATCAAGAAAAATGGCAAATTTTTTTACCATGATTTCCAAAATACACCAGTATAACTATCATTTCATAGGCAAATTTATTAAGCATGATACCTAGGGGTGAATATGGGTTATTTAATTAGACTAATTAAAATTAGACTAATTGTCAGATACATTTTATTATTAGCGGAGAGATCATTATTGGACGAGAATGAAAGCACAAGTGGCTAAAAATAAATACCAAAGCAGGTTAAAAGACATTAGAACTTCAAAAGAAAACGTTCGAACTTTTTCGATGCCAATGTTTCGAATCTTTGATGCATCGCAGACCCAATTATAACAGAAAGTGACACTGTGACAGTGCTATAATAAATAATTATGCGTGCTTAATACTTCCTAAAGAACGTAATCTGAACTCTCACCAAGGAAGTTGTGAACAAACTTAGCAGAACACATTTCATCGGTTGCTATGGGATTCAACATTGCACTTTCCTCTTTCTAACGTTCAAATTATGTTTGATGAGACAGGAGGTCGTACAAACATACACACAACAGGACTTTTAATAAACGTTTTGTTCGCATAGACAACCTTACCAAACATATCGTGGAACCCATTACAACTTCGCTGGAGAGCTAATATGTTTAAAATATTTATGTATGAACTTTAGGATTTTTTAGTAAAGCGAAATTTTTCAAGAATTAGAAAATTTGAATTAAAAATTGTAACAATCGAACATCTCGATATATTGCAAATTTACCATGTTATTGATATTTATTATTATTTATTTATTTTTTTTATTTATTATTATATTATATATATATATATATATTATTTATTTATTATTTATCATTATTTATTGTTGATATTTTATTTGTTATTGATATTTATTTAGTATTATTAATATATGGATATTATTATATTGATATTGATACTATCAATATTTATATATTGATATTTATTCATTTTGTACGCTAGCTCGAAGTGCAAGATAAAGGACGGTATTTCTAATTTGAAAGTAGATAAACGAAAGATGTCCTCTGATGAGGGCAAGGCTAACGTACTTAATCATTTTTTCAGTAGCGTATTCACTGAAGAGGACTTGAACAGTTTTCCAGCTATTGAGGAGCGCCCAGTCGGCTCTAAATTAGCAAGTTTTGAAATACAAGAAGAAGAGGTTCTCAAGAGCCTTATCGCTGTAAATCCAAACAAGTCGTGTGGACCAGACGGCTTCCACCCCAGATTACTCGAAGAGTTAGCAACTGTCCTAACCGGCACCCTGACGTCGTTTTTTTTTTTTAAACTTTGAACGAATAGATCTTGCCGGCTGACTGGAAAGAAGCTCAAGTGACGCAATTGTTCAAAAAAAATGTGACACAAGCTGCCCGGGCAACTATCGCCCTGTCAGTTCGACAAGTGTCGTTTGCAAGGTAATTGAATCTGTTGTGAGGAATCGATTGATAGATAATTTGACTGCTAATAATCTCCTATCAGACTGTCAACATGGCTTTATTGCCGGGAGATCCTGCATCACTAACATATTGTCTACTCTTAACGAATGAACCCGCCTGCTGGACGAAAGGGAGCCAGTAGAAGCAGTGTACCTTGATTTTGCCACGGCATTTGACAGTGTCCCACATGAGCGGCTGTTGCGTAAATTGAAGTCTTTGGGAATTGAGAGTAATGTACTCAAATGGATCAGAGATTTTCTAGTGGGGAGGCGACAACGTGTCAGTATTAATGGGTCCGTATCAGACTGGGCCTCGGTGCGCAGCGGCGTGCCACATGGAAGCGTTCTCGGGCCTATTCTATTCGTTGCGTTTATAAACGATCTGCCAGAAGCTGTGTCTAGCGTTTGCTCGATGTATGCTGACGACATGAAATTTCATAATACAGTGAAGAATACGTCGCAAAAAGTGATCTTGACAGGCTGGTTGACTGGGCTGATAAGTGGCAGCTGCGTTTTAACTCTGATAAATGTAAAGTTATCCACCTTGGCAAGAATAATGAACAGCAAGATTCAGTATGAGAAGACACGGTTGCAACGACAGAGTGATGATGCCCTAGTCGACAATGGAAAAAGATTTAGGAGTTAATATCGACAATGAGTTGAAAATTTCCAAGCATACTGAAGGTCAAGTTAATAATGCCAATAAACGACTTGGACTGATCAGACGCTCTTTCGAGTTCCTAGATGCAGAAACGATGAAGCAGTTGTTTGTTGCTGTCGCGCGCCCGAACATAGAGTTTGGAAACGTCGTGTGGTCACCGAAATTTGAACAGGACAAAAATTTAATACAGAGTGTTAAATCTCTTAAAGTAATGAACGTAACTCGTTCAATCTTAGTACACGTATTCACTAGGACCTAACTGTGATGTTTAGCTCGCAAAAAATTTAATTTCGCCTGCATTCGCGAGTTATATGATGACACGTGCCAAAATTCGCAGTGAACGAGACATTTCTTCCAAAGTACTGAACAGATTTGAACGAAATTTTGAATATACATTCCTAACTAATGTTTGGCTCGGTAAATTTTTTGTATTTTACCATCATTCGCGAGTTTTTTCATGTTTCCCTCATTCGTGATTTAAACAGCAATACGTGCTTGAATTCGCAGTGAACAACAAATTACTTCTAAAATACCGAACAGATTTGAACGAAACTTTGTATTTGAATGCCTAACCTCCCTGCGGTGATGTTTAGCTCGTGGCAATTTTTACAATTTTGACTTCGTTCGCAAGTTATATGGATTTACGGAGAAACGACCAGCATTTCTCAGGCCGATTTTAAAATTTACATTGACCAAGAGCTGTATACCAAAAGCCGTATAATTCGCAAACTAAGGCAAAATCGAACAAGTTGTCACGAGCTTAACATCACCGCTGTGAGGTTATAAGGTATGCATATACAATGTTTCGTTCAAATCTGTTCAGTATTTTAGAATAAATGTCTTGTTCACTGCGAATTCAAGCACGTATTGCTGTTTAAATCATGAATGAGGGAAAAATAAAAAAAAATCGCAAACGAACGCAAATCTAAAAATTTTTCACGAGCTAAACATCACCGTTGGATATTGAGGAATGCATATTCAAAATTTCTATCAAATCTGTTCAGCACCTTGGAAGAAATGTCTTGTTCACTGCGAATTTTGGCCCGCATTGCTATATAACTCACGAATGAAGGCGAAATTCAAAAAATTTTCGCGAGCTAAACATCACCGTGAGGTCCTAATGAATACGTGTACCAAAATTCATCGAGCTACGTTCATTACTTAGGGAGATATTTCTTGCTCACTGAATTTGGACAAGCTATCTTTGGAATGTGAAGGAGATTCGTTCATACAGGGTGCGCCACAGAAACTTACTTATTTGAAAAAATTCCTGTGCGGTTAGTTGGTCGGGTAGAGGGGCGAGGGGGTGCATCTGAAGGGGAAAGTTCCCAAGTTAGTTTCTCAAATAAATTTGCTGTAGTGCAAGAATTAACTGAACGCGATTTTGTTGCCCGTCAAAATGCACGTAAAATGCTGGTTGACAACCTGCCTGAAGACGCGGTCGTTTTTTTCAGTGGCGAGGCTCACTTCCACATTTCCGGCTGCGTCAACAGGCTAAACATGCGTTATTGGTGTGGTGTAAATCCACGTGAGTTTCTTTCTTGAATAAAAAAAATTTAAAACAATAACTGAAGTACTTTTGTTTTTATTGACCTTTCAAATAAGTAAGTTTCTGTGGCGCACCCTGTAGTTGCATGAGCGGTATAATAGTAATAGCGGTTTCAGCGTTTAGTAGGCCGTAGGCCTGTCGCAAATTCTTAACATTGAAGAACATTCCCAATAAATAATAATAGTAATTATTATTATTATTGTTATTATTATTATTATTATTATGGTATTAATAATAAAAATGAAATAATAAATCGGACTTCATTTTTATGTAGAGTTTTAAGAGTTCGTCAAGTTTTCTAAAAACTTCCTTTTCAATTACACTTAGGCGTCGAATAATGATTCTGGATAAAAAAGAAACGGTCGCAGTTCTGAGATAAAAATCCATTTATTCTAACGTTTCGGCTATCTACACTTTAGCCATCATCAGAGTAAATAAGATGATAATCTGGAAAGAATAGAAATTCAGATAAAAATACAGTAAACTAAAATAGACCCCTTTTATCCAGAATCATTATTCGACGCCTAAGTGTAATTGAAAAAAAAAGTTTTTAGAAAACTTATAATAATAATAATAATAATAATAATAATAATAATAATAATAATAATAATAATAATAATAATAATAATAATAATAATAATAATAATAATAATAATAATAATAATAATAATAATATGCATTATATGGAATAATAACAATAATTGTTTTACTGGTATTGGAATATTTTTCTACATCTTAATATCAGAGTGTGTTTTTTTGTAAAAGCGGCGACTTAAGTAACCTGGCGTTCTGAGATCCAGAAACGTAGTTAGATGCGCAAAAGTAGTTAAAAAGTAGATAGCAATTGACAACTTAATTATGAAGGTTTAAGTCTGTCACATAAAAATGGTTAACGTAGCATTAGGTGATTAAAACCTTCACAGTCCAATGTTTAACATAACGAAAGGCATGTCGATCAAAAGTGTACGAACGGCATTTATCGAGTCAAATAAAGTGATAAATCAAATGTTGGATCACCAAACAAGGAGATCAAAGATATCATTAAGACTCAAATTTGCTTTATTCATCAAGAAAAGATCGAGCCTAGATTGACCCCACTCATCTGCCATCATTTGAACCAGCCGATGCAATATGCTGCTGCTTGCTTCTTGCTGATATTAGTGGGGCAGTGACGGATAATCACAGATCACGCTTAAAAACGTTTTTAGTTCTCTCTTGATTCTCTCTTGAATCTATCAGAAGTGAACTCTCCAGTTGGAAGGCATTCCAAAGGTCAATTGGGACCCGCAATGAAATGGGATCACTATCGAAGAGTTTAAACCCGTGGGTTTAACAGCTCGGTTTTTCAATGGGGACAACAATCATAACATGCACAGTCTGCTCCTCCGCAAAGTGTGAAATTTCATTATCCTGAAGGTCCCACTTTCAAAGTTAGGAGCTGGTCGGGTTATTATCTTCCAAGTGTATAGTGCTGAATTGTTGAATACCTTTCCCTTACTTATTCAGTAAGAACAATTACTGGTGCTTCAGCTTCTCTGAGCAGCCTAATTCCCTCATCCCGCTGATCTTGGACGAGAAGGTTTGTTGCACTGCATCCAATTACAGCACCACATATGCCTTTAGCGGCGCCCCAAAGTTGGCAGCAGAACTCCAGAATAGGGAGCACGATGGCTCTGAAGAGTGTGAATCATCGGCACCGCTTCCCTTGGTCGCAAAGTTAACCCGTAAAACTCAATTTCTTGTCAGTCTTTCGAAATTATTTCCGTGCCATCGGTACTCATCAACAGCACGAGATCACGAACAAGTTGTTTATTATTAATTACTGGGCCGTCAGATGCCAAGTAGAGAAGCTGCATACTAAAATCTGTACCAATTCAGTATCTCCTTACATAAAACTTGGTGCCGTTGGATTGCTAATATTTCATTTGGGCCCGG